TATCCTAGTGGCTAGCGGCACCGTTATTGAGAATGCCTTGGGTTATGCTCGCGAGCTGGAGACTATTGTCTAATTAAACGCTCAATGGATCAATTGGAACGATATATTTTCTTCGGATATGCTTTTTTCTTGTCTTCGGGCGCGGATGTACTTGTATACCTGTTGCTTATGCATCTGCTTTCTCTAGCGTGTTCATGACCACAATCATGTTAGAATAATTCCGGCTTACGAATTTCCAGTAGCATTTCAGCCAACGCCCGGGCGTAGACTACCTGAACTCGCACATGTTAAGGCCTCAGCATCTGGAGGGACTTCCAAATCGGCATGGCTTTTTTTTTATTTGCTTATAGATCAACAGTCCAAACACAGAGCCTGCGATCATAGAAACTGCTTGAGACGCACAAAATCTCAGAAGACTCAGTTGTTTCCTGTGCACCCTCCCACACGCCACTGGCATAATTCATACTCTCATGCTCGGTAAACTTCGCCAGAACCTCGATCCCCCAATTCGGAGCCCCATCTTCATGCTTGCACGTAATCCGTACAAGCCTCGTCCCAGCATGCATGCAGCTCGCCAGCACCAAAAAGTGGATCTCAGATACATTCGACGGGTCATCTGAGACCAGAATCCTCGTCGTATTCAGCAACTGTAGTCGCCAAACCCCACCATCAAGACCTTCTTCAGCGAGAACCTCTCCCCTCCGGGTAGCATGATACACACGAAGACTCTCGTCATAGCATCCCGTCAGAAGAACCGGGGCATCATCAACCAAGGGAACATCAAGAGGCAAGATAGCAGTGACACCAGCAGTGTGGTGGCGAGCTCGATCATCATGCTCTAGTAGCATGGGCGAGACATGCTCGTCTGGATCTTCCAATGCGGCGGTATTATCGAATCGGCGCGTGTGCAGTGAGCCGAAGTCATTACCCGTGAACATGAACGGGATCGCGGATGGGTTCTGCGTCTCAGCATCTGGGGTTCCCTTGCTTGTTGACAGTGCAACAAACCAGACTTCGATCATCTGTTTGGCTTCATATGTGCCCCATTCTTCTAGACTTTCCTCTTGGCGGATATCGCCCTCTGTCCCGAAGACGGCTGTCCAGCTATCTGAGAATGTGACGGCGAAGCCATCTGCTTCGGGACTGGGGAACCAGTTTTGCGGTGCCCAGGCGAGGAAGAGTGCTGGGATTGATGGGTCTTCGTGTACTTGCTTCGTCCATAGTTGGGTGATGCTTGGGCTTGCGGATGCGTCTCCGGTGGTAGAGACTTGGAATAAAGACACTGAACCCACGCTGCTTGCAATTGCGAATAGATTCTTGTGTCTTGGGTGGAAGTGCAGGTCAAAGACTGCGTATGGGACGGCAATTCTTTGGATTTGGGATCTAAGAGCTGTTAGTGGCTTCGTTATGAGGGTATTGTACTCGTTCTCTGGCTGACTGTGAAGGAATATGATTTATTGTGGTTGGCTTACAATGTTTTGCTAAAAGGGTCTAGTTTCCATAGTTGTAGACTCCCAGTTTTTGACTGCTTGATTTCTCCATCTCCTGTTTTGTTCTCTGATAGAAGGTAGGTGCCCACGATGAAATGGTCTGGGACCTCGGGGCAGAACTCCAAACAACTGGGTGGCTGGTCTAGAAAGACCGTAGTCGCTGACTGAGGGTGTTGAATGCTTGTCATTTTGATCTAGTCCGAGTTTGGAATGATTCTAGACCTTGCAAGTCTCGGAGTTTAGTCGTCGACTCCGGAGGGCCGGAATGTGGCGTCTGGATATGCCCGACAAGATGACGGCAGATGGGGCCTATCAAATATCCGGGTTGCGTGACACACTATTTTCACTCTGATAATGCACTGAAGGAGATGGGACCGTTTGACGATCCAGTTACTCTCGCATTGTTACATCGATAGGCTTCGGAGTCAAAAATCACATAGTGGGGCGGTGAGAATCCACTTTGAAGTCAAGGATGTTTCTACAGTACGGAGTCTAGTTTGGATATGGACTGAATATGTACAGTTGGCGTTTTATATGTACAGTTATGGAGTGGTAATGCCGAGTTCGGAGTATCCAACCAATAAAGCCTACTATCCATAGTAATTTCGTAGAGTCACATACGACAATGTCGTCGCTATATATAGTTCCTACTAGGATGCCATGTTGGAGTAATTACACTTTGCGGAGTTACTCCGGAGAAAGTAGACATTAGTTAGGGAGTAGATAATATTGAATACAACAATACGGTCCTACAGCATATGTGAAGAGCGGCTGGTATACGTCCTCGTTGGCTACGTGCAGCAATGAGATCGGTCTCACGCATGCCCGTCTTACGCCCGTGTCTTATCCCTCGAGCCATTGTTTCACTGCATTGCATGGCCCCATTTTTTTAACCCTGTGAAACATTCAGCCCTTTAACAACGTCCGATAAAAGGGTCCTGGCATGCAAATTCTACTATCTGCGTACATAGTCGTAATGGGGACACAAGAACGGGAGTTCCGACGGTTACCGACGGACTATATTCGACTACTCCGTAGGCACATTGGCAGATTTTTGTAATAGCTTTAGACTCATGGGGTAAGTAGATCAATCTTGATCGAAATACGAATGTCACGTAAGGTCTTGAAGTTCCATTCGGGACACTGGTGCAGGGAGTGTGCGCGTGCAGTATGTACATAAGACTTCGGATCTGCAGCAAAGGGCGTGAACTCTTAAGTATGACACACAAGTTGATATTTCTGTATTGTCTTTCTTGTAGTAGTAGATGTAGATGCGTTGAAGATGCATCAGAGTGCATTGAAGGTACATTTGATGCGTCGATCACGATGTTCAGCTTAAACGGGAGGGCGATCTGAATTGACTCATTGCCAATAAAAAGCCGCTAACGACACGAGAACGAGAAAATCAAGGTAACTAAAGAAACAATCATTTTAATCTCCAGCTAGCTTAATGCAATGGTATCCCATATGGGGTCCTACCGCCTAAGAACTACTTAACTAATTTCTTCTCTGCCCCCACTTTTTCTTTCGTCTCTTGTCAAGCACTGAATATATTAAAATGGACGATACAAAGCCATGGGGCTATAAATGGCGTTCATCTCGACTGCTGGTGGTTTCGTCCATCACAGTTGCCTTATTCGCAGGTATGTCTGGCTGTTTCATTTACTGAACACCTTTTTTCACATCTGAGTCACACTAACAATCCATTAGAGACATTTCTCTATGGGTTTCTTACTCCGATCTTGAGTTATATGCTTGAAGAACGACTGCATCTTGATCCATCACAAACTCAGACGTACACCACAGCATTGCTCACCACACATGGTTTCATTGGTCTCGTCTCTGCTCCGATTGTCGCTCACCTTGCCGAGAAGACTTCGAGCCAAAAGAAACCACTATTGATCGCCCTGGCAGGATGTTTTGTGGGGACTCTTATGATTGCTCTTGCCCCATGTGGTATGAACACCTTTAACCTTGATCACAACTTTTGGAAGCTAATCATCGTGGACAGTTTGGATACTCTTCGTTGGTCGCATCCTGCAATCCATGGCGGGTGCCGCCACTTGGGTGGTTGGATTTGCTCTTTTGGCAAACAATGTGGATAAGAAAAATCTCGGACAGTCGATGGGGATGGCCATGTCATTTGTAACTGCAGGAATGGTTGGCGGACCAACAGTGAGTGGCGCAATGCTTCAGTTATTTGGCTACTGGATCGCCTGGTCACTTCCCTTGGTCGTACTTGTCTTGGATATCGTTGCCCGTCTGGTTATGATTGAGCCTGGACTCAAATCTCCAAAAGCTGCAGGCAAGTCGGTTCTCAACAATGACGGGGGCCCAGAAGAATCGACTGCTCTACTCTCTGATGCACCGTCTATCGCCAAGCCAGACGATTGTAGAGCGGAGAACAAGCACGATCTCAAACATGAATACTACAGAGTTATGCTCTCCGATCCACGTGTTTTGACTGCATTGGCCAACGTTGTTGTTGTCTCCTCTCTCATGTCCGGCATCAACAACACTCTCCCGGTTCACCTGAGAGAAGCATTCGGTTGGAAGAGTTTGCTCATTAGTATGATGTTCTTCTGTCTCCAAGTCCCGAATATCGTCCTCAGTGGCCCATCCGGATGGCTTCGTGATCGAATTGGAATACGGGGACCTACCGTTTTCGGTTGGCTTGCGATGATCCCTCTAATCTTACTTCTGGGGATTCCCGGAGACCCCCACTTCCCATGGGCCGGAGGAGATACCGCTGGAAAGTCGGTCTTTACCAGCAGTTTAATTGCTTTGGGTAGTATTCTACCTCTTGTGCGCGGTGTAGGAGCCGTGCAACTGGCCTGTGAGTGATTCTTTTTTATTTTGTGTTGTGCACCCCTCGCTAACATGTGTGACTTTTTTTTCAATATAGATGTTGTCAAGGACATGGAAGCCAAAGACGCGCATATGTTCGAGGCCAACAGAAGCAACCTGCGAGTCTTTTCCATGACCGAAGTCGGATTTAGTCTCGGTATGATGCTTGGGCCTTTGTTGACCGGCTCGTTATTTGAATTAGTTGGCTTCTTTTATATGACTGTGGCACTAGGTGAGTCACCCAGTCTAATATCTTATTGTTCAATTTACTCACCCTGGGCAGCTATTACTTGCCTCATCCAGGCCGTGATTTCCTGGCGTTGGTTGGATACCTTGCCTGGGCCCGAAGCTCCCGAAGCTTCAGTTTAAAATATTGGAATGGTTGATCATATATGCGTTGGAATGAGCCCTAGAAGGCGTTTATCGTGATGCGAATACTTTAGCAAGGTTGATTAAGATATGCTTCAGGATACATCTGAGATAGAAGATAAAATGCATAAATATCAGTCAACGAAGTGCAAAGTTGGTCTATATTAATATTTCTATTAGAGTCGGGAAAGCAGTTGTACAATCGGCGATTCGTGGTTGGTGAAGATAACGGGATCTACCCCGCGAGATATAAAGTGGCAGTTCCTCCATCTCTCTCAGAAGCACCATACAACAATGACCGAGTCAAAGACTGAGAGCTCACAGCTGGCCGACTGTAAGAATATCCCGATTATCGATCTCTCATATTTGGATAGTCCAAATTTCGATGAGCGACGGAAACTTGCTCAATCAATCTATGATGCTTGTACTCAGGTTGGCTTCTTTTACATCAAGGTAAGCGGCTTTTATCGTACTCTCGAGCTTCATCAGATATTAATATGCCTGTTCAGAACCATGGGATCCCAGAGGACAAAATCAATGGCATACACAGTTCCGCAAAGCGACTTTTCGATCTCCCCGAGGAGCAAAAGATGAAGTTCTATATTGGGAACTCTCCTGTACGTCGGCAAACTTGAACAAAGCAAGGATATACTAAGGTATACTAGAAATTCCACGGTTACAGCCCCCTAGGGGGTGAGAAATCCACAGGGACCGACGATGATCCAATTGCCGAGAAAGATGCAGTCAGTGCTCTCTCTGAAGCATTCGACATCGGATACGAAACTGCAATGGATCCTCAGAAATCGAAAGATGACCCTCTTCCCCATGATCCCTATGGGTTGTATGGAGACAATCAATGGCCTAGTCAAGATATACTTCCAGGCTTCACAGAGACCTATATTGAATATTGCGCTATGATGTTAGGACTCTGTCGGAAGCTGATGAGAATATTCGCCCTCGCTTTGAAATTGCCCGAAGGGCACTTCGATTCGATGACCACGAACCCAGGTGTCGCGTCTCGGATGATGCATTACCCACCTCAGCCTGTGAAGGAGGAAGTCCGTGAAGGGCTTGGGGCTCATACGGTAAACAATTAACCGAACTCCAGAAGAAGATACCGAAAGACTGATTTACTGGTCTACTGCTAGGATTTTGAATGCTTTACTATCCTCTCCCAGGGTAGTGTCCCGGGGCTGCAAGTCTTGAGTCACAGTGGCGAGTGGATACTGGCACCACCATTGCCGGGAACACTGGTTGTCAACATTGCAGATTGCTTGTCAATTTGGTAAGATTGGTTCGATCCTTCACGAGAGTGTATGCTGACTGGTTTAGGACGAATAAAAAGTTCAAGTCGACTATTCATCGCGTGACAAACTTGACCGGACAAGAACGTTACTCCATTCCCTTCTTCTTTGGGGTCGACTATGATACAACAGTGTCCGTTCTACCAAATTATATTTCGGACGATAGACCTGCATGCAAAGAGCCCTTTAAGGCAGGTGGGGTAAGTAATATAATATATCTAGTACCGGTGTGATAACTGATGAGAGAATAGTGGGTTCGCGAAAAGCTATCGAAAGCTTACCTTGGCTATGAAAGCTAGGGGTTGGTAGTGGATAATAGGTCTTTTTCGGATAGAATTTCTACCCTACTGTGTTGAACCTATACAAAGGTTGAAATATACAATTATGCAAATTCATATTATTTACCTGAGTCAGGGCGAAGACATTGGATGTATATCCGACATATACATGTTGTTCAAAGGCTTGATTAGTTTGTCCTATTTAGTCCCCTTGACCTTAATCCCACTTGACCTTGAATCAATGTCCTCCCAAGTTCAACCCAGCGGTGTCCCAATCCAGAAAAAGAGTTTGTAAGCATCAAATCCCGAGGGTAGGAACCCCGCACATGACGACGGACGGTTGCCTGACCACAGTGCCCTATAATAAAGTGCATCGAACAACATACGCAGCATCCAAGGTAAAGGTCATTGACTTCACAATGTCATTGCCATTCAGTACCCCGCCCTCGACGGCCACGGCTTCGCTCACACCATTCAAGGCCATCATCCCCGAAGCCAAACTCGTCGAGCTCGAGACGTTGATAAAGTTAGCGAAATTGGCACCGACTACTTACGAAAATTCTCGAACGGACGGTCGCTATGGTGTCACTACAGATTGGCTAGTAGCCATGAGGGATCAGTGGCTGGGGTCTTACCACTGGTAATGATACTTCAGCGCACCGTGCATGTGCACTACAATGCAATGCATATGATCTTGGACACAGGGCTAAAATGTCACACTAGGAAATCTTCCGAGGATCGAATCAATAGTTTCCCTCAGTATACGACCCAGATCGAGGGTCTTACGATTCATTTTGTAGGGTTGTTCTCGGAAAGGAAGGATGCCGTTCCTATCTTGTTATTGCACGGATGGCCTGGTAGGTCTATATCTTTCCCTTGATCCCATGACAAGTAAATAACCAATAAATGAAGACTGACTTGTTGTATCATAGGGAGCTTCCTCGAGTTTTTACCTATACTACAAAAGTTCCGAAAGGAGTACACGCCGGAAACCTTGCCTTATCACTTGATTGTACCTTCATTGCCGGGTTACACGTTTTCTTCTGGACCCCCACTGGATAGAGACTTTGGGACAGGTGAAACTGCTCGTGTATGTGATCAACTGATGAAAGGTCTCGGTTTTGAAAGCGGATATGTTGCCCAGGGAGGTGACATTGGAAGTCGGATTGCCAGACACTTGGGTGTGGATCATGAGAGCTGCAAAGGTATGGAACACTCATGATATGCATACTTCTTGGATTGAGCTTTTTCTGACAAGTTGCGATATAGCTGTACACGGTGAGTACTTTCATAAAGAATATCCGATGACTTGAATGCCAATATTATCTAGTCAACGTGGTTTTCATGAGAAAGCCGGACGGAATGACGGACGACCATCTGAATGCCTTTGAGATAAAAGGCATCGAAAGAATGATGAACTTTATTACTACGGGTGCAGGCTATGCGACTGAGCAAGGCACTCGACCCAGCACGATTGGGCACGTTTTGTCATCAAGCCCTATGGCTCTACTAGCGTGGTAAGCCGCGCAAAGCAAAGTGTAGTCGACAAGAACTGCAAAACTGACACCCGCAGGATTGGAGAGAAATTCCTGGAATGGGTTGACGAGCCGCTTGCCCCAGAGGATATTTTGGAGTCTGTCACCTTGTACTGGCTTACGGAGACGTTCCCCCGAGCGATCTATGCTTATCGACAAGTGAGTTTCCTCCAATGATCCTCGTCCTCCACGAGAAGACATCTGATGGGAATGAATAGAACTACCCTTCGCCGCCGGTTCCAACTTCCAATGACCCCCGTTGGTATATCCACAAGCCATTTGGATTTTCGTCTTTTCCTATGGAACTTGCTCCGCTGCCGCGCTCGTGGGTTGAAACCACTGGAGACTTGGTGTTCTGGGAGCAGCACCAGAAGGTATGCAATGCGGCAGTTAAACAAGAAATGAGGTTTGAGACTGACGCTGGTTTCCTACAGGGTGGTCATTTCGCGGCACTAGAGCAGCCTGATGAATTGAAAGCGGATCTGGTCAAATTCGTAGACCAAGTGTGGCCAGGTATTACTGGGGCCGAGTAAGCTAGGGCCAATATCCAGGGTAGAAAGGTAAGTATTAATATAAATGAGTTTATGTTAGGATATTTCCAGGGACTGCGATGCTATAGCAACGAGCAACGCCTGCGTAGAACATCCTTATTGCCTGAAAGAACCACTGCATCACTGCATAAATTTGCCATTAACTCCAAACAAAGATATCTCCATGAAACGTTCATATATTGGTGGATTAGTAAAGTAATTGAGGGTGCAGTCGGGAAATTCAAATACGGGTTGTTTATCAGATCGCGCCCACCTCTATTTAACTTCCCATCTCCAACTACATCCCAACAAGAACCACCGGAGCATCATATTTTTGTCCCCAGTGCCACCTAAACAATGACATCAACTACAGCAGCCGATGAAATATTATCCGACGAATCAAGCTTCTACGGTAACCCCATCAAATACCCCAGTCCACCCCAAGAACCCCATCTAATTCATACCAGGCGACGACGATGAAAAGACCCAATTGGAAGCATATGTCTCATCATACGACCCAGAGCCATTCTGGGTAGAAACCCACCAGAAGCTGCTATCAACCATCCAGCAGCAACTGCGCGCGCCGCCGACACGCGCAACGGCCACATCATCAGACATATCAATGGACGATGCATCCCCAGAACCAGGCATAGTACCACGCAACCAGCGCGGGAAGACCGAGCCTATAGCTCGCTTTTTATCGCGTCTTCCGCCCTCAGCAACAGAAGCCGCGGACGTAGGCCCCTGGATCTGGATGTTCAATCCGCACATGCCCTCCAACCAGAATGGGGATGGGGATGTTCCCACCCTGCTTCGAAAAGGCAGGGAGATTCTTCAGGAGTACGAGAATGAGAGTGCGGTTTTGCGCGAGGCGCATGATAAATCTGGCGCGAAGACTACGGCTTCCTTGACTCGTAAATTGAATCCGATGCGGAAGAAGCTTGAGAAGAGTATCCTTGATCTCGCGAGGGAGACTGGTGTTACCAGTGGGAAGTGGATGCTTTTTCCGACTGCGGATCAGGTTGATGAGCTTTGGGGAGGAGTTGTTAGGGCGATGGAGAAGGGGGAGCTTGGGAATGCGGCGAAAGTTGCTACTGACGGTGGGGGTGGAGAGAGTCGTTTGATTTGTGTTTACACGGATGATTTTGGGGATGTTGAGGATGTTAAGCGGGTTGTCAGTAAGTTGGTTGATATTGGGCTTGTTGGGAAGGGGCCTCGGTCTGTTTACTACAAGCCTGATGCGTTTACTCATCTGGAGATTAACTCTAAGAATGAGTATGGGCTCAAGGCGAGTATGTATTCGAGTCGGGAGGTGCTTGAGGGGAAATAGGTGGAATTATGGCTTGTTGGGGTTTGTTTATGACTGATGGGGATATGATTGACGATTAATGTTATGCTGTAGTGGGTATCTCTGAACGCAGTTATCTACATATTTATGATACTTGATGTGTTTCCGGGCCATAGAGAGGGTAAGCTGTATGCCCAAGGCATTCCCAGAAGCCGAGGCAGCGGTGATTTCGTGGGGTGTTCGCTAGGACTGGCTGGAGGCAGGTATCGATTGATCATGTCTTGCATAGATCGGGAACGATTTATTTTCATGAATGAGCCAGCTCATTCATGGCCGCAGCTGTTGGTTCAGCCAGAAGTGATAGCTCACTTCAGCAGCAGTCCATTGCCGAGGAGCTCCAACCACATGGATTATGGCCGAAGAAAGGTGTGTAAGGAGGTGTTCAGCCATCGTGACGTTCCCTGTTCATGACTTTCTCACACCCTCCCCGAATCTCAGCAACCCCCTTAACATCACCCCAAGCGTCGAGTAAATGCTGAATCTCTTTCCAGTCTTTCTCCGCATCCTCTTGTTTATCCTCCGCCACGAGCTTCTCCAATCTCTGCGGTGCAGCAAGCACCCACCGAACAGTATCCTTCTCGCGCTTCTGAGTTGAAGCTTCGTCTTCCTGTTTCGCTTCCTTCATTCGGCGGCGCTGCTCCTCACCTTCCTTAATGAGCCCACCAGCAGTCTCAGCAACAAAAGCAATAGCCGGACCAAGCGTTTTCGTCATAGTCAACGGCGCACCGCGATCATCCATACTACGCCGCATTTTCCCAATTGTCTCCACAGCGCGGATCAACTTCGAGTAGTTATCGTAGACCAGCGCCTTCCGCTCTCCGTCGAGAGTGCGGATATCCCCAACCAATGTATTCTCAGCCTTGAGCACCGTAGATAGGGACGACGATGACAAGAGATGCTCGACATACCGCTGCGGGTCGAAGTCTGCACTGTCGAGCTCCGTTCCTGATCCTAGAGCGGTTGGGTCGGAGATATCTCCTGCATCTGTGTTCCGCGGCACACTCCGGGAGCGAGATGGGTCTCGGGAGGCAGATGTGTCTGCTCCAGGAGGTTTGAGGTTGTAGTAGTCTCGCAGGGCGCTGCGATTGCGTCGCAAATGGAGTGAGGGGGAGAGAGCTCGTGCGGTGGATGGGGTAGATGCGGCGCTGAGCCCCCCGCTGACATTGGTGTTCGAGGCATCGAGTGATGGGCGGGAGGAGGCCGGGCCCGGGGAGTGGGCTCGAGAGGAGGCAATGGACGGACGTGGAGATGATAGAGTCGACATTATGGTAGGTTTTTAAGGGAGGTGTATCGGAGTTGTCGGAGGTGAGAGCGTCGGGCCAGGTCAATTGCTTTAAGCGGTGGTCTGTGCTTTGGTTTTCGCGTTGAGAGCTTTCCCAACTTCCAAGCTTCTCTTTGGTTTACCATACGCGCCAATATGATCCTAAGGGAATCCAACACACCATGACTAGTCCCGATCAAATTGCAGCCCAAATACTAAGCACAAAATCCCTCTCAGTCGCCCAACCCTGGCTCAATGCCTTCCTATCGTCATCCAACACAGCACAACGCAATATCCCCCCCTCGGCTCTCGCAAAGACGGCTATATTCCGTCTGCTCGCCTCTGATATCCAAGAATCACTCTCCAAACACAGATCCTGCGTGCTACCAGTCGACATTCACGACCCGACAGTCCAAGAACGACGGCTGCAAGGCTCAATCCCCGTGCAAGTGCTAGATATCGAGGACATTGGCACGAGTCTATGGAGCCAGATCGAAGCGATTGAACGTGTTGAGCGCGGCGAGGCCATCCATGGTCGCGAAATAGTGCGCACAATAGCTGTAGGCGAGGACCCTGAGGCGTCAGAAAACAACCGCGCAAATAATAACCCTGCGAACGGTGCTGCGAGTGCGTCGGGGAACAGTGGGTATGGGCCGCACCGGCTGATTCTTCAGGATGTAGCAGGGACTATGGCTGTGGGTGTTGAAATGCAACGTATTGATGGGATAGCGTTGGAGAAACTTGCTATTGGGGCGAAGCTATTGCTCCGTAATCCATCTGTTGCGAGAGGTATGGTGCTGCTTTCTCCGGGGTCTGTTACTTTGCTCGGTGGCAAGATTGAGGCTTTGGATAAACCGTGGAGGGATGGTAGGAAGGCTAGGTTGCTAGAGAAGACGGCAGGTGTTGAGAGAGAATGAGAACAGAAGTCATCGCGGACTCAATTGGCTAAACAGCCGGCGGAGTGTGGTTCTTTTATTACGCATTTTATTATTAAGGTATGGGATTTGCATTTCTCTTAATTTATCATGAATACATTTCTTGTGTTGAATCTGATATTGTCATGTTCATTCGCTAAAAGCTGATGTGCAGTTAAAAAGTAGATACACTGTGCGTCGAGTTCACCCAGCCCCCGCGCTTGTATAGCGCTTGTGTAGCAGGGTAGTTACCTCATGGTCCGATTACTCCGGTCCGTGGCCTGTACAGCGCTTCCATGCCAGGAAAGGTTTCTCATCGTCCGAATCCTCCAATTTATGGCCAGTGCAGCGTGTCCACATGTTCCGGGTAGGTACATTATGATTCAGTTCCTCCCACCCAGTACGTTTCCATGGGGCAATCATGATCGCTCGGAAAGCGTCACCGACCTTGCCAGTTTGCGCGTAGGCTTGGCTGAGCTCCTCGGCCCTAAGATTACCGTAAGGAGGCACGCTCCGTAGAGCGCGTTTGATAGTCATGGCGGCTGGGTACGGGTTTCGCGACGCTGCCGACAATTCCATCCATCCGGCAGATTGGCCGGGTGTAAGCATTACAGCAGTAGTGGCATCGCCAAGACGCCGGACGCTTTCGGGGACGGCTGCATTATCGTTGAGTCCCATTGCTGAGATGGCACTCAGAAGTTTGATGATTTTCGCTCGGTCGTGGACATCGATGTCATCACGCGAGATCATGCTATTGAGGTCTGATTCAACTGCTTCAATGGCGTCCCGGTCCGCATCGAGAAGAGCGATGGCACCCATAAGGGTGACTGCTCCGATATGGCTAGGGTGATTCATCACGCAGTCGAGCAGTTGCTCGCGAGCAACAGACCGGTTCTCCTCACCACCCTTGGCCCACAGGACCTGGGCAAGAAGGCAGACAACATCCGGAGCATTCTCTGCTTCTTCGAGGGCGTCGCGGAACATATCGATGGCTTGGTCCATAGACTTCAGGTTGTAATGTGCTAGACCAGCGGTCAGGTGCGCAGACAGACGAAGCTTCTTGCAGGCTTCGGGGTCGAATTTCTCCGCGTCTTCCTCCCCAGAGAGAGAGAGCGCGAGCTCGGCCTTCTCGGCCGCCGCTTCATAAGAGTGGCGTGCAAGCAGGACACGAGCCATATCTGCGTTTGCTTGGGCATACCTCGAAAGAGAAGCTGGTGACTCGGTCTTTTCGAATTCGTCTTCCATGCCTGAACAGACAACCTGCAATCCAGACTCGGCATCTGCAGTCTCGCCCATTCTCTCTGCCAACAGGGCGGAAAGATGGACAAACGGCAAGTTTGACGGATCTTGGATGCAGAGTTGGTGCAGTGCGAAGAATGGCTGAATGAGTTCGGCCACGTTAGAGGATGAGGCATCATTGAGATGATCAAAGTGGGTCAGGCTGAACTGGCGCTTAGTGAGAATATCGGACGAGTTTGAGATATCAAAGGCATGCTCGAAATAACCCCTCGCCTCCTGTGTCTCGCCAACATGAAGTGAAACGAAGCCTTGGCCCACCCAAGCCGGTGAATAGTCTGGGTCAGTGGCCTGCGCTCGCAAGAAGGTCTTGTATGATATGTGGCCTTCTTCATAAAGGAGGTAGAGTGCTCCGAGATTTGTCCAGACTTGTGCATTGCGTTCATTCAAATGCAAACTTCGGACGAACGCATGCTGCGAGACCTTCGGACTCATGATTGCAGTGACGACACCCAATGCGTTCCAGAAATCGGCATTTCCCGCCTCTAATTCGATTGCTCTCTTGAAGCAGCGCATGGCTGCTTTGATGAACTTGCGAGACTTCTTGCCTTTCTTGGTCGAGTCCAGCTGCACATTGCAATAGGCCAAATATTCAGCCCAACCAAGGTTGTACCAGGCAACTGCTTGGGAGTGAACGTCATGCACGGAAGCGTGGAGTGCACGTTTAAAAGCGATTATGGACAGGTGAACGTAGAACTCAGATGGCATTGACTCTTCACTTTCATTGGCTGCGAGCCAATCAGTTCCGACGCCATCAATATCGGTCATGACATCAAGGGCCATAGGGTCGAGTTCGACCGCCAGTAAAGCCTTGCAGCTGGAAGCAGACAGCTTTCCAGTCTTGGCCTTCATGTAGGAGAAGTTGGAGAAGGCATCGCCTACAGCCTTCCACAGGTTGAAGATGTCGCTTTTGATCTGCGCCAGCGAGCTGGCCACCGAAATAGCTTGGTATGCGAGCTCTGCCGCATCATTGAAGAGACCTTGGCCAAGGCTCTTCGCCGAACTCTCAGTCAGGGTCTGAAGAAGCGCGAGAGTCACACCAATGTCACCAGGCCGGGATTTCAGGACATCTTCGTAGGCAGCGATGGCGTCGTCATACTGGCCAAGCTCCCGCCTGACGTTTGCCAGCATATACCTTGCAAACCATACATGTTCCTTGTCTTTATCTGAGAGCGCTGGTTCCAATAGTTCTGCTTGCTCAAAGGCCTTGGTGGCGGCGTTATATCGACCAGAGTGGTGATAGCTTTCGGCAAGACCGACCCATGAGTGGTAATCTGTTGGCGCGAGTCGAAGCGCTGCTTGGAAGGACACAACACTTTTGCTATATTGTTGTTTGTTAACCTGAACCGACCCCAATGCCGCATATGGCCAGCTGAACCCTCGGCGCTTTGAACCAGGGGAAGGCCTAGCCTTGCCGGAGTCAACCACCCGCTGCGCAACTGCTTCAACAAGGTCCCATTCCTTCGAGTCGGCAAAGCCCCTGGCAAGACGCTCGGCGGCTTCGATCTCAGAGGCTGACAGTTCAAATGCCTTGTGGAAGCATCTGCGAGCTCTGGCCTTATCCTTCTTGTAGTCTGCGTAGTAGAAGCCAAGGATGGTGTATGCTGGAGCGAAGTTCATATTCGCCTGGATGGAAGCAAAGAGACTAGCATAAGCACCACTCCGATCTTTGCGCGCAGCTGCGGACGGATCAAGCTCCCACTGGCAGTAACCAATGCGGTAAAGAAGCTCGGATTTGAACTCCCTGTTGTCGGGTTGAGCTTCTTTCAGGTCCTCATGCGCAGCCTGAAGACTGACTAGGCCACCTTCAAGGTCGCCGCTCAATGCTTCACACCAAGCAAGCTCTCCGCGAATCTTGAGATTAGCAGGATCGCGTTCAAGTGATCGCCGCAGGAAGTCAACAGCTTCTGCGTAGTCTTGATCCTCTTTCAAAATCAAACCAATCCCAAGCAGGCAATTGGAGGAGGTTGGGTTCCGTTCGAGGATGCCCTCAAAGATCTTCTTCGCATCCGGGTGATATCGGGGGGATTGATAATAGATCATGGCATTGGCAAGTGCATTGTTCAGGGAATCAACGGTGTTGGGGATCTTGACACCACTGTACTTCACCAACTTCTCAATGTACATCAACCCCTTACGAGCAACATTGACCACGCTCTCATACTCTTCGAAAGAGAGGTAGACATTTGCCATGATACGGTGGGCAATAATTGAATCTCGAGCGGAATCCAAGCCCGTGACCATAAGGACGAGAGGGTCTTGAGGAGCAGTTTCCCCATCATCAATTTCGTTACCAGGCTGTGTAGCTGTGATTTCCCTGCTATCCTTGCCATCTTTGTCTTTTGTTTCGTCCGAAGGGTCATTGGGAAATGGCGATAGTCCGCTCAATAAAAATCCTTTGAGGACCTGCGAGAGTCCAGATTCTGGGAAGAACTCAATGTACTCGCGCAGGTGCCCCACATCATACTGGGAGAAATCCTGAACGTCCAGCCACCCCAGGAAAACCTTCCATGCGGGTTCGAATGGATGTTTGATGATCACCATGTCATGTGCTGCCTTAAAAACAGCCGCTCTCTTCCCCTCCTTCTCGGCGTCAGGCAGAAATCCAAGTTCTTCATATGCACGCTGAAACAACTTCTCCTCGTACTGACGACGTTCCGTATCGTCGTTGGTCCAATCAATCATTCCTTGATAAAATTGGTCCAATCGGCTCTTGTTAGCAGCTTCCCTGCGAACTTCCTGGGTGACTTGTTCGATGCGAGCACCAAGACGTGTTCTGCGCTCTCCAATCTCACGATTGATAAACTCTCTTTCCTGGCGCTCGGTGATTTCGATCAATCGCTGGTATGTTTGGGATGGACGAGGTAACCGGCCCTCAAGGAAGTCATACAGAGGTGAGCCCGGTATCTGGAGTTCCAATGCATGCTTGTGTTGGGCTAGGGTCCCCTTGTTCTTCATTGTCTTTGTGTACTTGTTGATCAGATCTTGGCAGCGTTCCTTCTCGTCGCTAGAAGTTATTAGCACTATGTCCTTCCTACAGGAATTACAAAGGAATCAAGGCATACTTCTCGGCGAATATCTTTCCAAGGGCAATGACTGCCTTGTGATAACCAGCATGGTCACAGCCACCCTGTTTCTCGTACAGGGAGATCAAGCCCTGCCAAGCAGTTCTATCGCTGGGGTTGATACCTAACGCAGCATGATAGGCATTCTCCGCGTCATGGTTCTTATTTAATCGATCGCAGGCGAGACCGAGGAAGACATTCCTTAGAGAAAAAAAACCAAATTAGCCACGTTCCTTACAGAATCAGGAATCATCATACGCGTGGTAATTATTCGGGTCATTCTTGACAAGCTCCTTTGCTTTTGCAGCAGCAGCTTGGTAATCTTGCGATTCCAAAGCTGCTCGCACGGCTTTCAATGCCGCTTTGCTCGACATTATTCCCGTTGTGCAAAGGCAGCGGGGAGAAACCGTCTTGGTGGAGCAAAGCCGGTCGGCTAGCTCGCGATACGTCACTTCTTATCGTTATCGAATGTGGACACTGATGGTTCGAGCTGGCAATGAGCTTGCCGTTAGCTTGAAGGTTTGAATCGGTAAATAGAAGAAAGGAATTTACCTTGGAGATCTCACGGTGGACGTGCTGAGAACGAAGAACAATTCGAGAGAGTCAGGATCTTCTGCGAGGCTTCTGGGAGTGGTCAGAATCACGTGTTCTAGTGATTTGGACGAAGATATCGGGCAGCTCGGCACTAGTGACCTTCGTAAAAGGTTGCCAAGGCTCGTTCGCAAGCTATTTCAATACTGCTAGTCGAGTTAATCAGAAAGTCGTTGCCTGTCTCAAGATACCTACTTCCCGCGAGCTGTGAACTTTGCATACTTCGTTTCTTGACTTGCTCACCCTGAAGCATCCCGCGCGCGGCACTACGATCTCGTTCAACTTTGACCTTCGGTACCACTGGGGCAACTATGGCCCCTCTGCGCCTGAAAGTCGAGGGACAATCTTTTCGAGACCCCCACAACCGGGAGATTACACTAAGGGGGATAAACGTTGCGGGCGAAGCGAAATACCCAAAGACACCCGACATCCCCACATACATCGCCGACAAATTCTTTGACGCGGACAATATCTCATTCGTTGGACGGCCTTTTCCACTGGAGGATGCCCATATTCATTTCAAACGCCTTCGGAAATGGGGTTATAACACTATCAGGTACATCTTTACTTGGGAAGCCATCGAGCATGCGGGACCGGGAGTTTACGACCATGAGTGGGTTGAATTCACCATAGAAGTCCTCCGGATAGCTAAACAATACGATTTCTGGGTCTTTATGGACCCGCATCAGGATGTGGTAAGTTTATGTGAATCGCCCCAGCAAAGAACTTACAACCCTCATGCTAACTAACCCCCTCTTAGTGGTCTAGGTTCTCAGGGGGATCTGGGGCACCGATGTGGACGCTCTATGCAGCAGGACTAAACCCTAAAACCTTCAAGAACACGGAAGCCGCCTTGGTTCAAAACACATACGATATCCCCGCAGAGTTTCCCAAGATGATCTGGAGCACAAATTATACTAGACTGGTTTGTCAAACCATGTTTACTTTATTTTGGGCTGGACGGGACTTTGCTCCTAAGGCAGTTATTGATGGGATTAACATTCAAGATTATCTCCAAAACCACTTTATTGATGCGTGTGCATATTTGGCACGGAGAATTCATGAAGCGGGTGATCTCGATGGCGAAGTTATCATTGGCTGGGAAAGCATGAATGAGCCTCATCGCGGCATTATTGGTGTGCAGGACATTTCAGTAATTCCACCGGAGCAGCAACTTCAACTTGGTACTTCACCGACAGCATTCCAAGCAATGCTCACTGGCTCAGGCAAGGCCTGCGAGCAAACAACATGGGCGTTTGGAAACTTCGGACCTTATAAGACTGGCACAACTCTGGTGGACCCGGCAGGTGAGATAGCCTGGTTGCCAGCTGACCATGATGACAGCAAATATGGCTGGCAACGTGACCCTGGGTGGAAACTTGGAGAATGCATTTGGGCTCAGCATGGGGTTTGGGACCCGTCTACAGACACTCTTCTACAGAAGGATTACTTCTCAAAGAACCCCAAGACGGGCGCGCCACTTGACTATGAGAAATTCACCAACTCGTATTTCTTGGATCATTACCGAGAATATAAAAATGCCATTCGAGGAATTTGGTCCGATGCAATAATGTTTTGCCAGCCGCCTGTGATGGAGGTACCGCCAGATGTCAAAGGCACTGCTGACGACGACCCGAACATGGTCCATGCGGTTCATTTCTATGATGGGTTAACTCTTTTGACAAAGCATTGGTGAGATTGGGTGAAGGTTTTTTTAATTAAATGTCGGTGTACTGACTCCTGCAGGAACCGACTCTACAATGTGGATGTCATTGGGGTTCTCCGGGGCAAGTACCTCACCCCTGCCTTTGCGCTTAAGGTTGGCGAGACGGCTATTCGCAACTGTTTGCGTGACCAGCTCAAGTTCCTCCGCGATGAAAGCCGGAATTACATGGGCAATCATCCGGTGGTATTTACTGAGATTGGAATTCCGTATGACATGGACGACAAGAATGCATACAAGACCGGTGACTATAGTAGCCAAACCAGCGCCATGGATGCAAATCATTTTGCACTGGAGGGCAGTACGTCCAATGGCTTCACTCTGTGGGTATATGTCACACAGGTAGGTATCTTTGCCCCTCAAATCATGAATGATATTGACAAACCGTAGAATGACCACGGATGGGGTGACCAATGGAACGGGGAGGACCTGTCTATTTATTCTCGTGACGATCTAGAACTGCCAGCAGGATCCAACACACGGCCTCTTGATACCCATTCCCCGGCCTACTCCGAAAGCCAGAGTAGCGGAGCAGAGCCAAATGTTGGACCTCGTAATCTCAAGGGTGCTTTATCAACCCCTTCGATCTCCAGTGACCGCTCCCAGCCATCTCTCCGAGAGCAGCAAGGTTATCGCGCTGCAGAGGCATACCTCCGCCCGAGTCCAACATACGTGAGCGGGAAGTTAGATAGTCATGTTTTCGATCTCAAGAATTGTGCATTTACTCTATCGCTGACAGCCAAAGGGGCAACAACCGCAAATGCCCCTACCGAAATATACCTTCCTGAGTTCCATTTCCCAGAGAGCAACATCGCGGTTGCAGTCAGCGGTGGCAAGTGGGACATGAACGTCCAAGACATCCACGGTGTCAAGCTACAGCACCTGCGATGGTGGCATGCTGAAGGAGAACAAGACATCAAGATCGAGGGACTCAAGCGCAGACCTGGGGAGTTTGCTAATCCTGGAGGTGCTGATGTCAGCTATCTAGAGCAATGTCAGAAGGCCCAGTGTGTCATGATGTGAAGTTACTACTTCCAAGGTTATATTTCGAGAGCTGAAGTTCCTATTTGCCAATTTGATATCAATTGCTTCATTACATATATATCTTTCAATTTGTTTTTTTTTTCTATTGCCTCTCCAAACTTCAAAGGGTAAAAACTGGACAAAAGGCATCAGATGATTGTTTAAATCAAACTCGAAGGTACTTTTGAGTGTATATGTATGTGATAGGTCTATAAGTCGAAGTATACAACGACCGTGGGCATGTGAGATAAGATAAACAATGATGAGGGGCATTAGCTCGCATACTAGGCAGCTATGATGACACCAAAACAACGTTGATTAGCATAGAACAAAGAAATATTATAGCAATTGTTACCTAAATAATCATCTATAACCTTGAAATGCTTCAATCGAGTCCTCTATCTAGTGCATCGCAAGTGTGAGAGAAGAGCGGAGCATCAACGTGTGAGCGGTGTGCCCTGGTTGATCTTCAGGGAAAATTCTCAGCCCGACCAATTGTGTTCTGCAAGTATTCCCTCTCATGATCTCACTTCGCCAACTACCTACATTGCAAAAGTACCGATTTACAACTTCAAGTCCGATCCTCAACCTCGAGCCACCCTTCCCCCGGAAAGAGCGAGTGGCGCGTGCGGATGGCCGTTGCGGTGTCCGACTGCTAAACTAACACAGGACAAGTTCAACGGCCATCGAGTCTTACCTGCGCTCCTCTGACTATGAGACGCGGTCTACTACAGTGACACGAGACCGAGACTTCACTTTTTTTGTTCACCAAATACTCCTGCAACGCGTCGACAAGATGGCTGCGGAGGAGCTGTCGGAGGGCGGCATGGTCGACATCATCCGTGCTTTGCAACTCATTCACAACCCTGCATCGTCAAATGATATACGGAAGGAGGCTTCCCAGTTCGTGGAGAACTTGAAAGAGTCTGATGCTGCGGCGCGAAATGGCTTCCTTTTGGCTTCCCGTATGGAGCATGAGCCCGTTGTCCGATACTTCGGTCTTACTCTCCTCGATCATGTTCTTCGCCAATACAACTTTACGAACCCCGAAGAAGCCAAGACCTTACGCATGATGATTTTGCAACTCGCCGAGAACATCCGCCCCGAAGACCCTGCCTATTTCCGGAATAAGATCTCCCAACTGTGGACCGAGGCCGCTAAGAAGACTTGGGGGTTGGATTGGATGGATATGGATGCCAACCTGGTTCAGTTCTGGGGTGCATCTCTCGTTCACAAAGAGCTGGTTCTCGCTGTTCTTGAGACCCTTTCCGAGGATGTCTTTTTCCGAGAAGATACTGCCTCGTCGTTACGAGGAGGTGAGCTCAACCGGTCGCTCATCGAGATCTTTACTCCTGCAGGCATCGTGGAGCAAATTACTGGGGATAAAAACATCCCCACCATCCCACGCTGTGGACAGGAGGGCTGGCTAGTTCGAATCTGCGAATTTCTCGACAATTGCGTCCAGAATGTCTCTAGCTCGGAACAGGCTCGGGATGCGGCCATAAAAGCCCTGGCAACTTTGAGATCTGCCTTGTCATGGTCCATCTACAAAGGTGTTATTGCGTCCCAGGTTGTTCCCAGCATTTTCCGAGCTTTGCCTTGTCAAGACGACCAGGTGCTTCTCTCTGCAATCGAAGCACTTCATGCGCTCTATGGAAGAAATACTATCGGCAGCGAAGACTCGTACGAGCTGATCTGTTTGATCTTTGAGTCGGAATACCTGGTTGTTCTTCAAAGGCTTTACGAATGGTCAATCGTGGGCCCAGATGACGTTGATGATCCCAAATATCTTATCTCTAAAAAGCTTTCTGAGATGATCTCATATATCGCAGGATGCTTGGAAGATGACAAGTTCTTAGTCTCTACCATGGACCGTTTGAATCTGCCGCCATTCCTGCAATTCATGGCCAATATCATGCAACACCAGAGCTTGACGGTCTCCATACCTTGCTTGCACCTTTGGTCCCGACTGTTACAAAACTCAAAAATCAGTAACTTGGACTTTGTGGTAGAGCACACTCCTCAGTTCTTGAACATTTGCACTCAGAGGCTTCTTCGTTGGGAGTCTCTCCCCACCGAATCCGATGATCCGACGGTACAATTCTTGATCGAAGATATTGACACAGTTCCCGAACGACATGCTTTTGTCGGAAATTACCGCCGTTACTGCTCCTCGATTATCGAAATCATCACAGTCAAGCGTCCTCAAGAAGCGGTGCGTGAAATTCTCGCCCGGGTGGACACCAACCTCGATAACTTGTATAGCGGTGTTCAACCATTTAGCAGTGAGTGTTACCAGCCTACCGAACTATGGACTCAGCGGCTCATTCATTTTACAGTGTCAACTTTCTCCAAATCGTCGATCCCTCTCATGCGAGCGGATGCTCAATTCGCAGTGGTAGAGGCTGTCATCAAGGGTTACAACAAGTGGGTTTCGGCTCATGGAAAAGCACCCCAACGTGATGTGAGAAGATCAAGCAGAAAAATAATCATCGGTTGCTAATACGTAACAGGAGTCTAAACGAATGGAATTAGAACATGCGGTGGAAAACTGGGCTTCAACTCTAATGCAAAAATCTTTTGAGGTATGTCACTTTGCCCAATTCCAAGGAGATTCCTCCACTCATCTCTTCGCCATAGGATCCTGTTCTGAAACAAAGAGTCATCAAATTGGCTGTCGACATCTCTTCGAGGGCTTTGGACAATCATCCAGGATTTGCGCTCAAAGTTCTGGAACACATTCTTATGTCACGTCTACCAGATCAGTCCGAATACCCATTGTATTCCGAGGCTGTCAAAGAACTTCATGGATTGGCAAGCTCTGAACTTCGTCGGTTGGCTATGCGCTATGCGGACTACTTCTATGTATGTCAATCCTCACATACTGATCGTCCTGTACCCTCTAACCGTGCCCGCTGCAGACTTTCTATGACCTCCTTGAGCCAAAGATCAAAGAAATCACGCTGGCTAACCGCATTGATGACAAGTTGCAAATGGAACTGACTTCCATCTTGCTCATTATCATGTAAATTTTCTTCTGATTCCTGTTATCCGTCTCAATTGCCCAATACTGACTCAACACAGGCAACGCGCAATCAATGCTGATCCTTATCTGCGTCAAAATCGCCTTGCAGCCTTCCTCCAGCCGATCCAAGAGTCATGGCAAGACGACGAATTTCGTCAGAACAGCTCCACTTTCCCCGGGTTTTGTAATATGCTTGGATTGGAAAATGTTGGCCCATACATGCAATCCAAAGAAGCACAGAAACTGGCAGACTGGTCTGAGGTTGTCTTGGACGCCGAAGGAAGGTTAGTCCAAGAAGAGATGACCAGAAAATTTCAGGTAAGAAAAGCCAAATCTCATTCCCGTGATAGGACCAATCTGACCCATTATATTCCAGCTGTTGCCATTGCGTGGCACCAAGACTATGTTGGCTGTTTCCACAGATCGAGTCAAAAAGTCTACACCAGCCTATGTGACCGCTTGCGACATGTGGCACGAATTGATCCCTGTTATTCTTCCCACCTTGCTGCAGCTTGTCAGGTAATTTACTATGCTAATGCAGATTCATACCATCAAGCTAACTTTCAATTTCAAGACACGCCCATGCTTTCCACAACCCTGCCAATTGGAATATGGTCGAAGGGATGCAACCAGTAGTCGAACGCATACTCACAGATCGATTTTGGCAGGCTGGTATTTCTATCGGTAGCCGCGACGAGTTCTACGCCCGAATCACATCATCAAAGTCTACACTTGAAGGGTTTGCATCATCGGTTCGAGGAAAAGTCAGAGCTGTCCGTGAAGCGTGCTACTCCATGCTATTCAGCATGAGTAGGATGCGAGAGCACTTCTATGGATTCGCCGAACTCCCAGGACCCCTATCTGAAGCATTATTCGTTGACTCACCGCACCTATCCTCCCACCAGTTCTCGGTTCTTCTCAACATCTCGCGTTGTCTGATTGACGACTGCCCTGTGCAATTCCGCAGCCAATTCTTGCCCCCCATGCTATCGACTCTGTTCACCAACATTGATCGAAAAGTCACCGCAGAATGGGAAATCATTGAACAACGCAGGAATGGAATTTCGGACGGAGATCTCACCACAGAGATGAAGTCCGAAAGTGTCCTTCGCCAGTTGACTTACTCTGCTGTGATCATGGTAGCCAGTCTATTCGATCCACAGAGAGGTGGTAAAGCCCCCCTGATCCATCAGACATAAGCATAAGACACTCAATACTGACGGAACTTTACCTCTCAGACCCAGATGGGACTGAATCGGACCCCAGTGCACCCCAGCCGACCCCGAACCTCTCTGATTCTATCCGCCATTTCGTCCTCTCCTCCCCACAGATCTTTGAGCCAGTCATGCTCTTCTGTACGCACGCTCTTCGCATGCGCGATACACGCAGCGGTAGCATTATCACCCGCGTCATTCGGTCAATTCTTCAAGACTTTGCGCCCACAAACGATACCCCGGACACCCAAACAATCGCGACCATCCGCGAATTCATATGTACTGATGTCCTCACAGCATGCATTTCATCCGTACATGAATCATACTTTGTCGATATGCAAAAGGACCTCGCTCAGCTAATTGCATCAATTTGGTGTCTCTATGGCTTCTGTAGCGAGACCCCTCGTGCCGTTTTCCTGAGTTTGCCAGGAATCAGCGCAGATAAAGTGGCCAGTACCGAGTCTGCACTTCATCGCACTACCTCACCAAGGCAGCAGCGTGCATTGGTATTGGAGCTCCTTGAGCCCTTGCGCGGCATCAGTATTGCCGAGCAAGGGAAGATACTGGGTTCTCGCGAGGAACGTCGTAAGGCTCGTTCAGCACTGCAGGAGCGGTACATGACCAATGAGATGGAGACACAGCAACAGAACCACCGTGTCGATATTAACGATGGTCCTGATCTTGGTGGTGTGGCCGATCTATTTGGATAGTCCAAGCATCATGTCCTTTGGACAGTGAAAAGGTTGGATATGCTGTGGTGCTGTCGGGCTTGTTGATTCTTCATTTCACATACCATGGATGGTCCATCTCCATTCTGTACACCACTCGCGGCCCGACTTCCATTTTTCAGCGTCACATTTCGCCTTGCTTTCTGTCTAGATCTGCGTTGCAGCTTTATCAACTACCCCCGTCGCTAGCGAGCAGCGGCGCTTTGCAAGAGATGATGTCATAAAAAACCCACATAGCATTATACACAAATATATTACTTTCTCTACGATTAGCTTATTTGTGGTTCTGCCACGGGATGAAGATTTTGAACGAGCAAAGAAATAAAACGTATTGCAAAAGACTGAACTAAACCCTTCACTAGGCAAGTAATATCTACAATGTTTTCCTCAAAATAACTTCGAGATGGTTTACCCCAACTACCACCACAATGCTTCTAGCTCTCCCACAACGATCAGAAAGGCCCAGTTCAGTCTGTATACCATGGAGGCAAGGGGTCACTCAACCAAGCATCCCAAACACCAGCATCATACAGAGTCAAAAGGAGGAAATGAGATACAATATCGCTCAAAATAAGTGTGACATTGTCAGACTGTCTATTGAGTGAGGTTGGCGGGGGTATAGGCGAAAGTAGGGCGGATAAAGCTGTCAAGGCAAGCAATATTAGCATGAATCCAGGAAATGATATAACGCCAAACTGCGCTTGCATAGGACTTACCGGTCAGAGTTGTAGACCTTGGCATCGGTACCGAGAAGCTCCTTCGCGCGCGCCTTGTCGGCGTAGTGCCGGCGGACCTGATCGCGGTCCTCCTCGGCCTGAAGGAGAGGAGTGAGGTGCAGACGGGACCAGATCTTCTCACGAGCGAGCTCACTGTGTTCACACACATATTAGTTATTGAGTTCGCTTCTTGCTTCCGCTACCCGGTTTGCGTCGGGTTCCAATTGCGGTCCTCTCGGGTCGATCGGAGGCAGGAAAGAAGCCTGTTGCTGGACGAAACGTACCGCTGCTCACGGACACCGTGGAAGTACTTGTAGAAACCGTAGGCCATGATAACGTGCATGCCAATCATGTAGTAGGCGGGCTTGAAGCCACGGGCGGGGACGTTTCGCTATAGAAAGTAAGAAACGAAACTGTTAGCTCGGATGTCTGTGTGCTGGGTGCGCAGGGCCATTGGGGGGTCGGAAACTGAGCTGTATGGCTTACCTTGTACTGGACTTGAGCGTAGCCCCCCGTTGGGGGCATATCCTGAGGCATTGTGACGGTAATGAGCGGGTAAAGGGCTTGGAGGGATAGCGAGGAGCCGCTGTGACGATTGGAGAAGTTGGGTCTGGATGGTCACGTGAAATGTGCACAGTAATGAGGGCTGCGACGCACGTCATTGGTTAATGGATTTCGGGGCGGGCGCTTTTTGATCTTTTGATCTACAGTCGACAGCCCACCTTAATATTTTGCTTGCCAGTTCCACTACACGAGGATGGAGGAGCAAGAGCGACCTCGAAAATTAGCCAAAATCGACCACGACGAAGATACCATCCACGAGGTGCTCGGCCCTGCCATGACTGGAGCTGGTGATGTTGCCGGCAACAAACCGGAGCCCGTGTGCGCTCAGATTGGCAACGAACCTCTCGATCTCTCAGAATTTACGGTTCAGAAGGATACAAAACCCGCCAATGAGTCTACATCTCAAGATGGCGGCGACGGAGTCGCCCCTGTTATGTCAAAAAATCAAATGAAGAAACTACGCCGCGCGGAAGCTCACCAGCAAAAGCGCGCGCTTCAAAAGTCCCAGAAGAAGGAAAAGCTCATACAAAAGCGAGACCGTCGCAGGGCTATGGTTGAGGAGGCAAGGGAAAAAGGCGGCGAGGCAGCTGTCAACGAGCTACGCCAGTTATGGCGAGGCAAGAAAGCCAAGCACACCAGGTCAACACTACTACCTCTGACGTTCGTGATGGATTGCGGCTACGACGAGCTGATGTCTGATAGAGAGCGTATCTCATTGGCTGGCCAGCTCACGCGATCATACTCAGACAACAGCCGCGCAGTATTTAACGGGCACATGATGTTCTCGTCATTCGACAAACTACTGAAAGAGCGATTCGACACTGTGTTGGCGTGCCACAAAAACTGGAAGCGTGTTCGATTTTTCCAGGAAGACTTTGTGCATGCTAGTGAAGTGGCTAAAGAACAGATGACAGCCGCGCGCGGAGGTCAGCTCGCTGGCCCTTTCGCTGAACAAACTGATGCGAAGCCTGAAGATGGGGAAATCATCTATCTCAGCAGTGATAGTGAGAATACCCTGACCGAGCTCAAGCCTTACAGCACTTATATTGTTGGAGCGCTAGTGGATAAGAACCGACACAAGGCAGTTTGTTACAACCAGGCGGTTGAGAAGGGAATCAAAACTGCCAAATTGCCTATCGGGCAGTACATTCAAATGGCCCATCGTCCGGTACTGGCCACCAACCATGTCATTGAGATCATGCTTGCATGGCTGGAGCTTCGTGACTGGGGCAAGGCGTTCATGAAGGTTATTCCCACCCGCAAAGGCGGAGCTTTGAGAGAAAACCAGAACGAGGGCGCGGGCAATGCCGAGAATGATGCTGAAGATGCGAATGAGGAAGAGATGGAAGCAGAACAGATGAAGCAGTTAGATGAGATTGCTGCCTTTGAGGAAGGAAGCGAGGACGAAAATGAAGAGAAGGAATAGTTTGAGCTATCCAAAATACGAATACCTTGTACATATTTACAACGCCAAAAGAGAGACATTCAGAGATTGATATATGAAGACACGCTTGTATCGATAGTCTTGCATTGATCGTCGTCTGCAGGTAACTTTTTGACCTCCTTGAGCTCTACTGTCCCTTTTGCCAATGCTTTACTAACTTCTGCCAGCTTTATAAACTCTTAATAACTGAGCCGAACTAACAGCCCGGATAAATAGGCTCTCCCTTAGCTCCCGGGACCCTCGAAAACAATAAATTATGTAAGCGATTTTATGAGTCTCCCCGAACTGACCCCAAACTACACCCAATATCTACGTATCACCCGTACTATAACATACCTTATATTTGCTCACGTTTAATTGAATAATAAATTGCTTGTACTTTCCCTCTATATTACAGTGTATTTCTATATGATAGTTCGGCGGTACTTATATGTGTACTAGTGATTTTTATAAAACCCCGAGTGTATATGCTAAAATATATATTCACATATATTAAGCATATAGTTCAATATATGAACGCTCCTTCCTCACTGCCAGTACTACCTCAATATAATTAAAGCTCCCTCTCTATTGTCATATAGGTGGTAGGGGAAGCCTTAAAAACTGAGGGATATTGTGGATGATAGGGTTAAATAAAAGTCGGAATGTTATTGATATCGTAATATAATTTATTATTTTCGACTCTCACGTCTTAGGAGCTGAGGGAGGCTCGAAAATTGTAAATTACATAAGCCATTTTACGAGTCTCCCCGAACTGGAACCCGGAACCCGATTGAATATGGAAAAGCATGTTGCCTATTTGGGAATAGAGCGAACCCGGGTGCTTACCTCAGCAATTAGCCACAACAGCCACAACCTTGGAATCTATGACGGAGGCGATTTTCATTGTGATTGTACCACTGGAGGACTTGCTTTTGCTTCTTTCCCACTATCCTCTTCATATAGGCAGAAGAGCCTTTGTTACTGTGCCTGATTCTTTCGCTCCTTCCCACATTACTTTTTTTTCACTTCTTCTTGCCTCCCTTCCTCTCTCAACTGCCCCTCGCATTTTTGTTTTGGCAGCTGCCCCTCGCAACCATGTTTATGCTCCGCAACGGTAAGCATTGCGCTTTTCATGCCCCGCCAAACCCCTCCATAGAAGGGCATCTTTTTGTTTTATTTTTTTGCCATTTTGAACTAGTAAACTGATCTCTCGTCTTCTCGGAATTCAATAGTGAGCAAATTTTTGTTTGGTGACGCTTCGAAAGAATCCATCATCGAAATTCCCCAAGGCGAACTGTATCTGGTCCGCCCACAGTCGCCCAAAGGCTACTCTGAGCTTATCTTCAAGGACGCTGCTGCCACGATCCGACGTACCGGCCAGGACTTCCAATACCAGCTTGTAATCCAGAGAGCCTATGAAGAGGGCGAGGAAGAACTTGCGGATGACGACGGCGAGCAAGGCGCAGGCGACGGCCTAGATAAGGACGAGAAGGTTTTCCTCTTGGACCAAACTCTCCACTTTCGCTCTGAACTCCGTGACGGAGGCGCAAAGATATTAGCCTGGGATGATCTGAGCGGCGACGCTGGTGATCTCTTTGAATTCATTTGTGACTCTTCTGTCCCATCGGACAAAGTTGCCACTTTTGAACTTGCCGCCCTCCAGTGTCAGTACGAACGTAAACACCGCCGTAGTGCACAGAAGGCTACTGAGGCAGAGCTGGAGGAGTTCTCATACAACGAAGAGAAGCCCATTCCATCTGCTAGTCCGGTCTCTTCGCCGACCAGAAATTCCTTGACAGCAGAAGATTCAGCTGCAGCTATGGCAAAGGACGTGGAATACGCCCAGTCCAAAGGACAGATCAAGACTGCCACTCTTGAGGAGGAGCCGACTACTGCCCCGCCATCTGCAGCCCACCCCGAAGCCAAGGAGATTCTTTGCAAGGAAAATGCTGAGCTGCATTTGTTCGACTTTTCCACCGGAACTTTTGTGCTCCAGGAGTCGGACATCGTTGCAACCGTCTCGGAGGTCGGTACTTGGCAGTACTGGCTCCAGATTACTGGCAAGGATAAGGAGTGGTTAGGACAAGCTGTCGTCGCCGATATAAACCCCGTCTTTAACTTTGAATATCTTTCGTTCATTTTCAACCATTACGGTGAAGATGGTTCGGCCTACTCATGGCTCCTGCGATTCAAGGACCAAGCCTCGGAAGAACGGTTCCAGGAGGGTCTGATGCAGGCGCTGTGGGAACAGCTCAATGAGTTAAAGTGGACTAAAGTCAAGGAGAATGACCGAGATTATGTTCTTGATGCCTTCCAGGATCTTACCATGGAAGATGCCGACGACAAGCCAGAGGAAGAAGTCGAGGAAGAGGAAGAAGAGGCCGAAGAGGAGTATGACGGAGACCAGGACGATGCTCAACGTAGTGAACACTACGACAGCGACGAGGAGGAAGAAGATGTTGTTACACGCGATGCCGATGGAAATGTCAACTCACAATTGGCAGTTGGCTACAAGCATGATCGATCATTCGTTGTGCGCGGTTCCAAGATCGGAGTCTTCAAGCACACCGCTCACAACAACCTTGAATTCTCCACGACTATTTCAAAGGTTGAGACCCCTAAGGGCAACCTTTTCAGCCCCAAGAAGGTCATGCTCCATGCTGAGGATCAGAATATGATTCTTCAGAATGGAGATGATCCCAACTCGCTGTACAAGATGGATCTGGAGTATGGCAAGATCGTCGACGAATGGAAGGTCCATGACGATATTGCCGTGGAGACGTTTGCTCCCGAAAATGTAAGTTACCTCACGCGTCTTGAACCTATCTCGGGATAAACTAACAAAACTCACAGAAATTCGCACAAATGACCGCGGCGCAACCATTCGTCGGTGTATCCAAGAACGCCCTTTACCGCATCGATCCTCGTCTTTCTGGCAACAAGCTTGTCGACTCCGATCTCAAGCAGTACGCCAGCAAGAATGACTTCTCGGCTATGGCTACTACTGAGAAGGGATACCTTGCTGTCGCGTCTAACAAGGGTGACATCCGCATGTTCGACCGTCTGGGCATCAATGCGAAGACTCACATCCCGGCTCTCGGCGAGCCGATCATCGGCCTTGATGTATCTGCAGATGGACGCTGGGTCCTGGCAACTTGCCGTACCTACCTTCTCCTAATTGATTCGCTGCAGAAGGAAGGCAAGAACGAGGGCAAGCTCGGATTCGAGCGTGCTTTCGCGAAGGACTCGAAGCCTCAACCTCGCCGTCTCGGCTTGCAGCCCGCTCACGTTGCCCAGTTCCAGCACGAAACGAAGCAGCCTCTCTCATTCACCACGGCACGCTTCAATACTGGTGTCGACTCAACGGAAACTAGCATCGTTACCGCTACCGGTCCCTTCATCATTACATGGAGTATGAAGAAGGTTGTTGCCAATCGCAAGGACCCGTATACCATCAAGCGTTATGGTGAGAATGTCATGGCTGATAACTTCCGGTTCGGCTCCGACAAGAATGTCATCGTTGCTCTGCCCAACGAGGTCAACATGGTTGCCAAGCGTACCTTCCAGAAGCCTACGCGGGAGAGCATCGCTGGTCCCGCCACACCAAACCGTGCGCGCAGTAGATGGAGCAGTCGTCTTGGCAAGGATGACATTGTCAACTCGCCTTACTAGTCTTCTCATTCCTTTCTCCCTATGCCGCCCCTTGACTTTCTTCTATTTTTGTACCATTACCCATACCCCTGATGTTTTGTGCTTTTCCATCTTTTCCAATGTTGTGATTTTCTTTGCGGGGTTTTGCTCTTCTGACGCCGCTGGGGATCTCTGTATTGGGGTCTTCTTCACATTCACTACTCTGTTTCTGTTACTTAAAATTCTCGGGCGATATTAATTTGGAGCTAAAGGGTGGCTCTGGTTAAATGAGATTTTGTTCCGCAAGGTAGCTAGCTAGTTCAGACGATTCACAAATGAATATCCAACAATTAATCACTTATCATAGAGGAATGTTATGCATCATCCTCATCATAATAGCTATCTTTAATATCGGCGCCGCCTTCTCCGATCCTCCTCCTTTCACTCTTTGTCTTCTCGTGACACTGATCACAAACCCCACCAGTCAATTCAAGAGGTTCCCCAAGCATACAGCTCCGCTTTATCACCACCTTGGCAGTATCGCCTTCGCAGCACCATGCATAAATGAACTTTCCGTTGTCAAGGACTGCTCTGGCGAAATCTTTGACACTTTGAGTACTCGGCCAGTACTTCGCCACTAGGGGAAGGGTAGGATATCGGCGACAAAATGGACATCCCAGCACCGTCGTGTTGACCACACGGCCTGCAGAGTTGTACATGTACCATCCTACTAGGTAGTTGGCGCACATTTGCTGGAAGCACCCATCACGTACACAGACTGCGAGTAGGTGGCTGTAATGGAAGGCTGAGCAGCACAGGGAACATTTGCCATCGATTGTTTTGCTGTGATCGACGATCTTTCCCAGGGTTGAGATTATCTTCTTGGAGTTGCGGATGGGCTTCCCGTTGTAGCGTAGCTGGGGCTGAGGTAAAGGGAAAAGACTAATCCCTGAAAGGACTCTCTCGGTGCCCATTCTGCTGATTATTCGGAAGATGGATTCGCTCCGGTGGGGCCATTCTTGGTAATTTGCGCCTTGGGCTAGCCAGGGTAATGTGTTCTCGGCAAGTAGCTTATATGGGGTCACTTCGAGCTCTGTTATTGGGCCATAGCCTGAGGTGCAAAAGGGAAAAATGAAGTCCGACTCTTTGAATGCAGGAGTCCGGTATTCTTCGGGCTAGACTATGTGATTTGAGCACTTGTTGCGTTGGACTGCTGGGACGGGAGACTTGTTTTGCTTGACGTGATCTTCGTCATTATCCCGGCTACTCTGGCTTCGACAATAATAGCATTCTGGATCAGGAAAATAGTAGTGAAGATAAAGCCACCTATCGAGGTAATCGATCACATATTGGGCCTGGCAGGAGCCAGAGGTGCATTCGACCTAGGTTATCTTTGAAGTGGCAGTTACGGCTTTTGAGACTCCTGTACTGACACGTATTTCCTTCTGCCAGTCGTCGGCATACTCGGCGAGGCAAAGACCGCATTTTCCATCGGTGCTCATTATAGTGACGGATCGGGGATACTGACACTCTCGGCATGTTACTAGTGGCCCGACTGATGCGGTTATCAGACTTGGAGTGGATGAGATTGATGCCATTGTTCTCGGAGTGATGGGACTTGGGCTGTTAGTCAGGTGCGGAGATTCTCTTCTAGAAGTTTATAAGTAACAAGACGGTCAAATAAATCTCTGTCAGTGCGATTCAAAATTTGAGACCGGGCTATGATCAACCCCATATCTCGCTGCTTCTGGTGTGCTTCATTAGCGGCAAGGAGAAGTGTCAAGCATCCGAGATTCCATGTCTGGGGTACTGCAGGGTCATTCCATTTGTCTTTGAACGCAAGCATCTCCTGTTCTGCTACTTTCATGAGTGGCACAATCCCCATCTGCAGACTGAGAGCAGCAAAAAGAGCAGCAGATCGAGCTGGCATCCTCGTTCCTGGTACAATGGTATGTAAGAGGACCTTCCAGAACTGTCGATTGTACTTTTCTGTTGCTAATACCAACGGAATCTTGGCCACGTGATCGGCACTGATGCTGGAAATGTGGTCGGGCATCTCACGCGCTGACGTTACAACAGTCAGTCTGGTCGGGATAGCACCAAAACGCCGAAGAACACCAGAGTTGCAACATCGGCCAATTTGCAAAAGCTTAGATGGGGCCAGAGCTGGGGTGGCCGTATTCCTCCTATCTTCTGCGCCATACCTTTTGTTGGCAAAGCTCAATGTTGGGTCAAGGAAGATGCAAGGATACTTTTCTGTGCCAGGGACACCGTTGATCATAGATGTGATCTCTTCGGTAAAGGCTGGCATAGGGGCGGTCCTTTCGGGAACATACCTTTTCAGGACATCGGCAGTCAACTTGACCCTCGTGATGTTGTCACTTTCTTCCCACCAAGCCTGTGAACTAATCGAGGAATATGGAAGTGTACCTAGACTTGTCTCATTCTCAGGGCTGTCGATTTTGCTGACGGAGATATAACGTTACAACTCTGCGGAGATATCCCTAACTTGGCTTTTGTCGGATGTAGAAGGAGCTTTGTCCACCCCCATCCATGCTAGGAGTAGGTCAACAGTCACCTTAGCAATGTCCCTCGCAAGGTGGCTTTTCACGTGAACACAAGCTCCATCAGTCCGAGTACAGAGGTAGTTGGACCAATCAGCATTCTCTGATTCCATAAATTTATTAAAATACCAAAGACCTGTGCCTGTTTCGGTCCGTCTCAAAGTGTATTGTATGCTGATACCCAATCAATAAATTCAGGGCCGTACCCAGAGTACGATCTCGGGGCCATCAGGGTATTCTCGCCCTTCAACCGGTATATATTGCTGCCGTAAGAATGACTTAGAGTAGGGCATGTTTCAGCGTAAATGAAAGATCAGTGTTTTTGCATCTGCACGCATGATCTGGCACGCCTTTGCAAGAGCTGTCTTAACAGCCTTACCGTAGATATGTATCCCATTTTTGCGGAGCCTTTTGGCGAAAGCAATTAGGTCGGAGTGGGGCTGTTGCGAGGATTCATGTTGGCCTTGATTTAAGAACATTGATAACGCTCTGCGCCCATAGCCTTCTAATAATAAAAAGGATGAGTAACTTTGTACACAAAATACACAAAATACCAAGGTCGGGTAAAGCGGAATACATCACCTGCCCTGGTGGGCAGACAGGCCCTAGGACGTAAAGAACCTCGGGCGGGACCTCAGGATGATCCCGAGGTCCACAGGTCCCATTTTTTAGGCTTAGCTGTCTTGCCCTAATGCATGATTTTGGCCTGTAGGCTTACAACTTGTAAACCACCTTGAAAAAAAAGAGATATATATATCGGTGTACTATGATTCATTTAAAGTGTATGCATGAATTTATATGGGATAAAAAGCTTGATTTTCACACGCGAGAGAGAGCCTGTACACTGCCATCCAAATGGAGATGCGTGGATCTGTAAGGGATACCGACATCCATTCATGCATGGATCATATTGAATTGTTGTAAAGTGGTGTAACCAGCGGTCAAGAACGAGGCCCAAACTCGAGGTTTGATTAAAAATCAGATGCCCCTGACCCTTGTACATGAGCCAATTACAAATACAGCGCTGCTTTTCCTTTGTCTTCCGGAGAGGTGGATACGTAGCTCGGCAATATGGGAGACCGAGAAGAGGAGCACTTAAGAATCTTGATAGTCATGGTTTCCTCTCTTTGTCCAAAAGCTTTAGCCTATCAGCCTCCTTTCAACAACATCTGACTATTTTCCTGTCCGACCTAAGCAGTAAGGTACCGCAGAGTTTACTTTTGTTTCCGTTATACTAATACTAAATTGTTTGTAGATGTCTTCCGAACCCACCGAATACATTGCCATCCATCTTCAACAGCGCCCCGAGAGAGATATTGTCCCCGGTGAGACATTCGCTGCACAAAAACATACAACTCCCACTGCAGCAGACCTTCAAGATGGAGATGTTATTCTAGAAACCCTTTATCTAAGTCTGGATCCTGCGATGCGTGGCTGGTTGGACGATAAACCTTCATATCTCCCTCCAGTTGCAATCGGTGAAATCATGCGCGGCCATGCCCTGGGCCGTGTGACTGCCTCGCGGTCCCAAAAGTTTCCAGTCGGCTCCTACGCCGTTGGTATTGTAGGCTGGACCGAGCAGGCAATTGTCAATGAAAGCTCCCTGGATGCCGTGCCTGCACCTGATCCTGCCGATGGAGGTCGCTTGACTGATCATATGAGTGTCCTTGGAATGACAGGACTCACTGCGTACTGGGGCATGGTCGAAGTTGGCCATGTCAAGCCCGGGGACTTTGTGGTTGTCTCCGGAGCCGCAGGGGCAACGGGGTCTATTGCTGGACAGGTTGCAAAGGTCCTTGGTGCTACAGTGTATGGAATTGCAGGCTCGGATGAGAAGTGTCGTTGGTTGGTTGATGAGCTCAAATTTGATGGGGCGTTGAACTATAAGAGTGACGATTTCGCCGAAAAGTTCAAAGGCTTGGCGCAAGGGAAGATTGATGTCTTTTATGACAATGTTGGAGGAGAAGTTCTCGACTTGGCTCTTCTCTGTGCTAACAAAAACGCTCGATTTGTCATGTGCGGTGGAGTCAGTCAATACAATGCACAGGAGGTTCAAGGGCCAAAGAACTACATGATGATATGGAGGATGCGGATTCGCATGGAAGGCTTTATCGTCTTTGATCATATGGATAGGGTTCCCGAAGTCAAACGGAAGCTCGGCGAGTTGCTTGCGGAAGGTCGATTGCAGCGTAGGGAAACCATTGTGCGAGGGGGTATATCGCAAGCAGAAACCGCCTTGGTGCAATTGTATCATGGCGTGAATACAGGTAAGCTTGGCATCCTAGGGCTATGTGCCTACTTCCCACATCTGATGCTTTTATGCTGAATATCTCACAGGAAAATTGCTGGTCGAGGTTAAAGCTCCTTGAAAGTCGACCACAGGCTCTCCGATGCTTCCTCCTGTCTACGTGTATGATTTTCCCGGGAGTCTTATTGACTCTAAATTAAATTCATTTTAGGCTGGCTGATTATCATGCCAAAGTCTCACGGCTTGAGTGTTTCTACGTATTTCTTACCCTGACAATTTCCATCCATTTATCAAAGACCACAAGCTTCACTACAGGATAGATCGAAATTAGTTTTGCCACTTTGCTTTCATACCATTCCGAAACAACTGATCCATTTCTCTGGTATTGAATTGTGTTGAAATTATCCGTGACAAGAGGTATTATAGATTACTTGAATTACTCACCTTGACAGGCATCTTGAGCCATAGCTTGTTTGTTGACGACTTTCCTGCTAACCTGTCCTCAACCTTTGGCAGTGATATTCACCAAAGTGGTAGGCCAATTCATTTGGAGCAGTGCACACCAAGCCAATATATGATAGGAACAATCGTCCTAGGAAAGCTGACATATAAAGTGGAAATTATATGTCACCATGTGAGATTTGAGTATTGAACTTATTTACATCGGGGTTCATATTCAGGCCTTTCGGTTTGTTGGCACCTGGTGGTGCTTGATCCTTCCGGCCAGGTCATGCTTGTTTGTTTGTGGGGAGAAGGCTTCTTTCTGCCTCTCTCTTTATCTTCGCTTCAAGTTTGCTATCGGCTTCTGATATGATCGTTTGACTGCGCTTCTTGTTTCCTTTCGTTGAGATGTTTCCGATTCCAGCCCCTCCCGCCGAGGCGTTTTCGTTTCCCATTCTAGCAATGTTCTGGAATCAGATAAAGTGTCCGGATGGTTCAAGCCGATTATTTGTTTCCGCTTGGCCAAGCAACTACGAAGCAAATCGATGGCTTCAGCATCGCGACCTGAGGATTTCCAGGTATAAGCGAGATTAGACATGCTGAGCAGCGTTTTGGGATGATTCTCGCCGAGCTTCGCCTCTCTCCTCTCCATCACCTGTACGTGGAGCTCCTCAGCCTCCTTCCACCGGCCCTGCTTCCGAAACGTCGATGCGAGGTTCGATATACTCGTTAACGTGTCGGGATGATCCTCGCCGAGCTTCGCCTTACTCCCCTCCATCACCTGCACTTGGAGCTCCTCAGCCTCCTTCCACCGGCCCTGATTCCGAAACGTTAATGCGAGGTTCGCTATACTCGTTAACGTGTCGGGATGATCCTCGCCGAGCTTCGCCTCACTCCACTTTATTACCTGCACTTGGAGCTCCTTAGCCTCCTTCCACCGCCCCTGATTCCAAAACGTCGATGCGAGGTTCGATATACTCGTTAACGTGTCGGGATGATCCTCGCCGAGCTTCGCCTTACTCCCCTCCATCACCTGCACTTGGAGCTCCTCAGCCTCCTTCCACCGGCCCTGATTCCGAAACGTCGATGCGAGGTTCGATATACTCGTTAACGTGTCGGGATGATCCTCGCCGAGCTTCGCCTTACTCCACTTTATCACCTGCACTTGGAGCTCCTCAGCCTCCTTCCACCGGCCCTGATTCCGAAACGTCGATGTGAGGTTCGATATACTCGTTAACGTGTCGGGATGATCCTCGCCGAGCCTCGCCTTACTCCATTTTATTACCTGTACTTGGAGCTCCTCAGCCTCCTTCCACCGCCCCTGATTCCAAAACGTTAATGCGAGGTTCGATATACTCGTTAACGTATCGGGATGATCCTCGCCGAGCTTCGCCTTTCTCCTCTCTATCACCTGTACTTGGAGCTCCTCAGCCTCCTTCCACCGGCCCTGATCACGGAACGTCGATGCGAGGTTCGCTATACTCCTCAACGTGTCGGGATGATCCTCGCCGAGCTTCGCCTTTCTCCTCTCTATCACCTGTACCTCGAGCTCCTCGGCCTCCTTCCACCGACCCTCACGCCGGAATGCCGTTGCTAACATAGCTATACTCCTAGTAGCTTCTTCGTGCCTATCACCCAATAGTACAATTATTTGGTCTCTTGATTTTGATGCCATTTCTCTTGTATCTGCGATGGCACCGTTTCTAATCGTATACCATGCACATCTGTAAAGTAGCGTAGCCCATTGCTGTTGAGCATCAGGTGATGTTGGCTGTTGTGACATTGCTGATTTGACATGAGGGAAGAGTAGTCTACACCTCTCCCAATTTTCGTATTCTCCGGTAGTAGGAAACTCGTCATAAAGGGTGCTAATGAATTTATCCTTCCATTGGTCGATTTCTCCATCAGATTTCAACCACACGTGCGTAGTCAATTGCACCAGCCGGTGCATCGTAAAGGTGCTGTTATCACTGATAGATATAAATGAATAATCCCTTAGTGTTATGATGTCGTCTTCAAAATCAGGGCCGGTATCAGACTTAGACGTCTCCCCGTCACTAGAGTCATTTAGAAGCTCTGATGTTGATCTTGATCTATAGTTGGCCTTAGGTCGATGTCGAACAACACTCGCAGGTATCCCCTGGCGATCGAAAAAGCTCATAAGAGATAGTAGATCCGCCGCAGATGCCTTTGTTTGGCGTATATAATTGAACGATATTTGCCAAGTCACTAAAATCGAATTCTTGGCTTCCCAGTCCCGGTAGATGTGACCTGCCTCTTTTTTCAAAAGCTTTGTCGCTTCAAGGTCACTCTTTTGGAAGTCTGTCAGGTACTGTGACACGGAATAGAAAGGCGTCCGATTTCGAATGTAGCTGGCGGCTTGTACGATCGCTAGCGGCATGAACTCTAGCGCGTCAACCAACTGTTCATTTTCGTGGCTTCCACTTTCTTGGATTTCCCCTAGCTTTCTTTGAAAAAGCTCCAGTGCTTCGGACCGTTCCATAGGGTTAACTTCAACAAGGCCCTTGTGGTCAACCATCTTCAGTGCAACCTCTCTGGACCGACTAGTGATGATGATAGAACCATTTTGGCTTCTGGGGATATATTCTAAGAGCGGTTTACTCGAGGCGTTTGCTAGGCTTCTCACCGAAAGAAGCTGGTCATCATCGATATTATCAAGGATGCAAACCCATTTCCCTATCTTCTCATCCCGGAGCCAGTTCTCGACGAGTTTGAAGATATTCACTTGACGATCCTGACGACCCGGGAGTTTGACCTGATCGGCGATTTCCCGGAAACCTTGCTCGAACCGGGATTCGTTACTCCCATGCACCCAGAAAACCCATGTTCCCGGCGATTGGGATCGGATCTGGTGAGAGTATTCGATAGCAAGTTGCGATTTCCTTCGATTTGTGAGTAATAGACCACGCAACATCTGCTCTCTATGACTTACCCAACACCGCCGAGGCCAACGAGTGCTATCCTCGACCCCGGGATTAAGCTTTTCTCGCGAATCTGACGAAGCAGTACGTCACGACTGACAAACTCCTGGTCTTGCGCGAATGGGACGGTGGATAACGGTTTGGTTGGAGTTTCCGGTCGCTCTATAGTTGGAAGCGGTGGTTAGTTGGTCGACCCTAACTGTGTCCAGTTTGCGACTCACCTAGAGCCAGACTGATCGGACCGGTGTGAGCTCCAATCTGAAGACCAGAGTTGATGCCATGAAATGAAGTCGATGCCATAATGAGAAATAACTTTACGTTCTTTATATTGTCCCGGAGGATAGTTTGTCTGACTCAAGTGAAGGAGGGGACGTCCTCAGCCCCAGAGTCCAACATCAGGTGACTCCACGGCGCTAAGACATAGAATCAGGTTGGTGGACAGCCCACATTCGCGTATTCTACTGATCCTGTGGAGGTTGGGATTACCATCTTCCTAGGAATTGCCTTGACTAGAGCCCCGAGCACTCAGATCAAGCGCAACATGCGATAAATACATAACCAGGTCCCTCTAGATATGAGAGTGCTTTGATATTATCAAGAGCCTACTATTGCCAGCTGTCTCTGATACACAGTATAAACAATACAGTCACGAGTTGGATGTTGCGACGGTGGAAGGTAGCACGGAGGGCTCCAGTCTTTGCAAGCGCCATCTTTAAGGCCTGCAGCTTTCCGATGGGCACCGAGCTCCCAGGAACTGCCTGATCGCCAAGTCACGTTCATTTCCTAATGCTCGGCCCAACATCTGGCACAACTCCCAACGGGAGTATAAATCCGACTTATCTCTTAGGTGCGACTACTAGTCCAATTAATTGTACCTGTGCTGTGACCGACCTGTATGCCCGAATTGGTGCCTGAAAAATAATTGTTGTATGCGTTGGTGACCTGCGGAATAGTCAATTTCGCAATTATTTTGGACACAGCCTTAGAGGCAGTTTGCTCGGCTTCCAGTACGCGTGATTGCTGTTCGGTCTCTTGGATCGCTAGAGTTCGCTGAGCGCCGCCGTCTTCATCTTCGTCCTCGGGACTTTCAAGTTCCTTCTTGCGCTGCAAGGTTTCGTCTTGTTTTCTCTTTATGAGTTCGGTGTTCTCCTTGATAGAATTGTCGAGAACTAGCAGTTGCTTCTTTGTCTCCTCCCGTGCAGTCGTGGACGTATTTTCCGACCGGATCAGTATAACCCTTTAATCAATGCATTAGCACATTTTCTCCGGCATAACACTTAGCCACCTACAATTGGGCGCTCCCGATGGCAAACTGGACGATGGCCCGACAAGAAGAGACCTGCGTTCTGAACGTCTGAATCTTTTCCTTGTTCCACATGCCGGCTGTTAGTCGATCCCTTAGGGAAAGCTTCGTCGCACTGGAATGCTTCGTCCATTGCTCAAGCTTTTTTGTAAATTCGGCGCATGCTTGCCCGCAGTTATTCACGGCTTCGGCGACACCAGTCTTCTCCAGATCCTTTTTCGTTTCATCATAAGTTGTGCTATCGGGAATCTGAAGGTCCTTGAGAGCGGAAAGCGGATGCTGTATGGCTTCCAAGTTAGATGTAACATCTTGCAGCACATCTTTCGCTTCCTGAAGGCCATCAATAAGGCTCCGAATATTATTGATGCTGGATAAAGCGAATCCTGTGATTCCAAGAACACCCGTGGTGATGCTGAAGGGGTCCATCTTGTTTAGATTGGGATGGGACAGTCGTGGGAGTCGTATATCCTTCAAGTGAGGATGGTGGAGATCAGACAAAATCAGTTGCTGGATACTTTATTAAGCTCTGCGGGATCGTCGGGAGGTTGGATATAGCCACAGAATCTCACCTATCACCTAGGCGCCTGAAATCAAAATGGTGACTGAAACATTGGCCGCGGGGCAACCGAAGCCGCTAGTACGTGGCGGACTGTTATTTGCGGGGCTATGGGGCAACAAGTCAACGGACATATTATGCGAGTGCGAGAAAGCTTGTGCATTGCTGACTGTAAATCGCAGGGGGCATCTGAAAATAGAATCACGCCCGGATTTCTAGTTACTTGTACTCTTCCCTCGACCACATTGTTCGGTGTCGAGGAATAGGAGCGGTAAGGTGGGTTGGTGGGAAGAGCGCTTGTTTGCGGGATTGTAACTTTGGAAACCCTGGAGCCATACAAGACTAATAACGAATTTATTGTCAGGGTGTTGTTTATGTAAAGCTGTACAGATATACTAGTAAGAATAGAGGTATGGCGGTTTTCGGAAGAGGGTTCGAGAAGCAAGGTTTGTGTGTCAGTGGTGAAACTGATTTCGATCTATCGTGCTTTCTATATAGAGACAAAGAACCTATGGCTAAATTATCATCGGATCTTGTTATAGGAAAGTAAGATTGTTGGTTATAGGGGTCAAAAGCATGATGCGAGATTTTGGGACATCACCCCACCTCGCATATGAACTGCTTCATAATGTGGTATTAGTCTCACAGGTATGCAGTCTCCAGGATTTGACGGTTAAATGTATGCATTATTATGCATTTATTATGTGCAGTGTATCGGTTCCCTATATTAGGATGGAACAGAGGGAGAAACTTCCCAACGTCGTCATCTCACAATTAAATACTGCTATTTAGTGTTAATTCGATAGTTGGCAACCGAAAACCAGCTTTCCAACATGTAAAATAAATTATATATAGTTTATATATAGCTGTCTTGGCCTTCAATTGTAGCTTACTGCCTCTTGGTGAATTTCAAAAGTAGTGGTGCAGCAGTAAGAGTGAATGTGTCTTTCCCATCCTTCAAAAATGCATCGTTGACTTTTCCCGGAGCTAAGGAGATATCGAACCGAAAAAGGAGTTCCGCAGTCACTCGCCGAAGCTCCATGAGTGCAAGCCGCCTACCAACACAGGCCCACGGTCCTATAAGTTGATTAGCACGCCTACAATTATCTATACACCATCAGAACTAACCTATATTGAATGGAATGAACACGGATCTATCCTTGACAAGTTCGGGATTGGTAGTCCAGCGTTCCGCGATGAATTCATTTGGACGCTCGAACGCCCGTGGGTCTGGTAAGACTAGATTAGAGCCTGATAAAGGGGTTGGGACCACAAATGAACTGACCTCTGAACATCGTATATAAAGGCACCTGGACAATGGTGTTTCCGGGAACATATGTCTTGCCAATGGTCATACCCTCTGGTGGGGTGAGTCTTTGAAGACCAGAAGGAACCACTGGGTGTAATCTAAGGGTCTCGAGGATTGTGGCATCAAGAAGGTCGATCTTGGAGAGCGTATCATCGTTCAGCTCCTTAAGAGCATCAATCTCCTTCTGAAGCCTTTGAACTAGAGCTTTATCACTGGCAAGGTGGAACCAAAGATGTGATAGAGTTGTAGAAGTTGTGTCACTAGTCAGGTAAGCAAAAGTAAAGGTTTGAGGAATCAAGAGTCTCGAGTTTCTCACCTTCCTGCCACAATAATTAGATAGCCATCTCCATGGAGGTTAAGCATATCTTGGGGTGACTGAGGTCCCTTATTATACGCATCAAGGATCCAAGAAAATATATCTCGCTGCTCTGGCTCTGCCTATAGACAACGATATAGACAACGATTAGCATAGCTTCTATACCTAATTCTCGAGCCATAGAGCACTTACAGCACTCCTTTCCAGGAACTGGCTTTCGATCCATTTCCAAAACCTCTGGTTATTTGCGTTTAGAAGCGGAATATTCATGAAAATAGGGAATATCCAGGGCATATGTTTAAGATGGCCAATGTTTGTCATATCCGTCCGAATTGTCTTTAGGAAGTAAGCCTCTTTGCCTTCGGCAATCATATCGAATGATTTTCCAAAGGCAAGTCTTGCCATCACATCGAATGCATAATAGCTAAACCACCGCGTCATATCGATTGGACTGGCAAGGTCTCGCTCCACGACTTCCACCAGTTGTTGGGCGTATGACGCAACAACTGGCTCATAGGCGCGAATTGCTGAGGGGGTCTAATGTTAGTGTACATTCTTTGTTAACCAGTTCAAATAGGAGATATTACCCTTGGTGCTGAATCCCTGATCCCAAACTTTCCGACGGCGCGCATGTTCTTGCTTGTCTCTGGTGAAGGATAGGCAAACTCGCGGGTCCAACAATGTATACCAAGGGCCTTTCGTAGTCTGAGACTGGTTACCATAAATAGCCTGGACCGCTGCTGGGTCTGTGGTTGAGATTTCGGTAGGACCTAAATTCGATTACTTAGAAAACATACCTCGCTAAAAAGGAAGTTATCACATTACCTGTTCGAACATAGTCCCCATATGTCTGGTGAAGCTTGCCAATCTCCTCGTAGAGATGAAGGTTCGAAGACATCTTTGTCAGATAAAGATTGGACAAGCGCGCAAAGAAAGGGCCCGGGAATTTGCCCAATCTGTGGAAGAACCCTCGGTAGACCAGCATGCTGCTGTACACGCCGAGTATGTGATAAACCCAAAACATTCGGAATTCATTTGCTGAGAATGGGACGACAACTTCCGTTCCGCCGTTTAAAATCCAAATGCTAGCACTCCCAACGACTAGGGCAGAAATATACGAAACCAACAGAAGTGGAGATCTAGTGTCCCATTCGCTTAAGCGGTAGAACATATGGTGGAGAGTAACACCACTGACCAAGGCTATGAGAGCCTGAGAACCCTGAGCAAGATTCATGATGACACTATTGTGAGCAGTGACCTAGCTATCCTACTTGGGAGGGGTTAAAGGAGGCTAAGAATAACAAAACGAAACTAAGTACCACGTGCCCCTGCGGTCCTGGAAGCCAAGTAGGTAATCATTCAGCTTCTGTTTGGTCGGGAGATTCTCTATTGAATGCAGGTATCAGTGCTTTAGGGGGCTAGACCTATCGGCCCATACGCAAGGGGGTGACTAGTCGACAGACATGCAAAAGGCCCTAAAATTGGTTTAAATTGGTTTTTACAGTTTGTGGCTGGCTGACATGGTGGATCTTGATCAAGCACTAAGTTGAAATATCGTACTTTGTGCGCAATTAGCCCACTTAGCGCCGCCACGTACGACCCCGAGGATTATAACAGTTCTGTACATAACCAGCAGCTAAAACGATAATATTTATGCGGGATTTCCACCTGATTCTGGCTTTGAACGTCACAATATTCCTTTTAGAAAATAAGAATTCGAACTGTTCTTGCTCTTACAATCTCTATCAATTCACCACAGCCAATATTTCCATTCGTTATCCTCTAAACAATGAGCGTCACCACCACCGTGGTCAAATGGCCTTCAAATCTCAGCAACCTACCCTCAATATTCACAACCAACCCAATTCTCTCATGATACGCTAAATATGCGGTAGGCTTCAGCATCGCCAAAACCACAACACCGCCTACCAAATACTACGCCTCCAACGCAACCCTGTGATGGAGAAGGCGGCGAGCACCTAAAGCTGTTGAGAAGAATTATATCCATCCTACTTGTTTAGTACTTGAAAAGATGACGTTTATCAGCTAGTCCGAGTGGAAGACAAGGGACATATTTGCAATGATCTCTCGGTGTGCCTGGATAACTTAAGATTGGCGTCCCGAAGAGGCTGTAGAAAAAAAGCCCATGGAAACTTTGACCCCGAAGAGTGTAGATACCAACGACCTTGAATAACTCGGGTTAAGCAATGAATTGCCACCTGTGGGCTGTCTGTCCCTTTCTTCTCAGTATAGATGGCGATTCTCACGTGCAATGTAGGGAATCAACAACAAAACTTGGGTTGATCCAGTTTTTTGCCAAACCATCCCGTTGACCGGTACCTGTATTTCCCTGGTTTTCTCTCTCGAGCATGCTGGCACTAAAGGGTTCTTAATAATTGTGGCCGCGACGGTTTATACATCCAGTACAACAAGGTTGAAGCACAGCTAGTCACTTAACGTGGTCGGAGCATTTAATACCTAGGCTTCCGCAGAGCCTCCAAAGTCTAAACCAGCCCAACCCACAAATGGACTAGGCTTTAGGCTTTTTCTTGCAGGCCTCCACCGTAAGATCCCCCGCTACCGGAATAGTAATTTAGCATGTGCCGGGGAATGTGTCCTTGACTCCGGGATATTCCACTCCGGGGACTAGCATGTGCGAAACTAAACAGCCTATTCTAGAAATGTATTACATATGAGATTGCACAGAGGTCAGAGGACACAGCGAAGTTATGTACGAATAACAGTCGAAGGTGCGTACTTAGGTAGAAGTGCATAGATTGCATAGATTGCATAGATTAAATATAGCCTAGGCTTTTCCCTCCACATTACGTTCACCGCACAGTTTTGAATTGCAGAGTTTCTCGGGCGTTACTGGGAAACTGCGACGAAGAACACGGGACTTAGTACATAAGGCTTTATTACATATCCGGATGGTACTGTGTCTGTTTTGGTATAGAATTTTATGACAATATCATACAATTTCGCTTTGGACTTCTCTTGAGGTGGACAGATCGAACAAGTTTGCCCGGCACTCACACAACACAATGCAGCCATAGTCACGGATCTTCAATCCCTTAGCCCCGGACCGTTGGGCCCAGGTCGCTTCTACACATACTCACGGACCACCACATACAAAAATTGTCCGCCACCTACGGATGAGGGCTAGGCCAATCCCGAACTCGTAAGGGCATTGTTAGTATCCAATGGATTCTATAAAATTTGTAGAAGGAGGCTTTACTATTAACCTCTCTGTGTAATGGAGATAATCCATATAAACCGGATGATCTAGACATCTTGGAGAAAAGTGGGTTGTGTGGTGGTGGCAGGTAACTATAAAGTGGAAACTCTGGGGTGTGAACCATGCTGGTTGGCGTTAGTGGTCTTTTTGGCAAACGCGCCATTTAAAATCGTCCTTGTCCAGAATTAGGTCCAGACTCCCAGTTTCCGTTACACTCTCCTAAGCCCTACGGTGCTCCGGTGTAATTAATTATCGAGCGCTAAGCTATTGGCTACAGATATGATATGATAAACCACAGAGGTCAAATCGACGCCTTCCGATGCGCTGATTGGAAGCAACGAATAGTGAAAGTCCCTTTTCCTCAATTTTCAAACCAGAATTGCCTAGCCCGGTCTTTTTTAAAAGAAAATGATTCAGTCGCCGAACGACTACAAAAGGCACCATCATTCCAAGCCCTAATAACTAATAAGCCCGTAACGGCGAAAGTTGAGACGTTGTACACACACGTTCCTCTAGACTATCCTGTTAGATAGTTCATCAAGTCTGCAATCGCTGCTCTGTCCCTTTTTATTATCCTAAATCTGAAACCCAAAAGTCTCTAAATCAGCCAATATACACGAGGCTCAGCCAACCACGAAATTAACCAATCACGAGATCAGCCTGCATAATCAACCTGTCCCTGTGCGAGAATGCTCCTCCTACTCTGTTTCACCATGCTTCTGAATCCGTTCCGACCGTGAGATGGCTCGCCAATTTTTCAAGAAGAATATAGGGGCAGCTACGTACCAGCAGTTATCAAAACAGGACATGGCCTCCAGGTTGTGGCGCCGGATACTCCATACGTGGCAGCGGCCGGCCCAGACAAGTTATACTTCATCGACACCCGCTTCGATTCTAAGACTGCAAAGCACGTGAAGGAACAAATCGAAAAGGCAACTATACCAAATCCGGAGGAGTACATCGCTATAGACGAGATTTCAGCTACAGCGGAATTGAAAAACTCTGTGACCGGCGAGACGAGATTCGTGTTCGACCCCACCTATGCCAGGGTGCTGTTTGCAAAGGGAATAAACAGGCACAACCCGGAGCTCAAACTGCCCGAGCATGAGCCCGCCGGTGATTGGCTAGTGACCTATAATTTGGAAAAAGCACTCACAAAACCAAGGGAAGAAGGAGAGACGGATGCCAGCTACTATGAAAGCATGGACAAGTTGCACTGGGCATGAAGAGCTGTGGCGGGTGTGGGATTGGTCATCGATTTCAAAGGGAGAGCTAGGTGACTAGACCTTACTTGTTGGAATATACATCAATGCTATATAGGTGAATGGCCCAGTTACCAGACTAACTGTGTCAGCCGGGAAGTGGACTGAGCGCTATATCATATGAACTGTGTAAGTCGATATATGGGTTGAGTATGCGCTCTAGGTTCTTATTCAACATAAGAAGGTTGATTGGAACTTGCAAGTTACCCTCCTTTCGTCATCAGACAAAAAGACTGATTTCCCGTCCTGTAGGACCTAGGGACGGGACTACTCTCCCATATAACTCGGGTCCAGGTCGAGATATCCAACCGGACCCGGACCCAGCCTAGGTTGGGTCGAAGTCGGCTAACCTGGATCTAACCTAGGACCTGGGCTAGGGGCCTAGTAAAACCTAACTTTATATAAAACTAAGCTCTTGACGTTTATAAAGCTACTAAATTATGTATATATATTGGCTAGAGGTCACTCGATCTCATGTTTACTCCCATTACATTTAGTCTCAGCACACTAGATATTTCTCTTCTTCTCCTTGCGTAATTCAGAGATTCCCAGTGCACTCCTATTTTTACAGTAGTCCTACTCTCCATATCTCTAATAGGTTATGAGCACCTTGCTGTTGAAGCCACTATGTAATTGTGTCAAGACCTCTCATTAGTGACATGATCTATCCCTACATTTGTAATAGTTTAGTTCCTACCTTTCAGCTCGCCAGGCCCTAGAATTTCTTGTTTCTTTGCTTCCTTTCTCCGCCCTTCTCTTCTATTTCCGCTCCCCTTACTCCCTCCATAGCTCTCAGTCTAATGCGCTTCCCTTTTCTTCCCACCAGAGAATGCCGCTCTATCTAACGCCAATGTCGTCCTAGCCAATATTAGTTACCACGCCATGTAGACGCTCCTGGGAGCACAAACATCGCCGTGGTCCAGGCCACAGTTATACCTTATGACTATGCGAGGCTCTTTCTTCATTATAGAAGCCCTTTAAATCTGACTATGAAGCTATCTGTACTACGCTCGGCCTATAAGGTGTCTCGTTACGCAATTTGATCTCTCCGTGGGCCTGCTCCGCCATTCTAACCTCATCGCTTGTTATTTTCCACTCTACATAATCTTCTCCATTTGCCTAACCTGAATTTGCATTACACAGCACTTACCGTCACAGATCAACCCCAGGCGCTTGTTGGCAAATACAATGCCATCCTGTCGTTGTAATCATCGTGGGTCGTCGAAGCCGCCGTAAAGGAAAAGGACTTTGAATTAGACTTCAGAAGGGATTCCTGGAATTACATCAAGGCTCGACTACAAGTGGCCCCAAACAAGATGTCTTGTCGAGGTACGTAGCCGTCAGAGTTGAAGGCCAAATGGTGCGGTACAAAGGGTAACCTATTAACGTATACCCGAGGTTTGTATTGCGAAATTTAACGCGTATGAGACTTGTTCCTATGACAGGCTTCATCCAAATATGACCCTCTGTTGGACCTGTTACACACCGAGCTGTACTTCCATCAATCCCATGATGCCTTTGCCATGCACCTTAACAATCTTTTGAAAAATGGCACAGCATTAGCCTAAAATCGAAGCCCTAAATTGACTAGCAAAAGCAAACTTACCTCGAATCGCGGATCAGCTTCCTTCAGGAGCTGGGAGAACTCATCAAGTGTTCGCTGCTTTGCTGCATATCCGTTCAGCATGTGGATGTCAATCTGTCGCAGGTGATGCTCGTCGATTTTGGGTTCTGTATTCGCCGGGGGCAGAACCATGTCGTTAATGAGCAAGTTGGTGCCTGCGGCGCATTTCTCCAGAGCCGGAACGAAAGACTTGAAGATCTTAACACAGACGTCATCCGGGTAATTGTGAATGACTTGTCGGAGGAAGAAAATCCCGGCATCGGTGATGGGCTGTGGTTCGTAGAAGCTGTACTGCATAAACGAGACACGATCCTGGACTTGAGGGAAATCCACTCTCCTGGGACCCTGCTCAAGCATGATAGAATTGACGTCTTGCACAACAAAGCTCAGTTCAGGAAATTCCTATATCGGTACGGAGATTAGCGTCAGAACCAAGCTAATGTGTGTGTGGTTGCTCGTACAGTTGCAAGGTAAATAGAGATATGCCCACTACCTCCGCCCACATCGACCACTTTCTTGTTTGCAAGATTGGCCCAGGGGAATCGGTTGCGCAGCTCTGTGGTATCTCTGTTCACTAAATATCAATCGACCAAATCAGTCTCTTCCAAGGTAAGGGTTCTGGAGGATAAATAACAAACTTTGGACAAGACCAGCCATTGCAGAGGCAAACCGTGCACCGCGCTTTGGATTTTCCGCATACCACTTGTAGGGGGAAGTGCCAAACCGGAGGTTGAAAGCGCTATCTTCAGCATTGGAAGTATAGGGTGATTTTTCAATGGACGTAGCTGTCAGTGAAGATGCCTCGAACATTTCATCGGCCCTGGGACGCGTGGTTAAGTTTTTTTTCACAAGACATGATAAGAATTGGGGAGAAACTACTCAAAAGCAAAGCATTGCTCAATGTCCTTGTTTCTTGCGATAAAGGCAGACAGGGCCGTGTGCTCAAACTGGTCGTCAGCCACTTCCTGAAAACAGCGTTGAGTGGTGAGGAATTTCATGATCCGACGCAGACGATCTTCATCCATGTGTGCCTGGGCAGCCATATCCTTGACTGACATGGGCCTGTCCAGCGGCACAATGGTAAAGTAGTGGAAGCGCAAGGCAACCTGCCAGGCGGCCATATCATGGTGACAGCAGCAGAAAGTGCGAATCCACTGCAGAGGACCGTTGGCAAGGAGCGTTAGGTCCTGGGCTGCCTGAGAGAGGCTTATGCGGATTTCGTCGTATTCGCTGTTCTCGGGATGAGGAGGGGAGTTTGCAGTGAAGTTTGGCTCCTCCAGGCCGTTTTGCTCAAGATAGCTGACAAGCCTTTCAGCTTGCTTGAGAGCTTGGCGGGCCGTGTCAAGGACCAGGGACTGTTCGAGCGGACGGGGGATATCAGCTCTAATACGATGGACGGAAAGGTTTGCTCCTTACTTGACGCTTTGTGACCGTCATACTGATTTGATGAGTATGTGACTGGGTAACGAGGTGACGAGTAACAAAGTTTGTGTCAATGCAAGGCAATAGTAAATATCTGATGACTGTTGAACTAGATGAAGATGGCTTTGTTTTATTCCTGCCAAGTCACAATACTTGAGGCCTCCTTTGCAAGGACGGTACTGTGCAATTTGTTGAGTCTCATTACATGCATATGCAGGTAAATATGTTGCCTTGCTAAATCTGTTTCGCATTTGTCAAAGGAATCCACGGTCGTTCTAAGCCACTATAAATGACACGTATACACACCTGCAGTAAGACTGAAATAATTGAGGTATATAATGTGCATTGACATGCAGTGTACATGCTGCTTAGTACCTGACTAACGTTATTAGGATATTACTAGCCTGTATGTTAAATAAGGCCCAGATTGTACTAGACGTAAAAAAAGAAACCTGGTTCGGGCACCTTTATGATTGAATTAATGTGACTGGCTTAGGGGCTAGTTCTTACACTATCTTTCAGAAGAGGGCCCGGGAAACATGTCAGGGCTGTGGCCCCAATTCTATATTCGGGCCAGCGGGTAGAGTATCATCCTTCTTGGAGTGGGTCAAGGTAGGATCAGATACCTTTGGTAAAAGAAAAATCCTTTGTAATGTCTCGAAATACGACTCTATGTATGATTTCCTTTTGGGGCAGTCAACTAGCAAGCAGCAGGACATCCCCTTTTTGGCTGCACGCCGGTTGTTCCGGTGCAATTATTGAGAGGAAATGGGGTGCAGTGAATAGGCTGTCAGCCCACAGGTACGCCCAAGCCAGACCTAAGACTATTAGGGCAGAATTGAACGAGGGAAAAGAGCCTGGTAGAAGAAAATGGTAGAAGCTCTTTACGAGGTGCCAATCCACACTGCTCGACCTAGTGATTATGGCCGCCCCACCCTTAACCCAGGCGCAATTTGGGCGTAGCTGTTGGCTCAGTATAAAGAAGCCAGCAATGGCGATTAGGTAGGGCAGTTTGAGAAGAGAGACCACTCAAACAGTCTTTTTATAATAGAATGCCTTCTCGTTTCGCGGCCGCGGGTGCCTTTCTAGCCGGGTTCGCCACGCTAGCAGGGGCAATTCGCCCTATAGGATCATCGTTTGGGATCCCCGGAAGAAATGCGACGTTTGACTACATTGTTGTGGGCGGTGGCAACGCCGGTTTGACCATAGCGGCGCGCCTGGCGGAAGGACAAAGTGGTAGTGTCGCCGTGGTCGAGGCCGGCACGTTCTACGAGATCGGCAACGGGAATCAGAGCGAAGTGCCAGGGCTAGACAATAACTACATCTCCAAAGATCCGCATGACTGGCAACCCCTCATCGACTGGGGATATGTGACTAGTCCGCAAAAGGTATGCACGAACGTGAACACGCGCGCACATGTTTAGCTTGGTCTAATCTAGATTCCAGCACGCACTCAATGTTGAAATGCACTATGCACGTGGAAAATGCCTAGGTGGCTCGTCGGCGAGAAACTACATGATCTACCAGCGCGGCACAAACGCGTCATATCAGCGATGGGCCGACCTGGTGGGCGATCAGAGCTACACGTTTGACCGTCTGCTACCATACTTCGAGCGCAGCGTCTGCTTCACGCCGCCCAACGCGGCGCTGCGCTTTGCCAACTCCAGCCCACCGTATGACGCCTCGGTCATGGGTGACTGCCAGGGCCCGCTGTCGATATCCTATTCCAACTATGCGTTTTCGTTTGCGTCGTGGGCCACCGAAGGCCTGCGTGCCCTGGGAATCCAGCCCATCGACGGCTTTCTGAGCGGTACTCTCCTCGGCCAGTCATACGTTGTGTCCACCATCAACGCTACGACCATGACCCGAGACTCGTCCGAGACGTCCTTTCTGCGCAGTGTGCTGGATTACCCCAACTTTGCCGTGTATCCGCTGACCATGGCCAAGAAGATCATTTTCAGCCCGGACAACAGCAATAATAACAACAGAAAGAAAGCGTCCGGAGTCGTCGTTGACACCCAAGGCGTTCAGTACGTGCTGACGGCCACCAAAGAGGTCATAGTGTCCGCGGGCGCGTTTGCCTCGCCGCAGCTGCTAATGGTGTCGGGTGTGGGGCCAGCTGCGCATCTGAAAGAGCTGGGCATTCCCATCGTTATGGACCGGCCCGGCGTGGGTCAGAACATGCAGGACCACATATACTTTGGCCCATCCTACCGGGTCCAGGGCGAGACGACATCGTCACTGGGCAATGCCACCTTTGCTGCCGTAGCCAGTCGTCAGTTCCAGGAACATGCGTCGGGCATGCTAACCAACCCATCCAACGACGTGCTGGGCTGGGAGAAGTTTCCGGAGCCCCTGCGCAACAGCACGCTGTCCGCGGAGACGCGCCGCACCCTGGACCGGTATCCGGCCGACTGGCCCGAGGTCGAGTACCTGGCTATCGCCGGTTATCTTGGTTACCAGAACATGTCCGGCGGCAGTGACCCGCACGACGGCTTCGACTACGTGACCATGGGCGTGGCGCTGGGCATGCCACAGTCGCGTGGCAGTGTCACCCTCGCGTCGGCCGACAATGCCGTGCGGCCCATCATTGACCCGCGATACTTCTCCAACCGAATCGACGTTGAGGTGGCCGTGGCCGGATATAAGCGTGCACGCGAGTTCTTCCACACCGCCGCCGTCCGACCGTTCCTGCTCGACGGCCAAGAAGCATTCCCCGGTCCTAACGTCTCCTCCACCGATGCCGAGCTTGAGCAGATTATTAAGGAGAGTTTCCTGACCATCTTTCATGCCGCGTGCACCTGTTCAATGGGGCGGCCGGATGACCCAATGGCTGTTGTGGACTCGCAGGCCAGGGTATACGGTGTTTCGGGCCTTAGGGTTGTCGATGCCTCTGCTTTTCCAATTCTGCCACCGGGACACCCGATGGGCACCGTCTGTAAGTTTTCACAGTAGCCCTCTGAATCTTGTTTCTGAACTGACGTATACACAGATGCATTGGCGGAGAAAATCGCGTCTGATGTCATTGGCTCTGCATAGGAGATGGGAGTGAGTGTACGGAGATTATAATTCTTGGGCAACACAGTGGTCGGTTGAACTAGGGCATAGATAGCGTAATAACTACTGCACAGTTTTTAACTAGTTAACCCTGATTCTAGTTTACCCAAATGAATCTTTGGAGTATCATTCCTGCATTGATTATACCCTGGAGCTGCAGCTTATCTCAATAAACTATATGGTATAAACGGATGCCACAGCAGCAATGACCGCTGAGACGGCCAACAAACTTCTGATTCCTAAGGGATGAGAAGAGCCGGACACTGGCGGTGAAAAGTCGAAGTCGTTCCACGGAATGAAGATACTCCTCAGCCAGTACTTGTACTGGTAGTCGGGGTACATGGTGGTGTTTCTTTTCGACTGCGCATCCAAAGCCCACGAGGTGCATCCTGTCGACCAGACTAGACCTTTGGCCATTTCTTGAACGGCGTCAATATCGGCTTGTTCGGCATCCGGCTTCACCTTTACCGTATCAGCCTTCCACCCTATCACGGGTAGCCGAGACCTCTGGGCTTTCAGGGCATTCAAGACGGGCTTGATAGCACGCAGAGTAAAGTTGATCTGACACTCAGTAGTGTACGTCACGCAGCCATGGCCGCTGGCCGTGTTGGGCCCCATCATGATGAAGAAATTAGGAAATCCGGAAAGACAGGTGCCGAAATAGGACGAAGCCGAGCCATCACTGAACGTATCCCACTATTTTTACGTTACCCAGCTTGTCAGCAGCAGCGCAAGGGCTAAGGGTCCGTCTACTTACGTGCTCGGCAACACTAACGCCCCCTTCTCCAAATAGGTTGAGGGAGAGTAAGGGTTTCTGAACCTGAAAGCCATTGGCCAAGATAATGGCATCTGCAGGCACGAACCTACCCGACTTGGTGAGCACCCCGTGCTCGACAATCTCGCAGATGGGGTCTTGATACACCAGCTCGACGTTGTCCCGATGCAGAGACTCCAGATAGTCCGAGTCCATCACTCGACGCTTGCAGCCGACCTCGGTCTTGGGGATGAGGAAGTCATGATACTTGGCGGGAGAAGCCTGTCGGATATACGCGCCTTGTGTGTCCGCGTACATCTTGCGGATTCCGGCGCCGCTCTCGGTGGGAAAGCTGAAAAAGTCAAGCTCGGCGTAGTAATTCTGTACGGCCCGGTAGGCACGCATGGCCAGCGGAACCCACTTCATAGTCCACCGAAACCGGCTCGAATACGGTGGGTTGGGACGCTGGAAGATCCATTGCGCCTGACGAGCGAACTGAGTGATCTTTCTGGCGCCCTCGTCGTCAGCGTCGCTGAGAGTCGGGACGACCTGAGTTGCACTGCATCCGTTTCCTTCTGCGCGTTAGATACATACAACCATATAAATATACATGTAGCAAGAAAAAAAGAACGAAAAAAAAAAAGAAGGAAAACCAACCAATTACCACCAAGTCCTTATCTTTCCAGTCAAATGAGTGGTCCCATTGAGCCGTATGGAATAGTGGCCCCTTGAACGATGACACTCCGTTGATATCACACCCATTCGGCATGGAGAGGATGCCGACGGCGGAAACAAGAATTTTGCACCGGCGATGGTACGTCCTGGAAGCCTTCAAATCCGTGACGGTTACCAACCACGTACGCGAGGACTCTTCCCAGTGGGCCGAGTTAACGATGGAGTGGAATCTGGCATGCTTTTCGATATCGTACTTGGCAGCCACACCCTTAAGGTAATCCAGAATCTCGGGCTGCAACGGATATTTCCGGGACCAGTTCGGGTTCAAGCAGAATGAATAGGAGTAATAATGCGCAGCCACCTGCCAGCCAGTTGATTAGAAGAGAGGGGGGGGGGGGGAAAACATGCAAGATAATGGAGGGGGATAGAGGAGAGAGATTTCTGCATCTTACATCCACACCACAACCAGGGTATGAATTCGCTAGCCATGTACCCCCAATATGGTCGGTCTTTTCAATCAGCTCAAAGTTCCTATGCCCGTATTGGCGCACTAGCTGGACAGCGAGCCCGAGACCCGACAATCCCGCCCCTATAATCAGGACATCTGTGTCGAGATCCATATGAAGTGACTGGAGATCCTGAGTATCTTGTATTGCCGGTAGCTTGTCAATGGAGGTTCAAAGGTTTAGGACAGAATGTGACCGTTAGCTAGCTTAGGGGTGCTGGGGTTGGTGAAATTAATATAGGTAGGCGAAAAGTTCGTTCTACGCTATAGTTCTACGCTATAGTTCTAGAGCATATACCGTAAGCCTCGGCCAGTTTCTGTACTTTGGTGGACTTTCAATTAATAGCATTAACCAGCTGATAAAGATGGGCACTTGATAGGTTGGTGGTATTTGGTTTGGTCATATTACCAGTGTATATTGGGTTACGTTTTTAAATGATACAAGAAATAGATATAATTAAATTATAATATTAAAAATCAAGTTTAAAATCAAAATTCGAAAAGAAAAGAAAAGAAAAGAAAGAAAACAAAGAAACAAAAAGGAAACTCCACTTTTAGGTCCTTCGATGTTGAAGCCCCCGCTTCAAAGGAAGAGACCATGTCGCCCCACTACAATGCCTAACTTGGAACTGGCTTAGGGGCTTGGGGGCAGTTTTTGACATCTTACAGAAAAGGGGATCCAGAAATATAGCAGAGTGCTCATTTCCTTCCTGCGAGCGACAACATTTTGTTCCTCTTCCTCAATATCACGCCTGAATAGATTATTCTTCCGTTCCACAACTGACATCCACTGTGCACAACATGTCATCCCCTGTGTGGCTTATCACGGGTGCTTCCAATGGCTTTGGCCTTGGAATGTGCCTTCACGTTCTGCGTGCGGGGCACCGTGTTATCGGCTCTGTCCGCAGTAAGACCAAAGCCGCCACTGCGGTTGAGCAGATCGAGCGGGCTGGAGGTTCGGTGATTGAGTTGGACATGACTGAATCGCAGGCCAGCATTGCAAGCAAGATCCACGCCCTTGGTCGCATTGACTATCTGATCAATGTTGCTGGCTACTCCATCCTGGCCGCCTGCGAGGATATCACGTACGTAGAGACCAATATGAAGAGGATAAGGACAATTGGTCCATCTGACTCGTTGTAGCGACAAAGAAGCAACCCTCCAAATGTCCACGAACTTCTTCGGCCCCCTATACACCACGTAGGCTGTCCTCCCTGTTATGCGTGCCCAGCGCTCTGGTACCATTGTCAACATCTCCAGTGGTGCCGCCCAGGACCCCTTACCGGCGTGCTCTGTGTATAGTGCTTCCAAGGCCGCGCTAGAGGCTGCATCCGAAGCACTTGCTAAAGAGGTTGCCCCTCATAACATCCGTGTGCTGATTGTCGAACCCGGAAATTTCCGCACCAACTTTGTCGGCGCAGTGAGTTTTTGAATTTGTTTGCCCTTGCAATTTTGATACAAACCATCAGTGCTAATTTACTGGCGTTAAAGTTGGTTGATGCAAGTCCCGACCCGGCCACGGTCGCTCCCCACTATGATGACCCCGTGGGCATAGTGATGCGCAAGTTTCTCACTGTCCATGGAAAGCAGCCCGGCGATCCACAGAAGGGAGTCGAGCGTATCTTCGAGGTAGTCACGGGCACTGGGATGGCCGGTCCCCTGGCGGGCAAGATCTCTAGACTGGTTCTGGGAAGCGATGCGTATGCGAGAATGCAGAAGAGCTGCGAAAGGTTCGGCAACGATTTGAGTTTGCAGGAGGAAGTTGCCCTGAGCACCAATTATGCCTAAGCTGGACAGACCTCCAAGGACGGGCGTCATGCGAGTATCAAGACAAGACGTACGCATGTAGGTACATTACAGTATATTAGCTCAACACATTCCTTACAATAACCTAGAATGAATAATTCAAGTGACTATACAAACCAAAATTTCTTTTTAAACAAGCCTAAATCATATCCAAGTCACTTTGTTAAACGGTGTAAACCAACTTCTCTCTACTAACGTTGTCTACTTTATCTCTTCTAGACCCTTTAGCCAGTTTTAAGATTATGGCAATATATCCCTTACAGTAACCCAGAATGAATATTTGAAGTGGCTGTGCAAACCAAAATTGCTACTTAAACTAGCCTAAATTATATCTAAGTCACCTTGTTAAACGGTGTAAACTAACTTCTCTCCGCTGACGTTGCCCGCTTCCATTTCTTCCAGACCCTTCAACACTCCTTCCAGTCCACTGCCCTTCTTGTTCACGGTCATCAGAAGGGGTTTAATGCTCCCATTTTGCAATAGGGGCTGAGTTAGCGCCAAAAATGACTGGTAGAACTGCATTTCCTCTGGGTTGGGTGTGACTGACGTCTGACCAAGCCAGTAATAATTCTCGCCCATGGTATCGTACCCACGGACAAAATCCTGGCCGTGAACCTGGGAATTGGAAGCGCTCAGCAGCTCGTAGTCTGCGGGCATAATGGTGCCGTAGGTGCCTGGCTCACAGTCCGACATGGCCTGGGCGCAGATGGCCGCACCATCGCCCGTGCAGTCCCATGCATGCGTCAGGCGGTTCTTGGTCAACTGTTTGATCTCCGCAGCGCAGGTTGGGGACTTATAGTCGAAGACAGCATCGGCCCCCAAACCTTTCACCAAGTCAAAGTTGCGAGGGGAGCAGGTCGTAATGACGGTCAGGCCGGAGAGCTTGGCAAACTGGATGCCGGTCATGCCTGTCGCAGTGCTCCCGCCGTAGATGAGAAGAGGAAAGGCTTCTTTGCATGGCTCCGTAGGCAATGGCAGTTGGAGGTTTTTATACATGCCTTGTCCCTGGCTCAGATGTTAGCATATCTGAAATGAATTTGGCTCGACATGTGGCTTGGCTGTCATACAACGGTCATGATGGCAACCCCCAAGGTTGCCGCTTCTTCAAAGCTCAAATTGTCGGGAATTCGCCTCTGGACGGAAGCCTTTGCAATGGCATACTCGGCAAATGCTCCCGATTCATGGTTGGCTCGATTTCTGTCCAAGGGTTCAGAAACTTGGCAAATGATTGATTGATTGTACTTACGAGCCATGAATCCAACCCGTGATACGATCACCTTTTGCAAAGTTGGAGGCATTACTCCCAACCTCTTCCACAATTCCAGCGTAATCGCATCCTACTCTGCATCCGATATCCGCAGCCCCATAGCTGATGTGCTTCCAATCGGTGGGATTGATGCCAACTGCTTTAATTTTGACGAGCACCCAGTCATCATGCACTATGGGCATGAGCACATCGCGGACCGCGGCAACCTTCAGCTGCACCACAACGATAGCTTTGGTAGTAGCCATCGTGGTAGCCATATTGGCAATGGAAAGTATCTTATTATTAGGGATATTGAGGAGAGGTGCAATGAGTTGCAAGAGAGTAGTTTAGAACATCCTAGAATCGTGAAGCACTATGATGCACAGCGTAAACAACATGACCCGTAATATTAGCGGGAGTTACTTCATGCGTGACCAAGTGCTTTAGCCTATCTGTTGGAGTACGTGTTCTTTTCCTACCCACGTCAAATTGCCAATGAAAGGATTAACAGAAGCATTTTGCATATCCTTTTGGGAGCATCTATCCCGCACCTAACAGGAAGGTATATCGATAAACATGGAGCAATACGAGGGAGAAACGGCCCTGCATGCACATACATCACTTCAGCTATCCGCTGCCTATCAATTATCACATGTGTATTTGCCAATCGCTTTCTGATCCCACCTTAACCAACTCAATGGAGGATCATAATTTACGTGGCTTGCATATAGAGTAGGAGCTGGGCCCCCAAAACGTTTCCCCGGGCCCTCTTTTCTGAAAGAGAGAGTATACAATAATAGACTTTTATTACGAGATATTGCAAGGACGTTGTTTGATTTTCTTATTTTTTCTTTTATTATTGCATATGTTGTATTTCCTCTAGCTCCGAGCATTCTTTCTGACAGGATTCGAATTACGTATACCCTCCCACATAGTTCACAACCCTGCATCAGGTTACATTCCCTACAAGCGACCCTGGGAAGAACCTATCGTTTGTTTTTTCCCTTAAAAGTTTATGAGTAACCAGATTGTTGGATCGGACGTCTCCATGGAAAGTGGATCAGGTCCACTTTGGTCTGAGATGGAAAATTTCGCTCAAACGCCAAGTGACACGTCGGTAATGTATCTCCTACCGAGAATCGGAAATTGCGTGAGATGCGCCCAATTTGTGCTAGGCCCACAGAAGACCGTTGTTCTTGCCATTTAAAATTTCTATATATTAAAGACTGCGGGATATTCGGCGCCTTCCGCGGCGCCTTACCCAATTCAGCTACCAGCAACCACTGACTATGCCTATTTCAGCTGCACAGGACGTCCGTCTGACTGCATGAACAGGCATAATTAACGGCTCTCGATCTCACTGCCTATCTCAGACGAAGCCTTTGTTCCTATCAAAAGTCGGATCAGACATCAATGTTCCACAAACTTCCGATGCAATGTGGTTCGTTATATGTAGGAAAGTGGAGCTCCCACTCCCGGCCCGACCCATGGCCTACCCCGGCCCGACCCATAGTCTGACCCCACAGCCTGGCCCCCAAAAAGCACCTCAGACGAATAATTCCAGACCATGCACCCGGACCAGTCACATTTGGATCCAAGCTTACTTTGGAGGGGGCCTAGAGTTCCGGGGTTTGCGTGGGGGCAGAGTACCGACGCACATGTGATGTAGTCGTACGGAGAATGGAGCCAAAACCCCGACGAGGTGACAGTCAAGCCGTATGCGTCAAACATGATTGGATTCAGTGCAAAGTGCATGCACCGGAAATTGAGGCCTACATAAACGTAAACTTGTCGATTAACGTCCAGATTTGATGCTTAAGATACTCCGTGAGCAGGCCAAATCCCTCAAAAAGAAACAAAAAAATACAAAAAAAAGCAGTAGAGAGGGGAGGTTGCTCCATTTGCTGGCCAAGGAATTCGTACAGTAGTACAATGCTTTCAAGGGTGTATATTATCCCCGAGCCCTTGCCCAAGTGATTTCTACGCGCAAAGCTAATGCACACTGGTTCAACTATACAGATGCCTTATTCTAGCGGGGGTGCGGCGATGACTCTATCGCGTACTGTAAATTTGTAGTATTACTGCTTTGAGCTCGATTACACAGCGTGATATCAACGTCTCGAGATGTAATAACATTGGATTTCTGAGAGGGAGAGGTGATTATTGCAAATGGAATAGATCAAGTATGTTACTATCGTCGCTTGAAACTTGAACGATTTGCCTGGTGACTGGACCAAACATTATGGACCCCAACAGTAGCCCCTAACCGCCGCTTTAAAAGTTACAAGCTATTGTAATATCTCCAAGATGCCTAAGCCTGCCGGTCCTGGAACAATACCTCATACTTTGGGTCTGGGATGTCCATGTCAAAAAACATGATATTCTTCGGTCGACCCCCGTCCTGTAATTTCATGTCGTAGCGCTTGAGAAGCTCTATCAGAAGGAGCTTACTAATTAAGCTCCCCATAAATCGACCAGGACACATATGCTTTCCATGTCCAAAATGCAAGCTACCTGCATATGAGGACGTGAATTGTAAGCCGTTGTGGTCCGTCTCAGCGTTGCGGCGAAGGTGCTCGAAGCGGAAGCCGTCAAAGTCTTCTGCCCCACTGATATACTCGTCGGACATAGACATGGGCACTCCGGCAAAGGAAACGTGCGCGTTCTTGGGAAGAACATCGCCCGAGGAAAGCGCATGGGATTGCATCATCTTTCGGTTTACTGACACTGTGTCTCTTTGTCAGAATACGTTTGGACACTTGAAAGGGGACGGCATTTTACATACACATGGAGGGCGGATGGAATCTCTGAGACTCTTTCAAGAAGCTGTCCAGTTTCCACATCTTGGAAAGATGAGCATTCGTGATGTCAGTTAATGGGGTTTCGCCCAAAACACTCTCAATTTCTGCTCGCAAGGGTGGAGCCCAACGGTCAAAATCGTTGGCTATGTCCAGGAGGGCGTTGGTGATGGTGTTTGATGTCGTATGAGTTGCCCCAAATGTTACTCCGGTGATACGATGCGCTATCATGGGCACCGTCGCCTCTTCGGGGTTGGATGTCTCTACCAGCCACTCCAGAGTGGTAATTTCATTGTCATTCTTGACGTGTGCCTTCCAGGACTGAGGCTGGTCGCGGGACCAAGCATTCTTCTGTTCGATGGTTGGTCCGACGAGTCTCCTAATGGTGCGGCGACAGCTATGAATGCGATAAATGTAGGGTGTAAAGAGCGCTATCAGCGGCCGTGCAATGTCCGGCGCGAGCTTGAAGGTAACGGCCGCCATAAAAACGTTTTGTGCGTAGCCGATTACAGCTGGAGTCCAATCAGGGTCGCGACAAATATCGGGACCAACAATCGTGCTACCCACCATCTGCGCCACAAGTTGCAAAATCTTTGGTTGAACAGCGATGGGAGACCACTCTTGAGAGTGTACGCGTTAGTCGAAGCCTCATACCAAATTCGAGGGGCGAGGAGAGGAAAGAGAGAGAGAAAACAAGATATCCAAAGTAAATAATGATCTACATACCCTCGTATCTGCCAAAATGTTGGTTGAAAGCGTAAATCGCCTCATTTGAAGCGCGTCCTATCTGTAGTCCAATTTTGGCAATGTACTGGGTTTTGATGGAATCAATGGTAGCATGACCAAAGATATCATAATCCAGCGTGGTCCAATTGCCAATAAAAAACTGTTTCTGTCAAAAACACTGGTGCATGCAGCATGCTTGGCCTTGGAAGATAGGGAGGGGAGGGAAGAAACGCGCATGTTTGTGTAGGAAAATGCTTACATCTGAAGTTGCACGAGAATTGCTGGCGATGGATGCCGGAAGCTCTCTAATTTCCTGTAGGAAACGTGGGGGAAGGACTATCGAAGTGCGATCGAGAGATGGGAGAGTGAAAATAACGTTGGGAAATCGTTTGAAGGCGCTGTGAATGAGTTCGGGGCCCTGTTGAAACCAGTGCCGTCGCTGACGTATTCCCTTAAAGAAAAAGGGAGACTTCAACTCAGGGCCCACGAGGGGGTAATGGCTGTCGGCCTTCGAGTCGCCTAGCCAGGCAAAGAGAACGACAAGAGTCAAGACAGCTACCAACGTCGCCAATAAAGGTTGGCTATGCTCCAGCTTGGAACGCAGCAGCTCCATGAAGAGGAAGGTCATGATTTTGATGGCTAGTTCTCGTTTTACAAGTGGTGTGTGGTATTCGTTATGGCAATAGTCAAACTGCGCAATTGTATGGCTGCTAGGGGCACAAGGTGGAAAATCCAGTTCCTGAGGTCAGAATCCAACTTATTGTCTCCGGGCGCTTCGGATTTGACGTATTTTACTATTGAGATTGCCAGTATTGATTCCTCGGTGGCCTGGGCTTCACCGTAAGCCCTGTCCCTTCACCTTTCCGCTCATACATATGCAACTTAGGGGCCGTTGGGTTACATCTCCCTGAAAGTACCTAATAGACCACCCGACTCACAATTTCCTGCGGATTCCTCTTTTCATGTAGATAGGCAGAGCAAATCCAATCGTGCATGTAGCCCACATACGCAAACACCCAGCCTCGCTTTTGCCAGAGATGCGTATATCATTAAACAAGAAAATGTTCCTGGGGGCGGAAAAAAACACCACCATCATCATCATTGTTACCCTAATTGGTCAAAAATAGCAACAAGTATGACTATTGTCACGCATCTCCCACTTCAAGCCGACTCTGCACGGTGGGCAGTGGGACTATTGTGGTAATGCAATCGCAACATGGACTACGGCAGTCGATTTTGGCCAAATTTGACAATAGTGTTTCTGCCACATAGAAACTTTGGAATCGCCGCTAATGGGACCATACAATACCACATATATAGATAATTGTATTTGTAGATAGACCTATCTATGGATATATTAACTCTGTTGCGCTTACTTGGTTTACTATGTAACGTATTTCACTACCGAGCTGGACACCCCGGAACACTATAGTAAATACGATATATTCTACACTGATATCTCAACGACTACCTCATTTTTATATTTTGCTGTTTGCCGATATCTATTGATAACCTTTTTAAACACTATATATCAGTTTCAAAGGATTCTACAACCTATATTGTTATGGTATCGAAAATTACGTTACTAGGAGTGAAATATATATATCTCAAATACTAATTTATAGAAATTCTTAAAACTCCCCTTAGAAACTAGATAGTACCTAAAAAGCATTATTTCTTAAGGAAAAGTCCCTATAGCTTAATGTTGTTGTGATACCGTGTTGTAATTTATCGCCTTTATTATGGTGTTCTAGGGTGTCCAGCTCCCGCCGCGGGGGGGGAATGTCCAGCTCGGTAGTGAAATACGTTATATTACAGAAGGCGGAAACTCAAGCGGTGAATCTTATATATGTATTAAGTATTGTCTAATTTGGCCCAAATCGTGGGCCGTAATGGACCCAAATCGTTCATTAATTGGGGACGAGGCGAAGGAATGAAATGGAAAAAAAAAAGATTTTACTATTTTTTTTAAAAAAATAAAAAGAAATGGAAATTTAAAATAAAATATAAATATAAATAACTATAAAATAAATATCTCACTGCATATAGATGGATCTTCAGCATTATCATGCAGTAAGACAGTCTCGTTTAACCGTTTCAGCCATACTTATGCGTAAGCCCTTAAACAGGTGAGAGCCTTGAGTCCACTATGAGGTAACACTTGTAAGATTGTCGACTTCAGAAAAAAAATCGGTAAGAGTAAGGATCTATGTTTGTAAAATTACCATTGGCACGAACGAACAAGTAGCTGTCGACGCGGTAGCTCTCTGCAACTGATATCAATATATAAATACCTCTAGAGTCTTATTGAAGTCTTCCCGAGGTCGTGGATGAAAAAGTTCTTACTCAGTAGCTTTAACTTTCTGACTGCAACTATAGAACAATCCCGCCTTCATTTTCATTTTAATTCTTGATCTATAAAAACATTGAAATACCTTGTCGTGATACAATGACTGGAACTGGAACACGCCTAGGGTCTGACCCTCCTCTTTCTGAGTGCCCGGAGCCAATTGCCATCGTAGGCATGGGTAAGGACTGTTGACACACACACGCATAATCACACACTCTCTTCCATCGCTGATCGTGACTTTTGTAGGCTGTCGGTGGCCAGGCGGGGTTGAAAGTCCCTCAGAGTTGTGGGGGTTATTGGAAGCGAAACAAGACGGCTGGTCTGAGTTTTCAGAGGACCGTATCAACCTCAAGGGCTTCTACCACCCCAATGGACAACGATTGGGAAGCATGTACACTAGGGGTGGTCACTTGCTCCGCGGAGACACCCGCGACTTTGATCATAGTTTCTTCGGTATCTCGGCCACAGAAGCAATGGCCTTGGACCCTAGCCAGCGCAAACTACTGGAAGTTACTTATGAGGCGGTTGAAAATGCCGGCGAACCTCTCGAGAGCTTCTCCGGTTCCAAGACTGGTGTTTTTGTGGGCAATTTCAACAATGAACACCAAATCATGCAGTATCGAGATCCAGATCACACACTACCATACGCCGTGACAGGAGGTGGTCCTACGATTTTGAGTAATCGCATTAACTACGTTTTCAACCTCCAAGGGCCTAGGTTCGTTCCCATTGAGAAGACTCAGGCTCAAATCATACTGACCGACGATTTATTTATACAGTTTGATGGTTGATACGGCGTGCTCCGCATCCATGTACGCTTTACATTTGGCCGTGCTGTCCATTCGCAGTGGAGACTGCGATGCGGCTATCGTTGCCGGGGCCAACGTCATACTTGGACCGGACAATCAAATCTTCACCACCAAGCTCGGAGCCGTCTCGCCCACATCTCGCTGCCATACCTTTGATGCATCAGCAGACGGATACTCTCGAGCAGAAGGATTCGGTGCCATCTATTTAAAAAAGCTCTCCGACGCTGTTTCTCGGGGAGATCCAATCCGCGCGGTTGTGCGTGGCACCTCGTTCAACGCCAACGGGAAAACGGGTGGTATTTCGCACCCAAGCCCTGATGGCCAGGAGGCTGTCATTAGACAGGCTTACAAGGCTTCTGGTGGTCTTAATCCAGATCTAACGGGATATGTCGAGTGCCATGGAACGGGGACGCCAGTGGGTGATCCAATCGAAGTTTCCGCTGTCGGGAGAGTCTTCTCTCCAGGGCGGAAAGATGAACCCTTGTTAATCGGATCGGTACGTTGCGTGGTGTTGTCCAAGTCACTCGTATAACAAGCTACCTACCTACAGTCGACTCAAATATCGATACTAACTCGCTGGCTGTCTAGATCAAACCGAATCTTGGGCATAGTGAAGCGGCCAGCGCCATGTCACAAATCATGAAAGCAGTGTTAGCAATGGAGCATGGAGAAATCCCAGCCACTATTGGAATTGAAAATTTTAACCCTGCAATTGACTTCGAGGGAGCAAGGGCCAAGGTTGTGACCGAAATGACCCCATGGCCTGCCCACCTGCTTCGACGAGTTAGCGTTAATAGGTGACACTAGCCCCTCTCCCAAAAAGGGCGTGACACGGACACTGACAATCTTATTCGAGCAGTTTCGGGTATGGTGGAGCTAATGCTCATTGTGTTCTAGACCACCCAAGTGTAGTCATCCCCGGCTATAGACTGCAAGGTCTTCCCAAGGCCGTTGCAAAGACTCCAAACGGGATACCACAGACAAATGACAACGGCCAGCTGAATGGCACTAAGGGCTATGGTATCTCTGCTGAGAGTCTACCGTCGCTCAGTTGGTGTCAACCGTCGAAACTCAATCAGATTGAAGGAGCAGGGACCCGTCCGTTAATCTTGCTGCCAGTCTCTGCCCACGATGAGCGTGCGTTAAAGGCCAACCTCTCGGGTCTGGCCAATTCACTGAAAAATTACGATCTCGCTGATCTAACTTATACCCTGGGATGCCGGAAATCAAAGTTTCCTCGCCGTGCCTTTGCCATTGTCGATTCCAAAGCAGTAACCGATGGACTTGACTATGACTTGATGATCTCCGGAAAGTCGCCGAGTTCCCCGGCACGGCGAATTGGCTTCATCTTTACGGGGCAGGGAGCTCAGTGGCCACAAAGTAAGTTCCCTTGCCGAATCACTCCTTTATCTTGATGGCATGTATCGAGGGGCCCACCTTGATGATGATGATGATGATGATGATGATGATGATGATGCTGCGTTGAATGAAATTTCACCACTAACGCGTATCGTCATAGTGGGTGCACAATTATTGCATGAATTTGGAGTATTCAGACGCACAATCCAGTACCTGGACGTGGTTCTCAGCAAGCTGCAGAATAAGCCAAGCTGGACGATTGAGGGCGCACTTTTGGAGCCGGCAGCCACAAGTAAGATTCATGACCCGACATTTTCGCAGACTGTTTGCACTGCCCTCCAAATAGCATTGGTGTCTCTGCTCAAACAATGGGGAATTAATCCGAAGGCTACTGTTGGGCATTCCTCTGGTAAGATTTCGTGTCTGTTTTGGGAGAGAAGGGGAGTATCATGAAGTCGCCGTCTAACCATCATGCAGGTGAAATCGCAGCCGCCTATGCTGCAGGGTATCTGAAGGGAAGCGAGGCCATCGTTCTTGCGTACTTTCGCGGTCAAGTAGTGGCAACCAACCAACGAATGGGGCTCATGATGGCCGTTGGCCTAGAGCCAGCCCAAGCTGCATCCTACTTGGACGGCATTGAAGGTAACGTTAGAATTGCAGCCATTAACTCGCCACACAGCGTCACCCTTTCTGGCGAACCGGAAGCAATTGACAAACTGAGCAAAACGCTGAGTGACGAAGGTGTTTTTGCTCGTGTACTGAATACTGGCGGCAACGCATATCACTCTCACCATATGCAAGCTCTTGGGTCAGCATATGAAGAGCTAGCCACCCAAGGTCTTCACCAAGTTAAGCTACTCGTGGAGAATGAGCCATCAAACCCGTTCACGAAGTGGATCTCATCGGTGACAATGAAAGAAGTAAGAGAACAGGTTCCTCCTTCTTACTGGCGACGCAACCTCGAGGCCCCCGTTCTTTTCTCGTCCGCAGTCGAGAGACTCGCTGAAGATGGATCTATTGACCTTCTAATCGAAATTGGACCCCATCCAGCCTTGGGCGGACCGTTGAAGCAAATTCGTTCCACTTTAGAGAAGACCGGGTTGGTTCTTCCACCTTGTCTGGGATCCCTTCGCCGCGGCGAACATGACGTAACCAGCATGTTGACTCTTGCTGGCAATCTTTTCATCAACAATGCTCCAATCAACTTGGTGGCTGTGAATGCAACCGAGAAAACAGAAGATGGGATTCATCTCTCTCATGGCTTCCCTTGCATCGATATGCCCCAGTACAAGTACTCGTATCCGGAAACGCCAGTTCACTACGAGAATCGGTTCAACAAGGAGTACCGTACCAGAAAGCACTTGCGTCATGACATTCTCGGTGCCCGAGTACCAGGTGGCTCAAGGACACACCCACAATGGAGAAATGTTCTGCGCTCGAAAGACCTTCCTTGGCTTGAAGACCACAAGCTTCTTCCGCATGCCATTCTTCCAGGAGCGGCGTACATTGCAATGGCTATCGAAGCGGTCAGTCAGTTGCATTACGAGGCGGAGGATGCCTCTCCGATCAAGTCCTTCCAGCTTCGTCAGGTAGCAATCAATTCGGCGCTTCGTGTGGAAGACACTGAGCTAGGTGTTGAGACAGTGCTCAATATGGAAAGGTTGCCATTGACGAATGCAGCCGTCATGTCGCAATGGTACAAGTTCAGCATCGGTTCGATTTTACCAAAAAGCGATGAGTGGACCCAGCATTGCACTGGGACAGTCTCCGTGGTCATTATGAATACCTCGATTGACGAAAGCCAACAACTAAAAGCCGACCCCCGTTCGAGATCACTTGACGTCACGCGTTGGTACCGGAGTTTTGATGCGGCCGGTCTGAGCTATGGCCCGGCCTTTCAAGGCCTGTCGGATCTGAAGGCATATCGTGGCTCTAATGTTACAACTTCCAGTGTCTCCCTGCACCCCACAGCCGACTTTGACAATGAATCCGAGTACACGATTCACCCGGCGACTCTGGACACTTGTATCCAGCTGGCCCTGATATCTTGCCACGCAGGTCAGGTTGAGAACTTTGAGAAACCATTCGTTCCTATTTTTGCAGACAATATGACGATTTGGGTTCCTGAATCTCCCCACGAGCAGCAGGGTTTGGGAGTGGCAAGGGGAACGATGACTGGTCTTCGAAGTGTGTACGCGCGGTCTCAGCTTTATAGTTTGTCTGGTGCACCACTGCTAGACATCGAGGAGCTGAAATGCGTATCCTATGATGGAGCCTTGGACGCTTCCACTTCGAACATGGTCCGTGAACCGTACTGGCAACCAGTAGAAAAAGTCGACATAGAGACCTTGACGCCGGCTATTGCGGAGACCATCTTCCCGCCAAAAGAAATCCCGTCATCAACTATTACTGAATTGGAGACTCTATCTGCTCATGTCCTTGCAAGTATCAATGAAGAGCTGCGTCACCACTCGGTCCATGGCAAGACTCAGAACCATGAAAGCTTCGCGAAATGGGTGAAGTCGTGGGTAGGCTCTTCTGAGCGGCAAGATCTGGAAATCACCAGAGCAGAGAGGCTAGCTATTATTGAAAGGCTGGCGACGACGAACTTGCAGGATATTCCAGAAGCCAGATGTCTCAAGGCACTGCACGGTAGCCTGAACGAAGTTCTTGGTGGAACAACCAACAGTGTGAAGGTGCTCATGGAAAACAACCTCTTCACAAACTTGTTTGCATCAGGCATCTCCGTAAGCGGGGCATACTCACAGCTGCGGCATGTGGTAGACCTGCTAGGTCACAGAAATCCGCGAATGCGGATATTGGAGATCGGCGGAGGCTCAGCTGGAGCAACCTCAACTGTCCTCGAAATGTTGGCGTCGAATTCCACATCGAAGAGATTCGAAGAGTATGTGTTCACTGATGCCGCACAGTGGTGTGTCACAGAAGCAAAGTCACGATTCAACAAACATGATAGATTAGTGTTCCAGACGCTTGATGTCTTACAGGACCCTGTTTCCCAAGGGTTTGAAACCAATTCGTTTGATCTGATAATCGCCGCCGGTTGCCTCAGCGAGCTTGACTCTGCCGAGGCAGCATTGAAGCAAATACGCCCTTTACTGAAACCTTCGGGATCACTTGTGCTGCTGGAGACTACGCGCTCAACGTTAGCTTCCGAGGTCCTTTCCCGTACGTTGACGGGTAAATGGGACCACGAGCGAATTAACCGAGGGAAGGCTGAGTGGAATAACATTCTAAAAGAATGCGCGTTCTCGGGGGTCGATATTGCTCTTGAAGATGTAAGCAAGCATTCTAAATATTGTTGCCTCTGTCGGCTTTTTGTACTAACAACTGAGCAGTATACAGGACACCAACAAATGACGACTGTCATGCTCTCGAAGGCCCCTGGGATCAAAGCAAATGCCCCTTCGATGACAATGCAAGGAGCAAACATCTTCATAATATACCGAGACTTACTCCCTCTACTGGCTGATGTGACTGCGAAAGTCTTGGCAAAGCAAGGCTTCAATGCCATCCCGATTGAATTGTTCTCCGGGCATAAAATCCCACGGAACTCGATGGTCATCAGCTTCGTTGATGTCAACGGATCGATCCTTACTTGTCGTGGTGAATTGTATTTTAAAGAGCTGCAGGCAATTGTCCCAAATGTGTCAGCAATGGTCTGGGTCGCGGCTGATCTGATCATCCCTGGAGAATCATCGATCATGAAGGGCATGTTAAGATCCATAACCACCGAAAATGTATTATCAAAATACGCTTTTATCGAGTTGGATTTCAGCCATTACACATCGCAAGTAAGGGCTGCCGAACTAATCGTCCGCAAGATGAATCAGTTGCGGGTGCCTGCGTCTTCTGAGATTCTAGATCTCGAGTGTGTGATTCGAGGAGGTGCTTTCTATGTGGAGCGCTTACTGCCAGAAGAAACACTCAACAGTCAGTTCTACTTGCGCAATGGGTTTGAAGATGACGTCGATGAACGCGCTGTCGGTACTCAGTTGCCCATAAGGGCGCAGTATGGACAAGCCGGTATGCTCTCATCACTGCACTTCACAAGTGACTCGGACTTTAGCAAGCCACTAGGGGACAACTGGATTGAAATCAAAACCGAAGCCATTGGACTCAACATGAAGGTAAACCGCTCAGTCGATTCAAGTCTTATATTTGCTAACCCTGACTGTTTATCCAGGATATTGCTGTAGCCACAGCACGGTTTGATCTGAACAATCTGAGCACTGAGGGTGCCGGTTTTGTGACAGGGCTAGGTTCGGCTGTGACATCCTTCGAGCTAGGTGACCGAGTCTTTGGTATGATTCCAGGAAACATGGGTAATTACCTTAGATCTCCAGCGTCTCTGGTCTCAAAGATCCCCGATGAACTGTCAACAGACGGTGCCGCATCGATGCCAGTGGTCTATCTCACCTCTATCTATGCTCTTAAGCATCTTGCTAGGTTGGCCAAGGGTGAATCCATCCTGATCCAATCCGCAACCGGTGGTCTTGGAATGGCAGCTATCCAGATAGCGCAGTCTCTAGGCGCGGAGATTTATGCAACAGTGGGTACGGATGAGAAAGCCAAAATACTTATCGATGAGTGTGGCATTCCAGCCTCCCACATCTTCAATTCTCGAAAGCTGAGTACTGTTGAAAAAATTCTGAAAGCCACCAAACAGAAAGGTCTAGATGTGATTCTGAGCAGTTCTGGTGGAGATTTGATGCATGAAATGTGGAGATGCATCGCACCTTTGGGTCACTTCATTGATATCGGTAGAACAGATGTTCTCGGAGGTGGTAAACTTGGGCTAGAAGTATTCAAGAAAAATGCGACTTTTTCATCGTTTGACATGGGCAAGATCTATCGACAAAAGCCAGACCTTATCTCCAGGTATGTGCTCCTTTGTCCCCCGTCGATGACCGGCATATGGCTTTTACTGACAGATCATAGATTGATGACGGAGATGACGGGGCTAATACACGAAGGCGTAATTGGTCCCATTCGGCACCTGACAACTTTCTGTATTTCTCGCCTAGAAAACGCTATGAATTCGTTTTCCAAGGGATTGCACACCGGGAAGTTTATCATAACTTTCCGCGATCCGACTGCCACACTGAAGGTGAGTAGTTAGAGGCATCACGGCATCACTTTGGTGTCGATCGTGATATTGGACAGTGAAGCTGACCGGTTAAAGATTGCGCGGCCAGTAGTTCGAGCCGTGTTTGATCCAAATGCGACATATCTACTAGTTGGCTGCCTAGGCGGTCTTGGTCGGAGTTTATCCACCTGGATGATCGAGCAAGGAGCTCGGCATCTAGCGTTCCTCTCCCGGTCTGGGACTAACAAGCCTGAAGCTGTCTCTATTGTGGAAGAGCTAGCCGCAGCGGGCGCGTACCCGGAAGTAATCCAATGCAATGTGGCTGATCTGGATGCCCTCGCTTTTGCCGTGAAGAAGATAAGTGCGACGCGGCAAGTGAAAGGAGTGATTCATGCTGCAATGGTGGAAGGGGTAAGTGTCCAACGTCTTACGAATTAATGGAGTGTAGTGCTTACAAGATCCAGGATGCGCTCTTCGAAAATGCCGCGTGGTCCCAAGTACAGAAGGTCCTTGAACCCAAAGTCATAGGCACCGTCAACCTTCATCTTGCCACGAAGAGTCTCCCACTTGACTTCTTCTTGATGACTTCCTCTATTGTGGGAACTGTGGGTACACCTAGCCAAGGAGCATACACAGCTGCAAATGCATTCCAGGACTCGTTCTCCAGGTTTCGTCATTTGCAGTCCCTACCTGCCACGACTCTCGGCCTTGGGTTGATTCTCGAAGTCGGCTCTGTCAGCTCTTCTATCGGGTTCCAACAGATGCTTCAGCGCAATGCCACCTACGGTGTATCAGAAACCGAGTTTCTACAGCTCCTGGAAGGTGCACTTTGTAAGCCCCATTTCTCATCAGAGGAATCATCCTCCTCCAAGCAGGACGCCAGTTACCCAGCACAACTGGTAACTGGGCTTGAGCCAGCCCGCTTCCTGCCCTATCTGGAGAATGATCGAGTGAACGATCTTGTATGGTACAACAATGCCCGATTCCAGGGAGTTAGGCAGGCGATTTCCGATCGGGCTCGGACACTTGCCTCTGCTGGAAGTAACTCATTAGGAGGCACTTCTTCGATCGCCACACAGTTACAGAACGCATCGACACCTGCTGAAAAGCTGGAGATTTCGCAGACCGCCATCACGACCCGTCTCGCAGAGCTCCTCAGTGTAGCAGCTGATGATATTGACTCGAACATGCCGGTCTCACGATATGGGGTGGATAGCCTGGTAGCAGGAGAGTTGCGGAACTGGCTGATCAAGACTTTCGGCCTTGAGGTTTCAATGCTCCAACTTTTAAGCAAGAACGGAAAGATCGAGGACTTGGTTAAAGGTGCTGCCAAGGTAGATGGTTAGGCGAATACGCACAGGCATACACGTCCTGTAGTGGTTCCCTTTTCACATTCGTGTTGTACGCTTCAATGGCAACCATGAACAGATTTTGTGAAACAAGCTAGTAAAGAACAGCCGAGACCACCATGAGTGGCACTACATAGCGGTATATGAGGGAAAGGAAATAATTGCTTCGCTGTGATAATCGTGTCAAGCTCCCAACACACATAATCCCCACTGAACGATAAATCGTAAGATTAGGTACCTTTTAGGGTATGAGGCACGCACGTTCAATATGGATGCATCCCCGCTTTTAAAAGTGTATTCGTGGAACATGAATCGTATGATGGGCTAAAACACTTGTGACTACTCCTTATTCTGTACTTGAGAATGGCATCGAGGGTACTGGCATACCCACCTAGGCTTTGGAACATGCTTATCTGCGTGTTTTTGGCATTGTACGATTCTCCCATGTGGGATCATGGTATCAAGCCATTCATTTATAATCTACACTTGGGGTTTGCTGACCGAGAAGAAACGCTGAGCAAGTATGTGAAAGTACATGGTCTTTTTTATACAAAAATAGAGCCCATAAGAAAAAGACGTATATCACCCATGATTTTTGATTGATGAGCAGCACCATGGGTCCAATGTTATAAAAACTCAGATAACAAAGGAACGTAAAGTAAACAGAGGTCTAAGAGACTGAGAAACAATCATTCTTATAGCCCCTGGAGTTAGCACAGCTTACATGCTATTCTACTCTGGGCGAGCAGTGTCATTTCTACGCACCTTCTACATCTACTAGGTTGATATTATTGGCAGCCATGATCAATTCTGTTCAATACCTACCCTAAGACTTGTGCAGTCTGTTGACCTTTCACAGATGCATTATAAGGGATACATGCTGACCTTTCAGTGCCTCATATACAGGTCCAAGCATGAAGGGATGAAATCAAACACTATCCATTATCGCAACATAGGATGAAAGTGGCAGCAAATCTGATGTTCTTTAAGGTTAGACGTACAGGGTTGGAATAAGAGTGTGGCGAATGGTATTATGGAAGGAGAGGACGCCTGAAGCTGGAATTCTATACAGGCACATGATAACCCATGCGTGATATCGCCGTGGCGATGGTCGGCGGGTTTGTTGGCGTTTGGTAGCCTCAGGCCGGCGAGGCTGTTGTTTACTTCAATATAAGAGCCTCTCTTCTTCCCCTCCCTTCTTTTTTTTTCTTCCTTCTCCTCATCTCCCCACTCTCTTTGTCCTTCCCTCAGTCAAAGAGAAGTTGTTCTATCTTTGTTGTTACGTGCTATCTATCTGTTACTTCTAAATCTTACCATGCCTGCTTCAGACGAGCCCAACGGGGCTCTGCCTGAGCTACAGGCAGACCAAGTCTCCCTTCTTGATACTATCGACAAACTCAGAGGTCTCGGTGTCGGTGTATTTGTTGACTTGCCCCAAATGATTATCTGTGGTTCTAAGTCCAACGCAAAACGCTCTATTATTGAGTCGATTTCTCGTATGGACTTTCCAGTGAGGAATGATTTCCACACTGGGTTTGTTACAGAGATCATATTGCGCCATCATTCAACTCCACGCTTCAAAGTGAGCATCCGCCCTGGGGCATCTAAGAAAAGCGACGAAGACCTCCAGAAACTCAAGACGTTCGTGCCCACTGTTCATGAAAGTCCCGAGCAGTCAGTATCACTGATCGAACAAGCTACCGAATTCATTCGACCTTCCGTTGAGGATGGTTTTAGTGACGATGTCCTTATGGTCGAAGTTTCTGGTCCCGATCAACCTGACCTGACCCTTATCGATATGCCCAGGCTGTACTTCGCGGAAGGAATCGATGGTGGAGATGGAGGAAAGAGCTATGGCCGTCTTCGCATTGAAGATTACGTGCTCAATGCACGCAGCATCATTCTCCCTGTGGTATCGGCAAAAATCGACATTTGTGCTCAAAGGATAACCGATTTTGCTGACAAGTATGACCGAAAACGACAGCGGATCTTAGGAATTATCACCCATCTCGATACACTCGAGCCATCGTCGGACGAGGAAAAGCTATGGCTTAAGGCGATCAAAGACGCAGCGCCCGACCTTCCACTAGGGTTGCATTTGGTGTGCACCCAATGTTACGAGACACGGGATGTCCTAGACGAAGAGAGAGATGAGAAGGAGAAGGAGTTCTTCGAGCGAGGTGATTGGAAAACTGTGGCAAGACAATCCACAGGAACTGCCAACCTTCGGCGTCGACTCAGTACTCTTCTTTTGAATCACGTTCAAAGCAGCCTCCCAAGTCTGGTTTCCGAAATCGACCAAATTATTCTGGCGAATCAATCGACGCTGGCCAAGCTAAGTGCTCCTCGAGGAACCATTCAGCAGCAAAAGGCTTTGCTATTCAATCTGAGCAGTGCTTTCCAGCGCATAACCGAACAAGCACTGAGTGGCATATACACAGATGAATTCTTTGCTACCTCTGGTAAATTGCAGACTCGTGACCCTCGACGTCTTCGCGCTCTTATCCGTGACTTGAACGAGAGTTTTGCACATGTTATGGAGGTCTCCGGTTGCCGCCAATTCATTCATGGAGTCAACAACCAGATACTCTCATTGCCACACCCTTGCAACCCTTACGCAAATATCAGAAAGCCAGAGCACAGGAGCCGATTCGATTTCGAACTAGAGGTTATTGAGCAAATGTGCCGCGACAGAGGACTTGAATTTCCAGGCAATGCTAGTCACCTGGTGGTGGGTAACCTGTTTCGAGACCAGTCGCAACCTTGGGGGGAGATTGCTCAAGCCCATTTGATGAAATCATGGGAGACCACCCGGATCTTTGTGTCGCTTCTGCTGGACCATCTTACGGACGAACACATATCCGCAGTAATAATGCGGACCTTAATCCAACCCCAGCTTGATGGAATGAAAGACAGACTATTGGCGAAGGTAGATGAGTTGACTGCTTCCCACAAGCGAGACCACCCATTGCCTATGAGTGGAAACTTTCTTCGAGGTCATCCATTGCCTGTTGAGCAAAGTTTCCTTGCCAGGATGCAGAGATCCAGAAATGACCGCCTGCTCGCCAACCTACAGCAGAACCTTCCTTCAACTCTGAACAATACTTTCAACATGGAAGAGCTCAAGTTAGCTACTCAGAACGTGGAATTGGCAGGCAATCAGACCGCAGCTTCGGACATCGTTGACCAGTTCCAATCATATTACAACGTGAGTTGGGATAACCAACCAAGGACTATAATCTTACTGTGTGCAATATACTGACCAGAAACAGAACGCTCTTATGATCTTCACGAACAACATTGCAACTCTTGGGGTTGAAAGTTGCCTCCTCAGCCCTCTGAATGTCGTTTTGACAACCCAAACAATCGCCAACATGGACGACAGCCAAGTCAATGACCTTTTCGCTGGTATACACGATGGTGTGCAGAACTGGAGAGACGAACTGAATGGTAATTTGGAGAAGTTGCAAATGAGCCTGCGAGTGTTGAAACGATTCAAGTTTGCAAAGGAATCAAAACCATCGATTGGAACTACCAACCAGCCTGGATCATGTTCGGCTCATGAGTGTTCATCTCACCAGTCGTTCCTCGTGCCACAAGGGATTCTTTGCAATGGTGCATCTACCAATACTTCGGTCTCACCTTGCCCCAGTGGTCCATCCAGCTTGAACCCCAGTGTGGTCAATGGTGGGACAGTGAGCGCTCCATCTGAATCTTTCCTCTTTGCAGGCCCCAATCAAAGCTTCAGTCAGAGTTCTAGAAGTTCCGGTCCAAGTCTATTCTCTGGGGCTACACGTCAGGTTCCTCAAACTTTTACACCCAGCACGTTCTGGTCTCCCCCTGCTCAGCCTGTTCCATCCCGTGCACCAGACACCAGTGATCACGATCGGTAAGTATATGGCCTTGGTCTAATTTCTTCTTGTGTGAGAAAGGGGCCAACATGGGTTTGCTTACTCGATAGGAATTGGTATTGGGAGGAGAGGGAAACTCGCGATACTGGCACTTTCATCAATCGATACCACTCAATTTGTTACCACGAGCGGTACAGAAATTTCTCGCCAGAGGTAGGAAGCTCACATTTATTGATTTAAATGGTCACTGACTTCAATATAGGAGCTTCGATTGGCCGACTATGGGCTCGGCCGTGAGACACCCCAGCAACTAGCAAACCGACGTATTGCGAGAGCGATTCGAGAAGATCAAGCTCAAATTACGATCAAATCACCATCTTTGCTTTGAGAATTGAGAGAGTTTAACATTATGGAAAACAAAAGAGAGTCTGAAAAAAAGGGGGGATGGCAAGGAATGAGCGAAGGGAATCATTGTGATCTACAGGTTGAACATGTTTCAATCTAGGATGTGTGAATAATGTGTGATTATGGAGGGAGTGCTTTTGAAACGGAAAAAAGAAAAGAAAACAAAAAACACAAAACCCCCAAAAAATTATCTAGCTTGCAGCAATGTCAAGGAAACTGTTCGTGTAAAATTGTTCTATCAAACTTTATAATGTCCCTGTAACTTTTCCACCACGACACATGGATAATTAGGCAAGAGATGCATGAAAGAGACAGTAAATTAAGGCAAATGGCAAAACAAAATCAACAATGCAGAGAGGCCAGCACCACATCGCCGTCTGGGTATTCGAAAAACTATTAAGATGAACTAGGCGAACCCAATGACCATTTTCGTTAGGTATCCGGATCTTCTATCTCGATGAAGGCCAAAGTCCGCTCCTGTCGGCCATGTCTATATCGAAATCAATCTCTCCTCAATACGTATATCCTCCCTGGCACAGAGGCATGTGCTTTATACATCTAGTGCAATGTGCCAGGCTGTACAGATGCAGTTGTTCAAGAACCAACATACCACACCTCCACCCCAAGGACATCGAACTTGACGCCTTCATCGGAAAGAGGCTCATTGCCAAAAGTCTGGCAGGATGCACTGACACCTTTTTCGAGGCTATTGTCAAGCCACAATCCATAGTGGCCATCACTATACCATATATTAGCTAAGGACAATATCCATTCATCGAAATAAATCACTTACCCGCCTCCAAGACTGAGAAATCCAGTTTCACAGAAGATCATATAATCATTAACGCCACTGTACGGGAAAGCCTTGAAGCGAATGCGTTCGGGGGTACTCGCGCCACTCCGCGACGGGGTATGAATCGAAGAAGGCGACGGAGGCGCCAGGACACCACCACTCGCAGCGGCGAGATTAGTCTTAATATTTATATTGAGATTATGAGCCGGTGATTCCGCTTGCGCAGGTTTCGACTTGTCGTTGCGGAGGGTACTCCATCGGCCAGCGGTAGTGGTATCCGCGGAGGGCGGAGGCGGGAGACCAGCGCGCTCAAGGGCTTCATTGGACTGTGGTCCTTCGCCTGGTATGGGGAAACTTGCAGGCGGCGGGAGGACGCTTGCGCGCCAGAGGAAACACTCCCCCGTGCCGTAGAACTGGGAGTCCGGGTGTGGGGCGTCTGTCAGGTAAGCGCCGAATACGGAGCTGTAGGGGGATGAATCGCGGATGACGAGGACGTAGCCCGCCCGCGGGCTGCGGTTGGAGAACTCGGCGCAGTTCTCGTAGAGTGTGGAGAGGGAGGCGCCGTCGCGATCGAGGCTGTAGGCTAGACGCCAGGTTTCGGCGAGTTGGAGGCGGGGTGGGACTAGCAGGCGGATTTCTTCCGCTAGGGCGCGGGTCAGGAGTTGTTGTTGGAGGAGGTCTATCCCTCTGGGGATCTCGAGGGCGAGGGGTGTGAGTGGTGGTGGTTGGAAGGGGGAGGCTGTTCGGCGCGGTGTGAAGACTTCGGAGTTGGAGGAGCGGGACCATGGCATGACGGAGGGCATTTCCTTGGTTAGGTCTGGATCTGTTAGACGGCGGTATAGTCCTGAGACGACGTGGCTAACTGGGTAGGAGAAGTAGGAGGCGGCGGATTGGTAGGGTGGTTTTTCGGTGGGTGTCTGGGATGTTGATCCCGGGGTGGAGGTGGAGGAGGTGGGGGTGTCGGAGGGAATATTTTCTTGTGGAGACGACATGCGAGCAATTCAAAATCAATTGGTGGGGGTGTTGAGCTCTAGAGAGTACAAAGTAGAGAAGGACGAATGCGGAGTGGAAGTTGAGACGGTTATCTGTGGGGAAATAAGCCAAGCTGTCACACCTAGATATCCTTGTAAGGCGTGGCATGATTACGAGAGAAGTTCTTGGCTCGTCCAAGGTGGTATTGGATTTAAGTGGCAATTGTCTTGCTAAATTGTCTCTTGAGTACGTTTCGAATATTGATGAGACGCTAAATTTTGGTCAAAATAAGGCTCAACTTTGCTATGGATCCAAGCATAATCTATCAGCTACGTGCCAATGTCTTTACAGCAGGAAATATTTCAATTGCAAACACATGCAAATAGCTAGATTCAACGCTACTGACATGATTGGCAATGCCATGAACCTTCTAGAGAAGAAAATAAGAAACTTGTTGATATGAAATGCCATACCAAAAGCCAAATCAATGCAGACGATGATGGTATCTTAGTGTGTGTATCGAAGAATTCAAACGCAAGGCAATTAGTTCTTTAGGGCATCCGGACGAAGATCCACCGTCTCAAATTCTAACCCACTGACTTCAAAGACATGTCCTGGTCGTAAGGCCCCAGTGTAGATATTCTCCTCGGCATGTGGATGGAACAGACCAGTCTGGTTGCAGTTCAGAACCGTCTTCAGGCCCGGAGGATCAGTCAATCGGAACGCGCCCCAGTCAGGGTTTTTGCTCGGAGCGCACACGATAGCAATGCTCTCGGGAAGCATCACTTGGTAACCGCAGTGCGTGTGTAGATCACGCGAGCTCATGAAACATGTCTGCGACGGATGTGTGTGGATCCAGCCGAGTGTCATCAAATCCTCGGAGTCGCAGTAATCGAAAAGAGCAGATTCATTGACCGTTTCGCAGGTGTCAGACGTCGCTGTTTGCTCAGGAATGACCAGCTTAGATATGAAGAGCGCGTTGGAAACAAGGGTACCACAAAGAATACCACATGTCTCAAGGTTGGCGCGGGTGTTAGGAGCAGCCAGGGATAAGAAGCGGGATCGGAGATTCGCTGGTAAAAATACCGAGCGCAAGGGAGTGCCATTTTCGAGATAGGCTGAGGGTTTGAAGGTGTAACTTGATGGATCGAGATCTGAACGTGTGGCGGTGGGTTCTTCGGAAGGTTGGATCTTCTGAGGCAGTGCCGGACCTGGCAATACCTTCGCCGGCCGCGATGGCACTACAGCTGTTGCAGGATCGTGGACAATGGATGCCCGGCTAGGCTCCAGGTGCTCCTTTGGAGGCAATATCGGAGGCGCCTGCCGTTCCGCATTCTTGTCGAGGATGGCAATTTGGCCTGGAGACACAGTGGGCTCCAGCGGCTTTTGGCGTGGCACAGTCGGATATTTATACGCAGAAGTAGCCGACGAAGGAACCTCGGACTCTTTGGCATGTTGGCCATGAGGTTGGTTTGTGTCATCAAAATCGGACCCGATGTTCTGAACACGTCGATTGAGGTGGCGATCACCCGTACGAGAATCTGATTTCGTAGAATAGTCCCAATCCCCCCATACGCCAGCTGCGCGACGAGCTTCCAGCTCTTCGGCAGATGGCCCAGAAAGACTCTTTGACCCACGGACGGTGGCTCGGCGGTTGAGTTCTGATTGGGCTAACTGTACGGCGAGATCTCGATTCTCTCCAGCTTCCAAAGGCTCTGCCACTCCAGCAAGAGCGGGATCCGGAACTTGTTCACGTGGTTCGGCGACGATTTTGGCTTGTGAGGGCTGTTTCCGAGATTCGCGTTCCCGTATCAACTGAGTGTAACGCTCATACCGCTTATTGATGCGTGGCCTCAGAACCTCCAGCTTGCTAAGGTTTTTCTCAACCTCTTTCTCGGCTGCAACCAATGCCTTGCGATTTTCCTCATTCTTTTTGGTATCCGGGTGTTTGGAAAGATGGACCAAGATCAACTGAGCATGTCGAAATAGAATGAGATACGCTTGCTCATCGTGTCCTTCGCGTTCGTAAATTTGGGCCTAACAAGCGAAGAAAGGTTAGCAAGTCTGAAGTAGTCATGATCCAAGTGCAGGCAACAATTATAACAAACCTCACGTAAAAGCGTCGCGGCGGTCCTCAGCCAATACCGTAATGGAACGGAAGAGTTGTACTCGTAGTTCTGTGCTATTCGCGTAATATTCTCAACACTTTGAGGGGCAGTACCTCCAGTGGCGGCTCCCATCGCATTGGAAGTCATGGCAACAAGGCAACAAGGTACGCTAAGGCAAGGGTAGGTGAGGATTAGGAAGCCAAGATGATGAAGTTAAGCGTAGATCAAGCCTCACATAGCATAGTGAGATGATAGGAACCTCGGAAAACTGGAATCACCAGCGGCAATTGTGGGAGCCGCATCTAGGGCGACCTGGAAGATAAACCTGGTGAGGGGAGAGAGGTGGGATGAGAGCGGGCAGCTTGGTCTCTCCGCTCTCCTCTCCGCTCTTCAACGTAAATTGCAAAAAAAAAAAAAAAAGAAAGCAAGCAGATCCTACTCTCACATTATCTCCTTCGATTGGTCACTATCCCTCCATGTTATATTCATGATTCTCCTTGGCATTTGCCAGATTTTAAATAATGAGACAAATCACCCCCCAACGAAAGCCATTGGCGAGGTTTCCGGAGACGGCGAGGCTTTACCCAGTGATCATGAAACAACGTGGGAAAGTCAAGACACGACCGCAGTTCGTAAGTGATGGGCTACTCGGTAAGTCTTGAGTCTTCCGTCTCTTACATAATGGGTACAAATATGCTCATGCGCTTTGAACTATGCAGATGATGTTCTCAAGCGCTTATCGCCTTACCTTCGCCGAAACCCACCGATAGACATTCTGGACCTTTGGCCAGGGGGTGGCTTTTTGTCATCTAAAGTCAATACACTTCTGGGACCACGCCGCCATGTGCTTGTTGAACCAAATACTAATTTTCACTGTCTTCTCACCCCACTCGTCGAGAGCAAGTCGTGTTATAAACTCGTCCAGGAAAACATATACGGGAAATCCGGCTGGGCTGATTTCTTCGCGACTCATCTTCCAGAACAAGGCCCTGGAAACCGAGAAAGCTCTGGGATTATCCCAAAGAATGACACACTCCTCGTCCTGGCTAATCTGCCTGATAGTATCTCTGCAACGGATCATTTCAAACCCAGCCGCTGGTTTCTCCACTTCATGAATAGCTGCTTAAGACAATCTGATCTGAATTTGTACGGGTCCGTACGGGTCCTTGCCACAATGCCCTCCGCCGACATCCCGCTTATGTTACCCCGGTCCGCTATGGAGCGCACACGAACTGGCGTAATCGCCGAGACTATAGGCTTGCACAACATAGAGCTTGCCAGTCCAGCTCAACCCGAACGCTCCCATCAATGGCAGGGCTGGGATGACATAAATGACAATAGGCAGCTTGTGGCTACAAGAGCTGCATCAAATGAAATTATCACTCCACCCAACAGAACGCTTCCTCCTGTGAAGCTGGTGCCTGAAATTGCTCGCCGCGGGAGAAATGACCTACCATATGAGCGTCGGGTGCAAACTCCGTTTCACGAGAAGCTCTTCACGACCATCGCGGCAGCAGATAAGCTGGGTATCAATTCGAGCCTCGAGACCACAGACCCTAAAGCCAAACAATTAATTCGAAATCGGGGACTAGCATTCACAAAACTTACCAGGGACAATTCAGCGAGTCACTACCGCCAAAAGCTTGCCAACACAATAATTGAGCTTGACGAAGTGGGCCGAACATTTGCACGTGCGGCTGCGGATCCCAAGGAGAGTGTTGAGAGCCTGAAGGCTCTGGAAGATCGTATGGTATCTCTCAAATCGAGTTATACCACTTTGTGCGCAAGCCTTCACTTCGTGATGTTGGAAAAACATGATCATGTAATCGATGATCTCCGCTTGTCTAGACTCTCCGACCATGTCGACGATGGCAATCTGGTATATGACCGACGACCATTTGAACCCCTATACATCCACCCGGATGAGATTTACCCTCGCGGGAGTGGGGATGAGCGCACAGTCATATATTTCGAACCAAACCCCAACCCGGCCGTTCTCAAGAAGGTCTTTGACCTACCGACTCCAATGGTCCAACCAGTTCTCGATCGGTATTACTCACTGCTAGCCCTGGTGGGCTTCCGTGGTAAGATGCCGGTCTCCGAATTCCTTGAAACAACTTTCCCGTCAGAGGCTATCAATAATCATGTGCGGGATATTCCAAGCCTTACCCACTTCGCCGAAAGACGACTCAAGCCTGGATGTGGGCCGATGCCCTTGCCGGATGGTTCGACGGCGGATCCAGCATTCACCTACCAGGAGAATGTGGACTATGATTTGAGTGGTGTTCGAATCCGCACTCTTTCTGCACAAACCATGGTGGATATTGCGATCAAGTATGAGAACCTTTCAGAGAAGCTCTCTACCATCGTGCTCAGCCGAGCTCTAGGCGGGGCATTGACCCAAGCTCAGCTAGGGGATGATCTTGTCAAAAAGAACATCAAATAGGGCCAGATTGGCACCGTGTATAACTCTGTATATTAGTATTTTGTACGAAAGGATATGTATAATTTCAGAACCCCAGGATAGGAGTACATAATTGTGAATCTGACTGGGAGTATTCTAGGATTTGCATGTGGTTGGTTGCATGCGGGCACGAGGTCAAAGGATTGGATGTCGCGTTGATGTAGAATAAAGTGCATTGGGTAAAGATAGTCATAGAATAGTCAAGACAAATATAAACATCAACATCAGTACAAAGTCAGATATAAAACTAAAAATAAACATAAACATAAACATAAATATAAACATAAATATAAATATAAATATAATATAAAAAGGTTGACAGCCGTTGAGACGCAAGCGGAGTACCCGACAATAGGATGGATGCATTGGGGGTTATCTACAACAGTCACCTATTAACCTCGTAATCTACCCTATTTACCCTAACTATGTACATAGGTAATGGTTAACTGGTTAATAGATAATAGCTAACTAGATAATAGATAATGGAACTAAATAAGTTAGGTAAATAACTAGATAATAAATAATAAATAACCCTAATACCCTAATCTTGAAAATTAAAAAGGAAATGAAGTCCAAAACCCAATTCCGATTATTTAATTTCCCGTTTGCACTCCACTGCCACGGTAGTATTTTACTGTCACGGTCTATCTTTTCTATCATTTTGCTTATGTTCGAAACCGAAGTGGGCCGGTTTTGTTTTTTTTCTTTGCTTTTTGTGATTACTCTTATAGCCATGACCTTTTTCCCAACAGTTATTCTTTGTCGTTATACAGGCTATAGGCCCAATCTTATAAAAACGTGCATTCGCCACCCCGTCATCATTATAGATCCGTGGGTGAGGCTTAATTGCCTATCGCGAACTGTTCCGGTGGCGCTACTGATATCAGAACGATTTCACTAGTCTCGGCGCTTCCCCCGAGAGAATATAGACCCTGATCTACCCGCAAATCCTACTGTCGAAGTTGCGTATTCACACTATGGCCAATCCCCCAGTCCAGTTGTCTCTCCAGACAGCCCAAGGCAAAAGCCCGCCACTATCTACTGAAGTCCCATCGAGTCTCACGCCACCCGTCACTCCCATAGCCAAGGAACGGCCCCCAAGATCAACTCTAAGCCCATTCCATGACTCAAAGGCAGAGCAAACGACATCCATCTCCAAAGATAATGTCAGCACTCTGCAATTTACCGATGACCTCGAAATCTGCCACGACGAGAACAACCGCTCCTTCGAGTTCGGCCGCGGCGTCTGGAGCATAGTATACAAAGCGCGCTCATTGCCACGCCCCCAAACATCCCTCCCAGGCACACCCCCAAGCTCCCCAACCTCAAGATCGCAAGTGCTAGCCGTGAAAGCACCATTGCGCCGAGATGCGCGGCCGGTCCTGAGCGCCGAAGCAACAACCCTAACTCGCCTCACCTTCACCCAAGGCCACGAACATTACATCGTCCCCTTCCACGGCTACCATGCCGAGTTAGGCGCACTAGTAATGTCCGCCGTCCCGACTTCCCTGGCAACATACATCGAAGACCAAGCAAAGATCGCGCGCACCCGTCAACCCGTAACAGCAACAATGTTTGACCCGGTTCAAGGCCCAGCTTCATACCAGGAGCTCGCGCGCAAGCTAATCACCGGCTTGAACTGGCTGCATCAAGTCGCTGGCGTCGTCCACGGCGATATCAAGCCACACAATATCCTCCTCCGGCCTATCGACACAGATGACTGCAGTGATGAGGTCGCTTTCCCGTACGAGCCTCTCTTCGCAGATTTCTCTGCTACCGTTGATATTCCCGCGGACGCGCATGCGCCGGTTGATACGACCCGCGCGTCGATGTCGTCGTTCACGCCGCCCTTCACGGCGCCTGAAATGCTTGCCTCGCTGACGTCAACTGATATAGCGCCGACGCCTGCGTCGGATGTCTTCTCTCTTGCGGCTACATTGCTGGCCGCTGCAACGGGTGATTTGCTGCTTTATCCTAATATGAATCATCGGTTGCGGTTGGAGATGGCCAGGGCTGGGCATCAGATTGTTGGTTTCGCCAGGTCCGGGGTTAGTGGGAGCCGGGTTCCGAAGAATGGATTCGTTGAGCGGATTGTCAAGCCGGCTGTTGTTAAGGATCCGGCGATGCGGATTACGACGCCGGATTGGGTCGAGCTTGCGTCTTAATGCTGGAGTGGATTTGTTGGAGTCTTTCGGTTATTTGTTTTTTTTATTTTGCATTGTCCATATACCCTGTCTAGATGGAGTTCGGCGGAACGTGTATGATATTGAAGGGATTTATATAATATTTTATCAAATCAAATAATACCTGGTGGGGCATACGGATATCAGTGTTTCATTCAAGAGTAATATCTCATTGTAGTAGCGAGTTCGGTTCGGACCAGAGTAGCCATTCTCGAGTAGAGTAGCGAGTAGAAAGCAAACAACGCCAACGCCAGCAACCCAAAGCTCGAGTTAATCAAGAGGAACCAGCATTACTGCCTCCCTCAACAAATCCCTTCAAATCAGCAACCCACATCTCAAAATTCTCCTGCAGCTTAGCCTTGTACATCCACCGCACTACATAAACCAACCACCCAACCTGCGCCTCCCAATTCCGTACTTCCGTCCCACCCTCAACAGCTGTAATCTCATGCACGCGCTCCGCCTTTAAAAGTGATGGCGAAAACGACCCTGGTTCTTCGGGGTCAGCGCACCAAACGATACGGCCGACCTCGCCGGTCTCCTGGTTCGGAGCTCTTAATTCACTGACGTAGACATGTACATCTGTTGCCGGCTGGGGCTTGGTGGAGGTTGAGTCCATGCGGACGTGTAAGGTGAATTTTGTTCCTTTTTGGAGAATCGGAGATAGCGCTGTGTTTGTATTTGTTGATTGGGTGCTTGGTGTGGCTGTTGATGCTGGTGTTGGGTCCGGTGCGGAGGTGGATGGAGATGGGCCTGGAGTTGGCTGGGAGCGGATTGTTACGCGTGGTACGAAGGTGTTCCAGCTTGGCCAGGTTGAGATGTTTGTCAGCGCCGCCCAGACTTCTTGGGAGGGAGCGGTTATGAAGGTTGAGCTGCCGATGTGGAGGGTTGCTTTGTCGATGGGGATGTTGGGGGTTGCGCGGGTGGCGTTAGTTGGGTCTGTCAGGGTCGTCATGGTGGATTGAGGGGTTGGTAGTTATAGTTTGGAATTAAGGGGAAGGTAGTTGGGGAGGAAAGGAAGGTAAGCAGGTGAGAGTCAAAGGAGTTGTACAACACTACACAGTAGTAGCTCGGAAGTCGTTTGCGTCCGGGACGATAAGCTTTGATATGCCGATAAGATGCGATACGATAAAGGATAGGATAACAGATAAGGTGATTGGAGTATGAAGCTTGGGTGCAATGAGAAAATGGCCTTACCCTAGTAGGTAGTATGTATGACCTTCTACCTACATATATGTGATGGGATTCCAAGTCTAACATTAGGAGGATGTGTGGGTATCCCCATTACAAGCTAGCGCATATAGATATATAAACAGATGCATACTTGAGAGCTCTAAGATGCACGAAATCATAGGGTTAGTTCCAATATATCTAAAATTCTCCCTACCTTGAGTCCATTGAGTGGTTAAGGAATAAAAACAAAATCATAAGCTGTACGAGCTTGAATGCCAGATCGAAGGACTAACTCCGTTTGAAGATGATGGCTACTACAAATCAGATGGACCAACCCATTCCAAATTGATATCCAAAAGAAATGGGACCTTGGTGCCACATTAAGTGATCATACCTCCAATTCCTTTACTATGGGATAATCTCTGCTCTTTCCGCTTGTTCACATTTGGCCTATTGCCGCGCCTTCCTATAATGTTGCTCCTTCCTCAGAATCACTGCACAAAAACCAAACTCCATCATCCCCTCCCTGCTACCTCTTCTTCCTCTTTTCATCCCATACATTCTTTCATCAACACTCTTTCATTTATATATTCATTGTTCCACTGCACTCATTTTAATCTTCTTCCAGTCTCTTCAACATGCAGCATCCTACCCCAGCTTCGGTCTTTGTCCAAGCTGCTCAACTCCCTCCCAACTTCATTATCCGGCCTCGACCTCGATTTTGCATCCTGCGTCCTGGAGGTTTCTGGACGCCTTTGATCCCACTTGATGAATTACCTTCTTGGTTGGAGATTTGCAACTGGGCCCCTGACATGTACATGGGAATGTACCCGGCGTCAATGACATTCATGCCACGCGAAGGGGAATATGACGTTCTCTGTCATCACTGCTCGCACGGTGTAGACTCACTGCACCAGAGCGTCTCCGAACGAGGAGCTTCTTCTGTTGCAGCCGAAAATGACGGCTCGGCCAAAGACCGTTCTGTCTCACCGAAGGCCGATAGAAGTGGTGCTGCTTCCTTGCCTACCGTGCTCCATCATGACACACCAAACCAATTCTTGGAGCAGCCTCCTTTCGGTGCAATTCTCCAGACCCCGTTTGTTGGAATGTGTATGGTCGACATGAACTCGCAGTATCCAGATATTGCTACAGACTCTTCTGGGCTGAAGCGACGTCTGAGTATCGAGAACTCGATTCCTCCTCAGGTCTTTGGTGCAGTCGGCGTTGGCAGCCCTCCTCTTTCCGTGGTAAGCTCGGGGAATGCTCGCAGGTCTGAATTTCCTTATACACATGCGCATGATGCTAGATCGTTTCCCAAGCCCCAGCGCGTTGCATCACTGCAAAACGAAAGCCTTGCATCAATGCAAAGTGGCAGCGTTGCCTCCACTCGATCTCTCACAGTTGCTGCCATTGAGCACATGAAGAGGATGCGAAGAAGAAGGATCTCCCGTGGAAGCAGTTTGCATGCAAGCATCAGTGTCGCAGAAGCAAAGAGCCTGTCCCAGGTCTCAGGCTCAAAGATCTCAAAGGTCTCAAAGGTTTCAAAGAATTCCAAGGTTTCCCAGATCTCCTCCATTCGTGTCATCTCAAAGCATCATCGAAAGGTTATACTGCGTCGTCGACGCGCGGAGGAAAGGAAGGCCGACAGATCACGGCAGTTAGTGACCTCAATGGAGGCGCTGGAGCTGAAGCCGGAGCAACCAAATTCGGCTACCAAGAGACGCGATCGACGTGAGCGCATGATGCAACGCAGGAGGCAATCTGATCGTGGCAAGCAACCTTATCAAAACATGATGCGGATTCCCAATTGGAGCCCGGGTATGTGCAAGCACTGAATGATGATCGAAAGTGGTCTGTACAAGACATGAAGCTGTATCACAGTCTTTGCTGTTGGACTTGTTCACACAAGTTTATTTTGACTGGGTTCTAGCCTATAGATAGATATCCTTTTTTTACATGTCGCTTTGGTGGGTCTGGTTGTGTGTGCTTTTAGTTCTTCCATTCTTGCTTTCGGTTGCTTGTTTTGGCTCTCAGCTGACGCCTGGTGAACTGTCTCTCCTTTCCCTTTGCATTCTTTCTTGGGTATTCTTGCACTCAGCAAGGTTTTGTGTTCGTTTGATCATTTTGCTTTCTTAAGTAGGTAGTTGATGACCTTGCATCTCCTTTTGCCTCGTTATTTTGTTCTCAGCTGACTCCCGGTGGCATTGCCTCTCGTTACCTTTTGTTATTCAAAAGTGGCTTCCGGCTAATAAAATTGTCTTTCGCTTGCCTTTTTGTTATTTTCGACTGTCTCCCAGTTGATGATATTATCTCTCGCTTTCCTTCGCAGAATCCAACCAGAGTTGAATCCATTCCATCTTTCCAAATTCACTGCTAGATAACTGCTGACTCCTTTTTTTCTCAGACATTAAAGGACCTTGGAAGGCATCCATGGATGAAAACAACATTGAAGATAAGAAAGAAAAAGCAATGAAGATACGGGAGCTCCCGAGGTCCACCTGCGCCCAAACGGGAAAGTGTCCGCAACCCCCGCACTATACTCCAAGGCTGGTTGATAGCCTTCCAAACCAGGCCACTTCACACACCATGAAAGTGAAAAAGCCTCGTGGCATTCGGCATGACCGAGACTGTGGTCGCTGCAAAGTCCGAGGGGTCAAATGTGACTTGAACCGGCCCCGATGTCAAGCCTGTCTCCGGAGTGGAGAAGCATGCAATTATCCGCAGCGAGTTGTATGGGTAGATGACAAGAAGTCGAAATCACCAAAAAGCACTTCAATAATTTCCAATGAACAAACACACATTGAAGTTACCAAGTCAGAATCGATTATCAACCTATACGGCTTTGTCGACCTCCTGGACACTTTCTGCCAACAACTTCAATCCAGCAGCCGTGACATCCCAGAAGAAGGAATTCAACTGATTTCACGCACGCTAAGCTTCGCCCGCTCGCGCATTCAAGATGCAAACAACAAAGAATCCCTCCAGTCGCATCTAGTGGCCTTGACAAACCTGAGCCAAGTTATCCAGTCCGCGCACCCGATCGCGCTCTTTGGCATCGCCACTTTCGCCATGTTTGAAGTATGCTGCGGGTCTTTTGGCAACTGGCATTGCCATCTTCAAGGCGCACGCTCACTATTAGATCTACACTGCCAACAAAAGGCCGATCTGGACAACCTCTGCGACGAGATCGCCGGTCTTGCCGACGTCCTCGCCTATCTAGTGTGGTTTGATGTTACAGGGGCCCTCGTCAGAGAAAGTCCATTAATTTTCGAAGACTGGCATCGTGAGACCTTATCTGCCGGATTCTTCGACTCAGTCGGATGTCCACCAGATACGTTCGATTTATTGGTTTATCTTGCGAAACACCGCGATGGCGATGGAATCCGCACTATGGACCTCAGTTCTCGAGCAATGGCCCAAATTCTACAGCTTAACGCGGGTGACTCAACGGACCGCAATCTCGCTGCGACCGTGTATAGAGGGGCTGCGGCAATCATCGCGTTCAGTCGTGCTGGAATGACTACGGGTGGCGATCCTTCCGCATCGACATATCATTCAACCGTAATCTCCTCTATGGTAGATCGGGCTTGCCAGGCTATCGCGGATATCCCTTCTACATCGAGGTTCTACGTGCATCTGGCTACCCCCGCATACCTGACAGGGATGAGTGCTTCGACAACACGACAGTGCGAGGTAATTCGAAACTACTGGCGGAACTGCCAGTCGTGTGAGTTCCCTCGTTATCCGGATGCCGAGGCGCAATGTGAGAGGAGGTGGAGTATATCCGGTGTGGGGTTACCATGGGTTAGGTAGCCTTCCTTATCGGGTAAGCCGTCTTACTTCTTATCTACATAGTACTTGGATAGGTCTTGAACATACATAAAGGCCCTGTTATGATCCAAATTCCTACCTTCGTAGCTCTCATATTTTGATCATAAACATAGGAATTCCCCGATGGCTACGTCGTACCAAGACCGTTGCGCTCAAAAGCGCGCTGACCAGCTCTCCCTCATCCTCCCCGAATGGCGCCTGGATCCCGTCCCCTCCATAGAATCCGCCCCAGACGCTCTGAAATATCTCCGTCGCATTCTCAGTCCAGAGGAACTGGCTCTCACAGAAGAGACCGATATTGCCGTCCTTCTCCGCAAGCTTTCATCCGGAGAACTCTCATCTCTAAAGCTGACTCAAGTCTTCGCTAAACGCGCCGCCCTCGCCCACCAACTCACAACATGCTGCACAGAAATATTCTTCGAGGAGGCCTTCGCTGTCGCCCAGGAACTAGACGACTACCTCGCTAAGACGGGCAAGACTATCGGTCCTCTACACGGGTTACCAGTATCCATCAAAGATTTATTCTCCGTTCAAGGAGTAGACACATCAATCGGTAAATTATCTTCCCCATACCTCTCACGCCTACGGTGTAAAAAAGCACCTATTCGTCCTGTATAGGTATCTGTACTTGTATACTAACAAAAATTCAAAAACCAGGCTGGGTCGGCCTCACCAACAATCCAGCAAAAGCAGACAAATCCGTAGCGCGCACACTCCGCCGTCTCGGCGCCGTCCTCTACGTGAAAACCAATCTGCCCCAATCAATGATGATGTCTGATTCTTATAACCACGTCTTCGGTCAATGCGTCAACCCCTTCAACCGCGAGCTGATTTCTGGTGGGAGTTCCGGCGGCGAGGGATCACTTATTGCTGCGCGTGGAAGCGTGCTTGGTATTGGTACCGACTTGGGTGGTTCGATTCGTATTCCTGCTGCGCTGTGTGGGCTTTATGGTCTCTCGCCTAGTCCCGGAAGACATCCGTATGAGAGGGGAAAGTGAGTTTATCTGTTTATTTCTCTGATTCGTTTCATCTGCTCGGTGGTGGAGAGTGAAAAGAAAAAGTTGCTGATCTGGATGATTTATAGCCCCGGACAGGATATTGTGAGATCCGTTGCTGGGCCTATGGCTTGTACTCTTGCGACTATTGAAAGGTATATGGAGGTTTTGCCAGAAGCGAAGCCGTGGGAGGTTGATCAACATGTCGCGCCTGTAGCGTGGAGGAAGGAGTTGGCTTCCCCTGGTGCGAAGAGACTGAGGATTGGATTTTTGGTTGATGATGGTGTTGTCAAGGTTCAGCCGCCGATTGCGAGGGCTATACGTGAGGTTGTTGAGGCGCTGAAAGCGGTGGGACATGAGGGTATGATAACTGACAACAACCTCTCCAATGACCATTCCGGATCATCTACTAACACCTCTTAGTGTTTGAGTGGGATGCGTCCTCGCATCTTTATGCGTACGAGCTCTGGGCAAAGGCTATATTCTCTGACGGCGGCGAGGGCTGTCGAAGACAAATTGAAAAGACCGGCGAGCCGCTTGTTGAGGGTATGCTCGTTGGTAAACCCGAGGATACTTTGACCACCAGTCAGACGCATCAAGTGAGAAAATTCCGGTTTTGGTACTATGGTTACTAGCTGCTAACATGTCGCAGCTTAATGCGGACAAATACAATTTCGAATCGGCATATCTCGATAGATGGATATCCTCCGATCTCGACGCATTAATCATGCCCAATACTTCATGGGTGGGATACAAACCGTGGACATGGGTAAAGTCCAGTGCGTATGTGGGTTATACGAGTATCTGGAATTTGCTTGGATATGCTGCGTTGGCAGTGCCGGTGACTACTGCTTCAAGGACAAAAGATGTTCCGGATGAAGAATGGCTGGCCCATGATCCGAGGAATGATAGTGATAGGTTTAATAAGCAGCAGTGTGAGTACATCCAATTTTGGAACCCTCTTGAACAGTGCTGATTCGTGTTTAGATGATATCAACCTGGTTGAGGGTATGCCTGTTGGCATACAGGTTGTTGGCGGCCGATTTGGTGAAGAGAAGTGTGTTGCTGTGGCTAAGGCGATTGAGCAAGCTATGCAAAGGAAGATTACCTCACGAGCAAGTCTTTGACATCGTACATAGGTCCATGGTCATCTCTTTCTTATTCACACTATTTACGTTTGCTACTGGTTGTGTTTCTACATAGGTCCTTACCATCAGATTTGGTGACGGGTATAACAGAACATTATATATATCATCTTTCTTAAATGTTCCATGTACACTAAATACAATATGATCCAAGCATAAGATTAACATCCTCATTCATATCGTCACTATATGCAATTACATCACGGGCTTTGTTGATGCTCATTATATATAATCCGAACCCTCGATAATTTCAAATAGGAGCATTCATCCTCCCCTTATAGTCCGGGAACTCAAAATCCCCCAAATCACCGAAATCCCTCTCAATACTAGGATTCGAGCATGGCTTCGCATGTGCAGTCTTACTCCTCGTTTCCCCCTCCCCCGTCTCTATATCGAAATGAAGGCCACTCGCAGAATGAGGCCGGGCAACAGGGGCAGGAAGAGTATCAGACTGCATCCTCAACTCCCTTTTAACACGAATCCCCTCCTCATTATCTTGCACCTCTCCATTCGTATCGACCTTGGAAATACTAGCAGAGTAACTCGCCGGTCCGGGACTGAAGATTTCATTACACCAGATACTACCATCTCGGCGGAGAGGCTCGCTCATCTGGGTTCTATTGGAGTTAACCTTTGAGGTGTGGGAGTGTATCGGTCGAGGGAGGAAGAAGAACGAGAAAATGCGGGAGAAGAGTGGGTGGAGTGGTGGCAGGCAGACGCAGATGATGGATACGTTGGCTTCGAGGGAGGACCAGAGGGCTGCTCGGGCATTTGCAACTGTTGGTGTGTTAGTTTTAGATTTTTTTGTTCTCTTCGTATATTGCAGTATGTGAAAAGAAGTTATATACTTACGGGTAAGGTCTCCTCCGGCAACCATGATGCTCAATGGATACATGCGAGCGGAACTGGTGGCAATAATGCTATAAAAAAAGTCAGCTTGGTTCCTGAGATCACCCAAAAACGATTTAGTTTGACTTACATGATTCCAAGGCTGAAAACCACCATTATTCCCCATTTTTGTCTTTTCGGTAGTTGTAACTTCCACAATAGCGGCAGAGGCAAAATCAATATCACCAGATCGGTAATAGTCTGGAGTGCCGCATTGGTGAACCAGACAGGGGTGGCGGGTAGACATTTTGTCTTGCGGACCTCTGCAGATGGATTCCAGAAGGCGTGGACAGGGATGCAGAAGAAAAAGCCGCTCAGGGTCGTCCATAGACCTATGATAACGAGGCAGCCCATTAAGGTGTAGGTAACCAAGAGGAAGGGATGGGGATGGAAGAGACGGGTGTAGAGGGTCAATGCGGAGAACTTGGCTAAGACCATGGTCATGTTGTAGAAAGGGACCGAGAGCCATAACCACTGTGGTTGGGGTCTATTAGTGACTTGTTCCACAACAGAAGGAACGTTTTTCGTACAAATAGTTGGCGCTGAATCACATCTTCCGACAGTTCTGACATGGGGACGCCGATGCCATATTCTCGTTCTGTAGAGTAACTCTTTAGATTGGAACGTATAGCAGTAAGACATTGCTGGGATGGACCACTTACCAAGAATTATACAGGCGTATAATGCTAGGTCAACGAGCTTTGATAGATGATTAGTGCTGTGCTCTCACTCCCCACATACTTCGTCTGAGAGACGTATGTTGTAGTGGTATACATAGTAGATAGAAATACATACCAATGCACCTATTATAATCAAGTCATCTAGTCCAGGAGCCTTCACCACGTAGAACCGAGTGTATAGCCGGAAGGCGACAGTCAAAGCCGCCAGCCCTGTAAAGGCCGAAGTAACGATCACAACATACATTCAATCGGCAAGAGAGTCAATTGATAAAGCTTAAAGATATCAAAAGGATTTTAGTGGAAAGCCGTAGGCATGTGTCATTGTATTGAACGAAATGCAGTGGAAATATGCACCAGTACGCCATCAGACTGCAACTGAATATTGAGTAGGTGGAATTGTCGAATTGCAAGTAAGGAAGTTTAATATGAAAGTAAAGCAAAATTGAGAAAGAGATGCGCAGTCTTAACCCACACACGTCCTAACACCAAAACCCTACCCGACACAAACACATGTTTTGGCAGCAAAACCTGCATCAACTTCCATGAACACCCAAATCCCTTTCTTCCAATCAAGATTCCCTCTCTTATGGTTGGTACAACCGTAAAAAAGATCAAACAGGCCAAATGGCCGGATTAGGAAACAAAGATAATCATTTGCGTCAAGACCTCGCTCTAGGTCGATCGCTAGTAAAGTCAGGGACAGATGATTGGCTGCCCGAATAAAGTTGCGGGTCCCCGTATGCGACCCACATCCCAATTGGTTCGAAGGTTTGTGGTTGTTCGGTACCGACCCTACCCGTAACTCTGGAGAAGGTAAGGGCAGTCTGGGAGTTGAAGATCCTTGTTTGGCTTTTACTTGGAACACCTTATGTACAGATGCTTTGCTACTTAGGGTTCGGGATTGACTTTCGGTTGTTGAAGCTGAAACTATCATTTCCTTATTGAGATCTGCCTAAATTCGTGCTAACTTCGATTATATGTTTTTCTGGTCCTCTAAACACAATGTTGCGTTGGTGACGTTTGGAGTGGTTAAATGTTATTTCCCCTGCAATTGACGAAGGAGAATTCTTTGCCCCTGCAGAGGTGAGGTATAGACTGTGGTAGCACGTGGAATAAGCATGGAACATAAAATTAAAACGATACCACACTGTTTCAGGAACTGGTTGCCTACAATCTAGTGATAGAAAAAAGCATGTATACAGAATGGCAATTCAATTGCAAACTATACAAAAATGACCAATCAAAATTAGGCCAATGCCTTTCCGCTAGGGATTCTAAAACGGGAGTATCTCATCAAATTTTGCAGCAAATGGGAAAACGATCTACAGGCGAGCCTTAAGGTTGGCCTTCAGCCTCCGCTCAACGGCAGCCATGTACTCGCCAGTGGTAACCCAAGCCTCGCGGTCCTTGCGACCACAGGCGAGAGCCAGATCCTTAGTCATGATAGCCTCCTCGTTGACAACGTCAACGCAGGCACGCTCAAGCTCCTCGGCGAAGGAGACAACCTCGGGGGTGTTGTCGAGGACACCACGCTGGACGAGACCACGGGTCCAGGCGAAGATGGAGGCGATAGGGTTGGTGGAGGTCTCCTTACCCTTCTGGTGCTCGCGATAGTGACGGGTCACGGTTCCGTGGGCGGCTTCGGACTCGTAGGCATCGCCGTTGGGGGTGGCCAGAGCAGAGGTCATCAGACCGAGAGAGCCGAAGCCCTGGGCGACGATATCGGACTGGACATCACCGTCGTAGTCTAAAGATACGTGTTAGACAAGAAATAAAGAAACAAACCTAACACGGGATAGACGGAAAACTCACTCTTAAGAGCCATGACGAAGCCACCCTCGGACTTGATCATCTGAGCGACCATGTCGTCAATGAGACGGTGCTCGTACCAGATGCCCTTGGCATCGAAGTCCTTCTTGTACTCCTTCTGGAAGATCTCCTCGAAGATGTCCTTAAAGCGGCCATCGTACTTCTTGAGGATAGTGTTCTTGGTGCTCATGTAGAGGGGAAGACCCTTCATGAGAGCCATCTTGAAGGAGGAGTGGGCGAAGCCAGCGATGGACTCATCGGTGTTGTACTGGCACTGGGTGATACCACCACCCTGGAAGTCGTAGACCTGGATGCGCTCGGGCTCACCACCGGTAGGGGTGTAGACCAACTCGAGCTTACCGGGGCCAGGGATGACACGGTCCTGGGCACGGTATTGGTCACCGAAGGCGTGGCGGCCAATGACAATAGGCTTGGTCCAGCCAGGGACCAGGCGGGGAATGCGGGGAATGACAATGGGCTCACGGAACACGGTACCGCCACTAGATGGGTCGTTAGTGAATGGTCAAAGTCAATTTGATAGAGTTTACTCACAGGATGTTGCGGATAGTGCCGTTGGGGGAGAGCCACACTAGAAATGATTAGCTTTTTGGTGCTACACAAAACGGACTTCGGCCCCTGAGCTTAATGAGCTTACTCTTCTTCAAGTTGAACTCCTTAACACGGGCCTCATCGGGGGTGATGGTGGCACACTTGACACCAACACCGTACTTCTTAATAGCCTCGGCGGCATCAATGGTAACCTGGTCATTGGTCTCATCACGGTACTCAATACCCAAATCGTAGTACTTGAGCTCAATATCGAGGTAAGGCAGAATCAACTATAGGCAGCCACTTAGTATCAAGCATGAATCCCAGCCGGCATGTAATATGACGCATCAACTGCATGCACCCTGCAACAGTGGGGATCGTGCAGGTCAAGCCCGGTCGAGGAGTGGACGATAAGCTTACCTTTTCTCTGATTTCTTGCCAGATAATACGAGTCATCTATGTTCACGAAAATCAATTGGTTAGCATGTGTCCAAAATGAGTTTCACAGCCTGGGGCGGCGTCATTGTCCGATTGACACATGTATTATCGTGATATTCCCCGTGTTTCCCCGCGTTTTCGACGAAAACGCGCAACCCGAGCACGAGGATGTACGGGCTAGTGAAACAGGCTGATTGAAACTTTGGACTATAAAAGGAGGGGTTGTCCCATACCTCATCACCATCCAACTCGACCACGGGGGTCTTGACTTTGATCTTGGTTTCGGAAGCCATAGTGCGGGTTTGAGTGAGAGACGAAGGGATCGATCCGGACCAGCGGGAAGAAGCAGCAACTCGATTAGTTCGTTGAGAGAGGGAGGTAGAGGAGATAGATCTCTTGGAAGAAGAAGTAAAGGAAGAAGAAGAAATAAGACGAGAAGTAGAAGAGAGAGGGGCAGAGGGGGTCGCAAGGGACCGACGAGCGAGTGCGGAACTGGACCGGAGAGCGTTCATCGTGGGATAGCTAAGGACGTCAGCGCCAATTTCGCAGTTTTTGTTTGGCCGAGCGGCATGTAAGTCGCCTCACTCGCTGATTACAGCCGAGGGAATGAGGTTCGGCAGAAAGGGAAGTGTGGAGTCGGGAAATTTCCCGGAGAAAGGGTAGAGAAGATGCGATTTCCGGGAATTGGGTAAAAGAAACCGGGGCAATACGGGAATTTGATCGGAATAAGATGAGTAAGGCAAGGGATAATTACCGATAAAGAGACTGAAGAGTGTTTTAAGAAGTGTAGAGGAGGAAAAAGCCTTGTCCGGTGTAGTGGAGGTTGGGGATCTTATGAATAACTCCGCAGAAAGAAGCGCCGAAGCCGGACAGTCACGAGATATTGAAGACTTTTGAAACGGTTTGGAGTGATTTTGAAGGGCAATTTAACGTGGATTTCTTTGTTTCTTTAAATCTTTCTATTCAATTTGTCCTGACTCATCGATCTAATCCTTTCTCAGCCAAAATTTTACTTCAAGCTCCATCAACCGACCCGCTGAACAAGGCTATATGCGGTGATAGAGCGGTTCCCGGAGAACGGAGCTCAACTCCGGTCTTGACCGGCCCTCCCTTTTTGACCCCGGAAAAGCTCCAACCGAATTGTACGATTTAAATGGAGATAAAAAAAGTATATATGTATTGATTATGATGAATATTGTCAAAATGAATTTCACGTGTCCAATTGCCCCGGATTGCGCAGTGTTGAAAAATCTCCATCTAAGGGCCCGATCAGACGCCAATTATCGTATGTGTTGAAAGAATCGAAATTCTGAACAGTGGTATATGCAAGCTCCAAATATCTCCCTATCTATATCGTAATCTAGAACAGCCCATCGATATCACCAGTCTCGGTGTCAATGTCCACATTAAGGTAGCCGGGGGCAGTGGGCAGTCCGGGAATGGTCTGAATGTCGGCAGCCAGGGCGTAGCTATAGTTATATTATTAGTGTGATGTATTCCCACAAACTGCGGGAACGAAAAACTTACAGGTATCCAGCGCCCACAGCCAATCGAACGTCCCGAATCGGCACAGTGAAGCCGGTGGGGGCGCCCTTAAGGGCTGGGTCGTGACTGAGTGAGTACTGAGTCTTAGCGATACAGATCGGCAGGTTAGAGAACCCTTGCTTGGTATAGGTGTCGACCTTCTTCTGGGCCAATTCACTGAACTCGACCTTCTCAGCGCCATACATGGCCTGGCCGATGCGCTCGATGCGCTCCTGGATAGTGCCATCCAGTCCGTAGAGAAGCTTGAAGTCCTTCTCCTTGGAGCTGGCGGTCATGACAGCCTTAGCCAGATCAACCGCGCCGGCTCCACCCTCAGCCCAATGGTTAGCAGGGACCGCATCCTCGGCACCAGCAGCGATCGCCTCCTCCTTGATGACAGCAATTTCAGCATCGGTATCAGTGTCGAACTTATTAATCGCGACCACCACCGGGACGCCGTACTGCTTGGCGTTGGCGATGTGCTTCCGCAGGTTAACACAACCCTTGCGGAGAACATCCACATTCTCGGTACGGTAAACCTCCTGGAGAGGGGCACCGGGCTTAATCTCGGGGCCACCGCCGTGAACCTTCAGCGCACGGACAGTAGCCACAATAACGACAGTATCCGGAACCAGACCAGAGGAGCGGCACTTGATGTTAAAGAAGCGCTCACCACCCATGGTGAAGTCAAAGCCAGCCTCGGTGACCACAAAACCGGTCTTGGCTTCATGATCCTCATCAGGCTCAGTACCGGCAAGCTTGAGGGCAAGCTTATCAGCGATGGCAGAGCTGGCGCCAATACTGATGTTGGCAAAGGGGCCAGCGTGCACCATCACAGGAGTACCTTCCAAACTCTGCATCAAGTTTGGCTTAATGGCATCCTTCATCAATGCGGCGAGGGCACCACCGGCACCAATGTCGTCG